AAGAAATGGAATAGAAAGATTTATTCAAATTTTATAAAAAATCAAAAAGATGAAAAGAAACATTAAAGCTTATTACCTCTCTTCTTAAAAGAGAGAAAAAAGACAAAGCATGAAGAAATATTTTATTTTTAGAAGAATATAAAGAAATAACGGCTCAGTTGCTTTTGAGTTTTTCTTAATTTTTCAATGAAATAAATTATCAAGTCTGTTCAGTTCCCTTGTGAAAAATTCAAGATGGATCCAATGCTAGAACTTTTTAGAAAATACGAATTTTCCTAATATTTTTATATATCCCCTATAGCAACATGCGAATCCAAAATTTCATAATGTTTCTCAAAAAGATTCTTACTTTGCATAAGCAAAAGGGGATAGAAAATAATACTAGAAAATTTTGCCCCTTTTGCATGTATGCAACATGTGAACCACAATTTAGAAAAGCGTTTTACATTTTGCATAAGCGAAGGGGGAAACAAATTTTTATAAAAAATTTCGACTACTTTTGCATATGCAACATGTGAATCAGAATTTTAAAATGCGATTCACAATTTGCATAAGCAAATGTTAATCTTATTTCAGCTTATAACAGCTTTTTATTGCTCAAATTATCTGTTTATGCATCAGACATTTGTAAGTAATTATAGACTTCGATAGCTATTTTACAAATGAAATTTGTGAATATATTTTTATTCCTAAGTGAGATTATTTACATTGTTTCTGTTGAGACTGTTTTTATAACGTAAATTCAAGTCAAAGTTCTTCAACCCGAATCATTCTTGAATACCGGCTAATATTTGTAATCATCTTGAATCTTGAATGCAAATAAATGATTTAATGGTCAAAAATAAAAATTAAATTTATAACACCATATTTTTCTCTACTGAGCTGAATTCATCTTTTTCTTTTATTTATTTACAATGCAAAAAAATGGAGATAAAAAATATATTTACGTTCACGAATATTTCCTTGGTAACGTTAATGCCGTAAGCAGAAAGATGTGCTCCGACTGATAAGAAAGAAATAAATTTTTGGTAATCAACAAAAGCATGAGAATTGTGATTACTTCCCATCGTCACGTTCTTTTCCAGGCTTTTGAGAATCTTCGTCAGATTTCTTGTCTACATCAACGCTCGTCGTAGACTCATCGCTAACTTTTTCTTCTTCAGATTTCGTTCTTTCGCGGTTTCGTTCTTTGAAAGTATTGTGAATGTCATTAATATGATCGTCAAGCTTTTGACCTTTCTCTTTGTTGCGAGCCATTCGATTATAAAAATCTTGAGCTTCAGCTTCAAGTCGAGCAAGTCTCGCTTCTCTCCGTTGAAGATAATCTTGTTCTTTTGTGGTAAGAATTGATAAATCATCAGAATTTATCACTTGAGCTTCAGCCGATGTCGAAGGTTGAGGATCAATGTTCTCGACACTTTCATTAATTTCAATTTCATCAACACAAGCAACTGTCTGTTCGATTTCTAAAGATTCAGTAGCAGAACTGAATGTAGGCAGTTCATCCAATGGAATCTCTTCAATTTCTTCAATTTCCTCAATCTCTTCATAACTTGTTGTTGATGAACATGTGCTACAGCAATCACTCTTATTCATTCCCATTAATCTTAAATACATTTCTTCAGCAGATTCTGTTTTGTTGCAATTAGAATTATTTTTCTTTTTCTTGTCTTTCTTATGTTTCCTTGAATGTGCTTTGAGTTTACTTGTGTTTTTATTATAAACATGAACTTCAGGCGGTGGAGTGACAACAGCAATTTGCCTTTGAATTGGTTCTACACTCAAATTTCCATTGCACCGTTCCATAGCATGATCTTCAACGAATTCAGGAACTTCACAAACTTCTGCAATTGCTGATGTTTTATAATCGAAATTCATCACTGTTGGTGGTTCACTTTGTGCGCGAGAAAAGACGTACAAGTCAGTGAAATCTTGAATGACTGGCGACTCACTTTGACGTCTTTCCAAGAATGATGGCGAAGCTGTGCGGTCAAATTTATTCAAATTCTCATCAAACTTTTTCACTTTCGACATGATAATAGTCGAAGGTCCAGCATCATCGTCAGCATCTGATTGCTGTTCGTCACTGTACCCACTTTCAGCTGAATTCTGATCTTGAGCTTTTCTCAACGAGAATTCATGACGAAGTTGCTTGCATTGCTCCTCGGAATCGTTATTCAAAGCACGTGCAAGTGCCCACTTCTTCCGACAATATTCCAGTTCCGCTTTAAGTTCACTTAACAAGCGTTTCTTTTGTTGAAGTTGATAGCAAAGAATTTGTTCGTGTGTATGAAGTTGTCTGTGTTGTCTCTGAATAATAAAAACATTCAAAACAAAAAATTGTAACTATTAATAAAATAAAAAGGAAAAGAAAAACTGTCTGCGTCTTTACCTTGATTTTTCCAACCAGATGCCACGTCTTTGTCAACTCTAAGCTCACTGTACTTAGTCGCTTCTCCTGTTTGTCTAGTCTCTGTTCAAGATGACCGTACAATGTCTTCAATCGATTTGTGTCTTTTTGAAGTGATCTCTTCTCGAGAATTAAGTCTTTTAGTTTAATGAATGTTTTGCTGACACTCAACACATTTTGCGTTCCAGCTGTTGTTTGAACTGATTTATAGCAATCATCCAGAACGCGTTCTTCATCTTCGTTGAGTTTCTTATGATGATTCAGCAATTCTATAAGCACACGCCAGACTTTCGGTAATTTTTCCGCTATTTCTTCTGGTGAAGTTGCCGATGTTGTGGAAGTTGAATGAACATCGCCGTTTGTTGTCTCATCACTCGATTGATTCGAGTTGACTTGAATGAAGAGATCATAAAGAAGCTTTGGTAAGAATGATCCTTCATCGATCCCAGCGTAATCTTCCTTTATGGCCATCTCATTCAATAAATCGCGATTTTGTTCCAACATATTTACAAGCTTATCGATATCGATTTCATTACCATTCCCATTAAATCCGAATAAAGCTTGTGCAATGAGCTTCATAAATTAAATAAGTGATAAGTAGATGTGCAGAGAAAATGAAGAGAAACAAAGATGGAAAGAAAAGAACGAGATAATTATGCTTATTTCCATATCACTTGTAATTATCATCTATAAAAGTGATGATTTCTACGCTACCTGATTCACTGCTGACATTTCCGATGCAACTTGTGCCTTCTCTGACTTCAACATGCCAATTTCGCTCTCTAAGTGACCGATGTCACTGTTCTTTAATTTTAGATTATTCTCTAACGTGCTGATGTACTCTTCAAGATTCTTTGATCTGAAATAAGATGAAATGTAAGGAAGAATGAGGTGAAAGTCTTCGAGTGGTAATTATCGTCTTAAATGTTAATAATACGGCACTCGATTCAAGAGGACATGAACTTAAACTTACTTCTCAATTTCTGTCTTCAAATCATGTTCTTTCTCTTCGAGTTTAAGTTTGAAAGCGTCTTTTTCTTGAACAAGCATGCTTGCACGTTCTTCATACAACTCCCGCATGTTTCTGATGTTCTCCAACTGTCGATGATATTCTTGTTGCAAAGCTGTTGAAAGCATTTTGGTTTCACGTTCCGAGAATGAAGCTTCAATTTCAGTCAACTTTGATTTCATTTGATCGACTTGACATTCGCGAATTTTGAGCATCTCTTTGATGGCACTCATGGCTTCTTTAAGTGACCGCACTTGATCTCTTAATGCTTTATTTTCCATTGTCGTTGTGATGTTTTCTGAATTCGAAGTTTGAAGAAACATTTGACATTCAGCGAGTTCCACCTTGAGCTTCTTATTCTCATCTGCGAGATCTTCGAATGATTTTGATGAACTGCCGCCATGTGATGATTCCAAAGCTTCTCGTAACTCTGCATTTGCGACCATTTCTGATGACAATTTTTCACGCAGTTCAATCATTTCTTCACGCAGTTTCTTTATGCATTGCTGTCGTAATTCACGCTTCTTGTTCATTTCTTCTCGAAACTCTTCCATTTCTTTTCTTTGTCTTTCTTTGCGTTCTTCAAGTGATTCATTCTCATCATCGCCATCTGATTCGATTTGTTTACTATCGTGAGAGTTTTTCCGTGGCAATCGTATAACGACATCATCTGATTTCGACAAACTTTCAAGTGGTTTCGAATTTTTCACGATTTCATCATCAACGTTTGTGACGGGTTTGTCAATATCATCGAAATTTTCTGTACATTCAACGAATTCGTCTTCTGATTCATTTCCATTCTCAATCAGAACATTCACGGAACTGCGGCTTGTTGTCGCTCCCATTATTGTAACAAAGTCATTAACTTCTCAAGCAATTTCTTTATTTGTTCCTTTGTTCGAGTTTTCCTTCTTTTTTTTTGTAATTCTTTCAACTTGTCACTTTTTCTGATTGCGCAATTTACGCGGAAATCTTTTTTGTTTTTCGTCTGTAAGCGATGAACAAAGAAAAATTTTTGGCTTTTCAAGAACTTTCAGGAAGATTCCTGATTATTTTCTCTTTTCAACTTTATCGTTTCACAATTGTCGAGGAACTGAGAAATTTTTTCGAATTTCATTCGTGAAAAAGATGAAAATTTGTAGAAGAAAATTTCCATTCCTTCGTTTATTTTTAGCCTAAGACGAAGCGAAGAAAATTGTTTAAAAATAAAAGAATTTTCCTCTTTTTCCGTTGTTGATTGTGTTAGAAGCTTAAAAAGTGTGAGAGAAAGAGATTTCAGCAAAGCATGTGCTTGTTCATTAAGAAAAGCAGATGAGAAGTTGATCTCGAATTTCGAAATAAGATGAAAATTCATCTCAAACTTTTCCACATGTTTTTCTCTCGATTTATTTGCTTGGACATTTCTTCGTTGCTTTCCACGTGGTCTGTTGTCATTCTCGTAAAACATTTCTCAACGTCTCATGAAATATTTATTTAACTGAAATAAATAAAGAAAGGAAGGTGAAGGTGACAAAATGATTCAAGTGCGAGTCACAATTATCAAAAATAAAATCTTTTTTTGACAAAGTTAATTAGCGAAATATTAGAGCTTTTGTGTGAGAATAAAGAAATTTATTCATTACGAGACTTTTCAACTTCACATCTTTTTTAAAAACATGAGAAAGATTATTTACTTTGATTTATTTATTAATTTTTTAAAATACTTTTTTACATCCGGATGCACAAATAAAAAATGTTAAACAGCTTTTGAGGTCAACGTCAAGCTCCGCGTTATTTTATTTGGAACAATCTTTAAATAAAAATGCTGACAAATATTTCTTGAGGTTTTTGACAAATTTACTTTCATGCGTTGGTTGTGAATTTTATTTATTGGCATCAATAAATATTTTGAATTCTCTATTAGAAAGACAATTGATATGTGAAGAAAACTTTTCTCAAAGCTATCAGATTGTCTTCAGTCAATCGTCGTCATCTTATGATAATATCACGACGCGCCACAAGTTACAAGCTTATGCGCATTTCTGATGTTGACAAATTCAGAAGATAATTGTGTCCATAAATGGAGGTACATAAGTAGTACATGAGGCGCTATGATTGATTTATTTTCATAATCAGTGGAAGAGAAGCATTCTCTAATCGATATGGAATAAATAAAGAATTAACGTTCATATTGAAATGAAATTTTTTAAAAATGTTTTCCAATCATTCACGTTTTTTCCTTATCATTTATTCATTCGAAAGTCTTTTAAATTATTTAGAAAAAAATTTATCAATAGTAGAAATCAGATAATTGAGAACAATTTCACTCCATTTCTGTTGTTGTTGATACAGAAACGTCTGCAAAATGACTTTAGAGATCGCAACAACATCTTTGTTTGTAGGAGATAAATGAGAAGTAAAATGCAAAATAAATTTAACATAACAATTCCAGGCATGCAATTTTTCCTACTTATGAGTGGTTTACATAAATGCTTAATTGATTTAAAAGAATTCAAATTGTCGTTAACATTTCTTGAGAAACCTTTAAGTAAAATCAACACTTGTGATGTTTAAAGATTAACAATCTGATGACAAGTTTCGACTTCTTTGACAGCTTTAGCAGATTATTTATCGATTTATTATATAAACCTTTAGAAAGTTAAGACTTCATTCAGAAAACCACAAACAAACATGACATGAGTGCGTACAATTCAAACTGAATCAATGTCATGACTTAGAAATAAAGAAACAAAAAGAACAAATATGAACGATTATTTCACTTCTTTAACTACGTCAATATGAATTAAAAGAAAAGATCACGAATCAGAAGCAAAATTATCTCTTTCGAGAAGCCTCAAAACATCAAAAGAATGAGAATCGTAAAACAGAAGTTTTACAATCATTTCAAGCAAATGTAGTTAAACATTCATGAAAGCACTCGAAGCTACTATGAATGAAGATGAAGTTTACTCAAATGCAAATAATGCAAAACATTCCATGGCTATCGATGATGATCGCGACTTAAAGTAAAAGAGTCTCAAATGCGTACACTCGTCGCTTATTTAATGACCATTAATGCCTCCCCGATATTTGTGTCGTTTCGCGACAAGGATTTTTATTCAAATGCTTTGATGCATATTCAATTTGTTTTGTCCGAAGTAAACTCATTTCAATTGTTGAATGGTTGATGATATTTGCATTTTATTTAAATTTAACAGACACAAATGACTGACTTCCAACAAAACTGATCTTCACAATATTCAATTAAACTTATCATGGAAATTACAAACATTTATAAAAGACTTAATCTGCTTAATGTATTTATGACATGCTGCAAGCTTATAATTGAGAGGTTTGGATTTGATAAGCAGCTGCATGCATAAATGACCTCAAGGGTTAAGTTAACGGTTTCAATATTGAATGAAAAACAACCATTGACATTTTTAAAGAGATCGAGAAATATGAAATATCGAAACATGATATCATTTAAGCTCATTTACTTTCTTTCTTTTATTCGATTTTATTCAAAAGAGTAACCGCTAAGATTAAAGTATGAATCAGACGAAAACATCCACGCAGTTAATTTTGCTTTCATCTCATTTGCATTCCAAGTCCAACGCAAATTAAATTCTCATTCTCTCTTTCTCGGATTTCAGTTTTGCTTGTTTGTAAAAATTTGTTGTGCGATTAAAAGTCATTTGAAAGAAATTTTCCGCAACAATTCAAGTCTTTTGTTATTGCAGTCAGAAAATTATTTCAAGAGCAGAGTAGACGAAATGATATTTTTAAAGTGAAGGTGAATTATAAGACTTTCATTTGTGGCGTAATCGTGAGACCAAGCATCTGGTGCAGAACATGTCCGAAGCATTTCTTTTCTATTCTTCATTTCTTCTTATTCCCACCTGCTTTTAAGATGTTGCTGGAGTGTTAAATTGTTGTTAGTTGAGCTTGTTAACAGCATAAAATAATGAGATGAAAAGTCATTAAATCTTCTCTTGGATTTTATTTGTGTTTTAATCCGTGAAAATTCAATATTTCACTAACGATATACTTAACAATCGCGATCTATTCAATTGAGAAACTGCTGAGCTGAAATATGCGAAAGAAAAGCAGAGTTCTACTTGGTAACTGAAGAATTGCTACAAATCATGGTAATAATAGCAACTTTAATTGCAAGTATCGTCAAGTTTTAGCAACATCAGTGACTCAAATATCAAAGACATGAAGAACGTGCTTTTCGCATCAATAAAAATGCACTTTTTCGATTAATTAAAACTCAATTAATCAACTTAACGTGTTCACATAGCGTTGATGATTTAAAGGTGGAGAATTTCATTTTTAATTAATTTCGTTCTTTATTTTATGACTTCAACATAACACCGACACAATTGTTCTTCTCATCATCCTTGTTTTTAGAGTTTCCAAACGATTTCTTTTCCTTTCCATCGTTAATTAAACATTATCTGCAATTTTTGATTAAGATCTCTTTTTTTCTCAGACGTGCACTGTGCACAGTATTAAAGAAGATTCTCGGTAAAAAGTTTAGGGGGAAGATGCGATGGAGGAGAAAACCGAAACATTCTCAGCCACAATTGTAAGTAAGTAATTGCGTTTAGAGTGAAGGCAAAAATATTGTAAAATTAAAGATAAAGCACAAAAGCAACAAACGGAATTGTTATTAGAAAAAAGTAATCGTCTACTCAATGCACCAAAGGCATAAAGCAGTGAAGTGAGAGACGAAGCAAAATGGCAACGAAGAATGCTTTTTGTGTGTTTTGAGCTCTTCACTGGGTCAGAATGATAATGATCTGAAAAAAAGTATTGTGCTGTGATATTTCTTCTGTTCATTTGAACGAAGTTGAGAGAAGAAATGAGCTCACGATTGCACTTTCTGAATTACTAGTCATGAAAGTCTCCTGCAATTACTAGGACTTGATCTAATTTCCATCCTATCTACAATTGCTTGCGATTCATTCTAATAAATATGTCTAAAAGTACTTGCGCTAAATTATAAACTGCAAGTAAATTCCAACCCTGTTGCAAAGTTTTCCTTTTCTTCTACTTTCTGATGCAAATTTACATTTCATGAATTCGTAAGTTGAAACATTCTTCATGTAACCTACGTACGAATAACCAAACAACTTTAGATTGTTGTCAGTCGTCGTCGTCGTTGTGCTGGTAAACATGTGAAAAAAGAAACTCGTAGCAAGATGCAAAACCAAATATTCCCGTAAGATTCCAAAAAGGTTATTTATGGCTTCATTCTATCACAAGCTACTCCGACAGAGTCCGATTCCGAGTAGTGTTTATGAATTATTGTGGCTTTTTTCTTCATAATTTCTCTTACCTGATTACCAGCATTCTGAATGTTGAAGGAATAAAAAAATGTAGCTAGAATACGAATATTAAGTGAGAACTAATGGACTTAAACTGCGATGTTGATGTGGGAGATTTATTATTAAAAAAGATTAAATATTGCACAAAAAATGTTTTAATGTTGAACATGAAATAAAATAAAATATTACATGAGATGATGATTGAAGTTGTGTTTCTGTTGAATCATTATCATGATCTTCTCGAAACTAATTTTAGATTTCTATGTTAAGATGTCACAAGACAAGTCACGAATTTGAAGGATTTTCCGATATCTTTATCAAACCTCAACCTCGTTTGTGTTCTTCAATGTTCTTTAATCAAAATTGTGAGATATTTTTTAGATAAAATGTTGCACGATCATGTAACTTACAAATAAAGTCCCAACAGCCGTCCTTTGCCTTCTTGCCAAACATCGACAACTTGAAATCTTTACACACGTTTTTTTCTGTTCTTCTTCAGTTCTTACCATTGCCAGTGCCATTGCCGTCATCTTCACCACAATCTCTCAAGACAAAACGAAGAAAAAGAGTTTAAGTTTTTATCCGCTTCTCGCGCAATTTCTTGATTTCTCAGTTTTTCTTTTCTTACGCTTTCAGCTTATTTTATGTCGATGCGATCTTACAAGAGACTCAGTTTGTTGTTAACATTTGAGCTGTTAAGATGAGAAAAATCTTTCATCTTTCATAAAAGACAAAAAACAAAAAAGTTATGAAAATTTTTATCTGAAGAAGTTAAACAATTAGAGAAGAAGATCAAAGAAATACTTTAAACTTTACAGTCTTTGTTTAAGTTGAATTCAAAGCGTGCGATTGTGAATGCTAAGTGATTTATTTGAGTGAAATAAAAACATTGATTAAAATCGGTGGATAAAAAAAGGCGGCCAGCAATCAGTTCTTGTGGAACTTTTGATCTTTTGACTACTTCAACTCGCACAAACAGCATAAAATATTTATTTCTTTCCAACAATGTTGAGGATTATTTTGAGGTAAGTTGAGAGTAATTACTGATCTTTGTTGATTTGTTGATAACAACAATACATCAATGACTTGAAATTTTTCTTCAAAATTCTTTTATTCCAAGTCTTCGTTTCACTCTCATGAAGTTCACATGCTAATTTGTATGTTGTTTGACTTCATTTCACCTCGAAAGAAAGTTGTGATCAATGACTTATGATTCTCAAAATAAAATCCGATAATTATAGATATCCAAATAAAGATTTTTCTTTCTATCATATCGGTCTGGTTAAGCGACAAAAGAAAGACAGAAATGGGGAAGATACAGTTAGACAAATAAATATTGAAATACTCACCTCAAATGGAATTTCATTTATTCGTTTGTATTCAACATTCTCATTTTATTTTTTATCAAATCGCTATAAAAGCTTGCAAAAATTATAATAATAATCGTGAAACCGTCTCGCACAATTTAGCGTTCTTGAACCATCAAAAGAATTTTTTTCATTGCTTTTGTAAAAGTTTCAACTTTTTTCCACTCATTTGACTGAATTTATGTTCAAAACTGTGACTTTTCCCTTCATTTAATTTTTCTCTCAGAAAACGTCGCTTTTTAACGATCTCAAGAATTCTTTACACACAATCATAAAGACGAAAGAAAGCAAAAATATAATGAAAAGTATAATGCATAAACTTATTTATTTATGTTGTTGTAATGGTCAAGATGTCATGAATGCGTTCATTCTTGAAAAATAATTTATTGTATTATGCATCTTGGAGTCGAGTGGCAAGTTTCCCATCACTCGTTATATTCTCTATTTTCTGCCTCGTGGCCATTTATCAGGTTACTGTTCTAACCACAGCGCTCTAGAAACAAGCACAATCAATTTTATCTACGCTTTTTGGTTTAATTAAATTCTACATTCAGCGGCGATAGCTTTTCACATGTTCGTTGTGCTGGATGAATGTCAAAACCTAGACACATGTGAAATTACTTATGATTTATGATCATCATGTCCACGTCCCAGAGAATTTCCGGCATAACAACGAAAGCTTACACATTTATTCCTCTATTTTGCTACTCCAAACTTCATTCATTATTAATCGATTTCTCACACATCACTCATGTATGTATGTTGTGAGTTCATAAAATAAAATAAAACAAGGTGGAATTAAATTAAATGGTAGTTCGACTCTTGTCAATTAGATCATAATTTACTACAAAAATCTGACAGTGCTTGTTATAAAAATTTGTAGCCATTCATTTAAGAAAATTGATTTATAAATATTGGTGGAAGGTTATTGATGGGATTAATAAGGTGCGGGTTACGGCTTACAAAATTTATGCGGTTAATTTTAATGGGAAAGCAAAGTTTCAGCCTGTGGCTACCAACAAATAGCAGAATTTTAATTTTCCATGTTTCTAATATAAATTTATAAATATTAATGTTTAATTAAACGATAGAAGTAATGATAAATGTAATGATAAATGTAATTTTTTCAAAAGGAATTATTCGATTATCGTTGGTGAAGTCAGAACTGCCATGACATAAGTTAACGTTTTTATTTCTCAGCATTATAAGTTTCAAAGCTTCGATTTCAAATTGAATTTATTTATGGCCTTTGAAAAGAGTTTATAAAACATTTTCAGTCAAAGCTGATAAGAAAAGTTCCGCAGTTGCTTTATTTGATTTGCTTTTCACTTAAGGCAATAACCATAGAATTTCCATTAAAGTTAATTCAATTAATGGATCTCACTTGATATCCAAGAATTTTTTTCTTCTTTCCTCATGTGATTGTGAAAGTTTTAACTTGTTGTTAATGACAAGTTTGCTTTTATGCTTGTTAACGCATTTTGTGTCTTCCAAGATAATTCAAGACTTTTAAGCTGTATCAACCGTGACGAATGAATTCTTCGGTTCCAATTGCCAATCGCTACCTCATATTGAAATTTATTCGTAACAAGATGTTGGCATGTTAAAGGCGCTAAGCTTGAAATCAAAATTTCTTCGTTATATGATATTTTCTAGAATTGATGAAAGTTTTTTAAATCTGAAACCGAGAGAGAGAGAAGACTTAAGAAGAAAGCAATTAAAAAGAACGTGATAATTCCAGAATAAGAAACATCAGCTTTTAAATGACGAAAAGAAAGCAACGACTAGCAAGCTAATCTGCAGCAAATATTTACTTTGCTCTTTGTCGATGGATGTCGATGCCACGAGTCTAGAAACGACGATGTTTATTTTACAGTTTTTGTAGAAATTCCATTCTCGCATTTGCATTCCATGTTGTTAACCTGCTGGGCTTCATTAAAGCAGCAAGTGACTTTAAATGCTTTTTTCTCTTACTTTTAGCATCATTGAAAGTCCCTTTAAGAACATTCTATAACTTCGTGCGTTAAATTACATCGAAAATATGTTAAAAAAATGTCAGCAAGGTCGTGAGACATGTGAAATTTCTCTTTAATAATTCTTTATCATTAAAATTTTCGTTTTACTGTTTCAGGTGACAGAACAATCGCTCACAAATGTTTTTTAAATTGAGATGACACTCAAATAAAAAATATCGCGTTTGTGTCGGGCCATTGAAAAAAGTCTTAAACGTCTTCACATTGTAGCAAGAGAATCCGTCAAAAAATATCTTTACAGATTTATGATAGCAACAGCGAAGATAGTTTTACAATTTCACATCAACTAAGCTACGCCAATAAATTCATCTCATCAACTTCTTCATTTGAATATTTAATTTATGTTTCTTCTCTTCTTTTTTCTATTCTTAATTTTTAATTTTAATTCATTCGTGATTTCAAACTGGGTAGCCCGACCGGCGTAAGTAATTAACGAAAACGCTTCTTTTTATTTCACTTCACAACATCGCATGAAAACTTTTGATAGAAAGTTATTCTCACAAGATAAACAAATGCTTTCAAAAGAAATACAAATAATCGAATAAAATTTAGTCATAAAATTCCTTTGAGACGATGAAAACTTCTATAAAAGTCGATGAAAACTTAGAATAGCGTGTGAGAGAGTAATTAAAAGAATGGCACATGGTCAGTTAAGGAAAGAAAGCATCATCTGGAAAAGTTTCTTACTAAATGAATGAAAAATGCGTCAATTTTGATAAAAAAGTAAATAACAACTTGTTATTAACAAGGCAAGTGTCGTCCATTTGAATCAATAATCAACGCATGTTATTGTTATCAATTGGTCCAATTATGTTTCAAGTCGCTTTTTTTGAAAACGAGATGAACGATAAAACGAACAGCGAGTGTTGAGTGAAATTTCACAACTAACAGGTCTCATAAAGCAGCTGGTGATTTAATTAATGCCGATCGTAATTTGTGCCAAATCAGAATATAAAGAAAAGTTTTTTGTGGACCGCAATAAAAGCAAAATGCGAACAGCTTCAAATCTTAAATTGTCAATCGAGCGCAGAAAACAAATCAAAAGAAAAATCAGAACAGAGAAAGAAATAGAATTGCTAAGCGGAAATATTTTTAGCAGCCTTCGATTTTATGCTTTAAGTTCATTCTTCACTTTAAGTTGAGTCTCACTGATCACTGATTACTGATCATCCGTCGTGTTTAATACATTTAAGATTGTTGTTCAATTTCTTTTTATAATTCCGAAAAAGAAGTGAAAATTATGAGATAAAAATTTAAGAAAAAAAAAGTAAGAATCACCGATCGATTGTTCATTGGTAATTGAGCTTTTTTCGATCGGATTTCTTCACAATTTCAAATGGCACTACTAACCGACTTATGAACATTCGCCGATTTTTTGTGCCTGATATATTTATGTTGTTTCTCGTAGTTTTTAATTCAAATTTACCTTCCAAAAAAAAACTTTGCTTCAGGTCTGGCGCTTCCATTATGTTAATTCATTGTGAAATGATTGTTCGATTAGTTTTATCATTGAAGAGATCATGAAAACAGCGATGAATGATCATAATTAATTAACTGGATATTTATACCATACAAAAAAGAAAGAAAAATAATCGAATGAAGATATTCAATCACATGGCGCTTCGAGCTTTGTTTCTTGCTGTTAATGTTGAACATAAGAAAACAAAAAATGCAGTTAATACCTACCAGGTTGAAATCGGAAAAGGAGAGAAAAAACTAAAATTTATTCTTTATTCATGTTTGCCACAATCTTATGGGTTAATTACAAAAATGATCCATTTCCATTCATCTACGTTCAGAGACGAAAGCTATCGTGATTATGTATGTATCTACAATCATTGTATTAAATATTAAATATGTATGAAGTAAGTGACAGTAATAACTCAAGTTTCAATATCATTGAACACAGCAGTCATGGAATGAATTTCAAAACAATTTCTGTTTTTTGTAAATAAGCTTCTGAAAGGTATGAAAGGCCAGCTACTCATGCTTTACATGCATAGCTTTGAGTTACAACTGATGATGACTATTGAATTGTTGTCACATGCTGAGAGGCATTCTTATGTGTGAATATGTTCACAAAAAGCATCAAACGAAGAGCTAAAGAATGAATGCACAGTTGAAAATAATTATTCACGTTCTCTTGATGCAAAGTAATGAGATTTTCAAGATTATTGCTGATCTTTGAAAAGTTATTTCAAACTTTTATGCTTTTCAGCGTTTTTTACTTGTTGAATTTGATATTGAAAGCTTTTATTTCATGAACGTGGGTTGAGATAAGTGATGATCTACATAAAAGAAAGTAATGAATCATTTAATGACAAATCATCATTTGAAGCTTACCGACAACATATCTTATTCATGCTTGAGAAAACCATCATTATCTACATAAATATAAATGGAATGCCATTTATGCTTCTCGTCATATTTTATTTACGATATTCATGTAAGGTTTTTCTATTAAATAATTTGTTGAGAACTTTTCTACATACTTTATAATGTCGCTTCGAGTTGTTGTAACATTCAAGATAATCTTTGAGAAATTTAAGAGAAAAGTAAACTCCGTCAATGCAATAGAAAGAAAATTCAATGATGCATTCAAATCGAAAGTCTGACTGATCTTATGTCCCCGATAAGGATGTGAAACCATGTCGTGAACTCATAGACATGTCTTCCGCTTGTAGCATAGAATGATGTTTAAATATGAGAAGATTCACAATTTAATGCAATTACATTCTTCTGAAACTTCCAGCTTTATTGTAATGAATTCTATTGAATGATTAGATTTACGATTTAAAACTGATTTTACTGGCTACTCAAACGAATTACTATCTATCGCCTTCCAAATCATATCTCAATTAGATTTTACGTGCATGGAATTTGAAAACATGCAATTATGTTTATTTTTATTTTTATTAATTATATAATCATGCAATTTAACTGTTGTTGCATCAACTTTTTCCTAGGATTGGTGATGATAAAGACGATTGAATCATGAAGCAAAAAAAAATCTTTAAGAAAAAATACAAATTTTGATGCAAACATTTTCGAGTCTTTATTTCCATTTAGAAATTATTCTCAGACGTTTCACCAAAAATTAAAAGAAGAAAACATTTTAAGTTATAAACAAAAACACAAAATAAACAAAAACTAATCTTAAATTTGATAACAAATTGTCGCCATTGCCCAAATCAAGGAATTAGCGTAAATTATTGAGCTTTGAACCATTCATCGTGAAAAGAATCGGATTTGTTTTATTTGATCCTTTGATCATTAATGATGATAAATCGCGTTTCTTCTGAAAGCTCCAAAAAGCGAAACGAAAGCATTGAGCACCTGGAATTAAATTTTTAATGAATTTCAATTTTTCGGAGAATCTTACAAACTTACCAGCTCCAAGCATCGTTCCTGATGGATTCCAAATCAACTTTAAACCACCACGAATGTAATCAAAGTCAAAAGTACAGAGAACTTGCGACATTGAAGCCAAAATTGTGACTCGATTGATAAAATCGTCTCTCATGTAAAAACAAACAGCAAGTTGAGCTGTGACTGGATTAAACGCAATACTTGAAATCTCAATATTATGATTCCAATTTTCGTAACAAGCAACGCTTTTCTTCTGAACAACATTTACAAGATACAAAGATGCATTACGAGATGATCCAAAAATTAATTCTTCCTCAACAAATGGATGCCATTCTAAATGTTTGTAAAGTTTCGAGTTCTCTTTTTGAATACAGAAAAGAAAAGTCCATAGCCCGCCATTCCAAATAACAAGTTGACCGTCCAAGTCTAATGAAGCCATATAACGAAAGTTAGCTGAGAAACATATTTTCTTAATCTCATTCTTGTGATATGAAGTAGTTAAAGTCGTCGCAAAGATCCAAGTGTGAGCAATTGTCGGTGGTAATTTTTCGTTCGGTGAAACACATTTGATGACTATGATTTTTCCTACATCTGTTCCACACATCAAATACTCATCGTTTCTCGTGTAACATAAAGCAGTAACATCGAAAGGAGTTGATGTTCTAACTTTTTCTGTGTTCAACTTTTCACTATCAAAAAGATTCTTATGATCGATTTCAAAAACGTAAAGATCTTGTTCTGATTGTCGACGACGTGACTTACGATACGCTAATGCCAAAAGATCTCCACTGTGAGAGAAAGCCATACATGTGTGATCAGTTACATCAAGTGCTCTGGTGAAACCATTGAACGGATGATAAAGACAAATGTTGCGATTTGAAGCTGCTGCGATTAGTTGCTTGCTCGACCAAATGTAGTTGGCTAAATAAAAACAGACAAATGTAGTTTCCCTTTGATAATAATTTTAAAAAATTCTTACTTATCGAACCGAATCGAGGTTTTTTCACAGTTTCAAAATCAGGAAGGAATTTCAACCTCAAGTCATGAATCTTACAAGCCCAGTCTGTATGAATGAGTTTGATTTTAGGACCTTCTTCCTTTTTATTCTCTTTATCGCTGTCTGGATCGTTAAGATCAAGAAATAACTTTCTCAATTCATTTTGGTATCGCACTTTTCTGATTGTTTTTAAGTCATTATCAGATGACGAAATGTCAAAATTATTGGAACGCGTTTTCTTTAAAAACTCTGAATTAGTAAAACGGCGTGTCGGAACAAATCTGTCATTGCTCTTGTATTGAAACATTCGCTATGATTAAAGATTGCAGGAAATTGGAAAGAATTAAATTTGAACAAAAATTGTGTGAATAAATTTGCTCACCTGATCATAACCAACAATCGAATCTTTAATCGGGTTCCGCTTTTGTAAATCAAAATCTGACCCAGTAATCATGTTATCTGACACTGTAGATGAAAGATCAAAAACTGTAAAGGACGACATTTCACTTGTATTTTCTAATTGAAGCGTTTTTTTAAATGACAAGGTCTGGCTCCAATAATTTAAACTCGAATAAGGCCTGTTTTTTTTAGCGAACAGGCCTTTTCGTGTAAATTTGACCGCATTCACTTAAACTAGCTTTAATCAAGAATGAAACTGTTTAATTAGTGATTTATAATTCAAAATTCTTCAAGTGAATAATTTCAATACGTTTTTCACGTGCTTAATAAGTATAAATGTTAAAATTTTGTCTCTTTCGAAGAACATTCAAGAATTGAATTGCTGGCTTTGATTAAACTTTTTATTACATATTACTCATTCGATAAAGTCATTAAATAACTGTGTGATTAGTGCAAGTGTGAAAATTGAAAATGTGAAAGATTTAGAATGCAACTGTTCATTAAAATTATGAGAAAAATAGAACCCTTTGTTATTCCCATTTTATTCATGGAAACTAGGTAGTCAAATCAAGCAAAATGAAATTGTGTTACTTCATGTTAAGAACAATTACCGTGAGTATGTAATAACATGTTTTAAATGTTGCAATTTGTGAGAGTAGACAGAAATTTATGCATTAATTATAAAGCTCGTAAGATAAGAATGCAAATCAAAACAAACCGTTTGTGTCATATTTATTCTCTTTTTCATAGCTTCACAGTTATTTGTATTTGCGAATTCATTAATTTCGGTCTAGTTTTGATGTTGTATTTATAGATTTCTAAAATTTCATTATTCAAAATTTAATTATCTATGCAAAACTTAATGAATTGGCTGATGATTGTCTTGCTTTCTCGTTCGTAGCCTACAATAATAACAAAACGAAACGAGTTTTAGCTACGAGACAAAATATAAAAAATATTTTGGTTTGTTTACAGTTGTCGTCTAGAAGAAATTGGGGTGGATTGTTCTAGTTTTAATTGATCGTTTAGTTTATTAATAAAATTAACGAAGAATGATTGACATTTCATCATCAAATATGCTAATTTAATCGTGAGTAAGGAAATCAGCATAAATTAAAGTCACATCATCTTTCAAAAAAATAAGCTTGAAAAGAAATGAGAATCGAGTTAAATTTGCAATATAAACGTAATTTTATCCTACATTATTAGTAGTGAGCGAGACTCGAAATAATCTGCTTAAACTTTGTTGCATAATGCAACAATTTTGCATTGCTTTCTATCTGAATAAATAATCAATTCATGATTGCTTGTTGATTAATTTAATGTTTAGAACCAAACAAATTATGGATAATGTCTTTCATTTCGTTTTCTTTTTTCATCTGCAAGTAAGAGTTTTCAAATGAAATCAAGATTCGGAATTAAAAATGAAATCGAAAAGTTTAATGACAAAATAGCAACTCAAAATTCTTCCACTTTAATCATAATAAAAATTAAAGCTTAATGTCTAAGAAAATAACATTTATTACATCTTCATCTTCAAAGATGAAATTATCTCAAAAGAACATAAAAAGTATTCAAACATTAATGAAAGCTTAAAGCAAGCCGATGAAATTGTCCACCAGCTCGAAGCATTCGTCATGGAAACTTCTGCATGAGGCGTTGCTTAAACTCATTTTTGATATCTTCAAATCCAAAACGATGTGCTAAGTTGATGTTCTCATCATCATCGAAGCTATGATCATATAATTCTTCACCGTAAATCTTACGCCAATCTTTAAAGAAAAAATAACAAATCCATTAACATTGAAAGATCATTAAAAGTTTTCACTCACTTCGCTTAAACTTCTTGCTGTTAAATTTAATCCATGCTGTATATCGAAATTGTTTACTTCTTATGCTGTAGCCCATAATTTTAATTTCGCGAAGCTTCGGTTGATCGCTGTCTGGTGATTTTGATGGAAACGTTCCCGGTCTTGGATATTGACTGAAAGCAAAGTGATCGCTTTCATCTTTAATTTTTGATGCCATCTGATTGTACAAACTTTTGCCTTCTGTACATGTCACACTTTCATCTTCATAATTAAATAAATTTTCGCATTTTGGAACTTCCGGCAATTCAGCAATATCGACAATTGTTGGAAACAAATCAATTAACTCGCTGATTGTTTTTATTGTCTTCATATTTAATTGTGGTGCCTTTGGGTCATAGATTATCAGTGGAACTTTTAATGCAACTTCATAATTACTGAATTTAGACCAAGCTGAATGTTCACCTAATGACCAAGCATGATCAGAAGTTAGAATCACAATTGTGTTTGAAAAGTCCACGAATTCTAAGACACCACCAATTAAATCGTCCACATAAGTAACTGAAGCGTAGTAATGTTGTCTAATCTTAGCAGCAAATTCACTTGGGACTGGTCCGAACGGGAAGCTAACGTTAAGTGCTTTGAAATCATCGCGTTCTCTTAAATCATTATAAGGATTCCAAGCTACATCGGGAATGTCAATTGGCCTTATCAGATCCCTTTTGAAGTTGTTTATGTCATGTTGATCAAGATATTCAGCTGGAAATTTAAAAGGAATGTGAGGCTTGTAAAAACCAACGCCGAGAAAAAAAGGTTTATCGTGGCTTTCGTTGAGAAATTCTCGTGCCTTTTTTGCCACTTGAATGTCCGGCAACGTTGATTCAGGCTGAAGATTCACAACAACTGGACATATCAAGTTTCTTCTGAGATTGCCATCGTCACCTATGCAAACTGGTTTATTCCTGTAGTCTTGAGTTGATGGAATATAAGTTGGATTTGACCAACTGTAAGGAAAATCATCAGTTTTATTTGATGATGGCCCGTGGTGAAATATTTTTCCAACTGATTCTGTCCGATATCCGTTCTCCTTGAAGTACTGAGGCAATGTTGTGTAATTTCCGACAAATGTTCGCCAATAATGCTGAAAATTATAAGTCAGTAGCGTGTCGGGACGTCGAGAAGTCAACATCGAATTTCTACTTGGTGCACAGAGTGCTTGACTGGCATAAACATGTGGAAAGTAAAAACTTCTTTGTGCCAACAAATCCATGTTTGGTGTTTTCGCAAGTTTATCACCAAGTGCTCCAATTCCACCTCGAAAATCGTCTAACATGATTAAAACAACATTGAGCTTCGACTGTACTTTTTCACTGCCATTTATACCACTGAACAACATCAAAACTGAGATTAAAATGATTTTAAACATTTTCACATCCATCGCAATTCAATGTCCAAGTAAAACTAAATAAACCTTCGTTAATTTTTGTGTTTGATGAAAGAAGTTTGAAGAAAAAAAATCAATAAACCTTTCAGCTGTTTCATACTTACTCACCTGGTGTCACATTTAATGTCAGAAACATTTTTTTTTATTTCTCTATGCCTGATTTTCAACGACAACATTATCAAATGCGTGACTTTGAACCGTTTTTCAAATCCAGAGTGAGAAGGAAAATCATGGAAACAAAAGTAAGGGATTTACAAAAGACGAAAACAAATCAAATTTAACGATGCTTAATTAATGTTTTTTGTAGTTTAACTCTCGCCTTTAAACGTGACTCTAACAATGCTTTTGCCAAATCACTTTTTTACAGGAGTTGGCAATGAAGAAGATAAATAATTATCGAGGTTCAAATCAAATCATAAACATCTACAAGGAAATATCATTTAAAATAGATAAATATTGGAATGATGTTGGATTCGGATTGAGTACAATTGAGGTGATGGGTTATTGTGTTAACACGAACATGCCTACAAGTCTTACTGCTTGTTAGGTCAAATACTCAATTAATAAAGTAGAAATAATCTTAGACATGGATAATTGTGATTTCTTCATCGTAAATATAAACGTTAAGAACTTAAAACTTTTTAGGACGTGCTAAAAAGAGAAATTAAAGAAATGCGACATGAAATGACAACAAATCGTATTGAAGAATCCAATTTTGAGAATGCAGACAGTTCAACATGCAGATTATTTTTTTTGGGTTGGGTAACATCGTTGAAATATTTTTTAACACGTAGTGATTTGACCACCTGTTGTGACAACGGTTTAGTGTGCGTATGCATGATGTGTGAAACGTTGGGAAGGGAAACTGATTTTAACTAATTAAAGACATTCTGCCGCTACACTATCCAAAACAAAGATGCAACTTCTCTTGATGATATTCAAAAAATAATCTGATGATTGTGCATTATTATCAAGCGCATCGTCATCTTTTTTAAAAAGAATCTTCCCAATGCCACTTTCAGGAATTCACATTCTGAAGTAAAATTTATAGCAAAAAAAAAGAAATTTTTAAGCGCATCGTCATTAAAGAGAAAGAAGAACAAAGAAATGAACTGCGAAAGAACAGAATGTAAAAAAAGTAATAATAAAAACATTGACCTTGACATTGGCGGACTAGAAGATGCTGAGAGAGATCATTTGTAGTCAAGACGATGTTGAGGTTTCTGTGATTGAGAACACTCGACGATGATGACTTGAACTTTCTTATTTTGATTACTTTTGTTTCAATCCGATCAAGCTTCTTGAATTTTCTTGCCGTGGTGAAGTGAAGTGTTGCGAGAGTGTGGTGAGTTTCATTTCGCTCTCAATGTTTTCTAAACATGTAGAATTTATTTACTCAAAAGTTAAGACCTTCGTGAGCCTTCTAATTGATTTATCTGAATAGATGGATTTCCGATTACTTAGAGATTAAATGACTAACAAAAAAAATCATTTTTTCATGTTGAAATCACGCCCAATTAATGAGGAACTCCATTGTAATTAAATCGAAAGCGGTTAAAATTATTTAACCACAAGAACATTAATAGCAAGAACCAACACTCTTCTTTAATCTTAATCAGACCATTAACTACTATAAAATTACGAAATAACTTAGCATACCTAGATAGGTACTTGTAAAATAATCATAAAAAAAGTTTAAAGACCTGGAGAAGAAAAAATAATTTAAAAATTGTAATCATGCACTTTGTTTCAACAATAGAAAAAATCTTCTCGAAATATTCTTCAAATCTTTGCTGTGATTTTTCTTAACTTTTATTCTGAAGACGGTTTATGCTTGTTTTAAACACGGGAATGAACAGACAAGAAAGCAACAACGTCTCGAAATGTTAATTTTACATTTTCCTTCTCAGTTCTTTCTTACTTATTATGTTTGTTTAGGCGATTATTTACTTCGCTGGGTTTGCATGACCCAAGATTCAAGATGACTATTCTCCGTGCTGTGATTTCAGTTTCAAATAACAAACTATCGTTTAGTGCGCAATGAGAGATTCATGATAAGTAAGATTGCCTTCGTCTTGCGCTGTTCACTCAACAAACATGCGCCGAGACGGAAAATGATTTATTAAAAAATAATTAATGGCAATAAAAATGGATCAATGCATTGGGCGGTTGGGCGAGTTTCTTACTTGTTATGTAAGCATTTGATTGCTTCACAAACGACTTTTGTGCTTACATCTTTCCTTAAATGTTTCGCAACATGCAATGCTAATTAATGGATTTGCGGCGACAACGCAACATCGTTGAATACAAATTCATTCTAATAATCTTTTAATTAATTTCTTCATTACAATTTCTTGTTCATTTGCAGTGCTCTGCTCATTCAAGCAATTGCAGCAGATCCGACCTCAAATTCAGCATCAACGACATCGTCCATCATAAAGAATGAACGCAATAAAAAAGCAGTTAACACTGTAAGTGAATCACCAATTATTTATGTACGCCATCTCACTGAACCGGGATCTGGAATGAAAATTACTCGTCCGAAATGGAACAAAGGAAAGAAGAATGACAATAAAAAGAATCTGATGTCAAATCATGAATTGCTGAACTCCTTAGGAATTGCTAAATTACAATCACCATTCAACCATCATCGAAAGCGATTAGCAACACAATCCCGTCATGTTGGAAGACCAGACGACTCTCGAGTTTTCATTGTGAAACTTCCACCTAATCCTTACTATTATTCGCATTCAGACAGCGGCGGTTTCAAAGCTACTGCCAATGACCCCAACTCCATTGAAGATAAAAGACATAAGGTATGAGGAATTGCAAGATTCTTAAGAATATTTTAATCTCTCACATTAATTTTCTTAAGCTTATTGCGTGCATTAAAAATGATAATTAATTAATTTGATAAATAAAATGAAACATTTTACAGATACCGATAGGTTTTAAATCAAATGGAAAACCTGCAGCAGTTTATCATTGGAATTTACCAGTTCTTTCGAAAATCATCAGTGGGAATAATGGACGAAGTAATAGCAAACGATATAAGGAGAAGAAGGCAAATTTACGTCGTAGTGAGTTCGATGTTACAGATTTGATTGACATTAAACATATCCCAACATGGTCTGATAAATCATCATCGTCATTATGGCATGAGAATGACACGATAGACAAAAGTTCTGCGATTTCTTACAATCAAATTCATCATGAAGACATCGATGATGATCATCACTCAAAGTTCTTAAAGAAAAAATCAACACCAAACTTTTACGCACCAACAAAGAAACAAAAGATGAAACATAAATATTTTCCAAGTAATGGAAAGCCGAAGAGCTTTTATGTTATGAAGAACAATAATAAGGAGAAATCATTCCATAACTTAATTGATTAATTTATTTGAAGAGTCTGATTAAATGGGGACAATTCCTTTGTCAAGTCACTGTAATGAAGATGAATAGAATTAAGAATAAAATGAACTTGCCTAATTTATTAAAAGAATAGTGACTGACTGACTTATCATCAAAAATTCCCCTCAAACTTCTTTCTGTTCTTCTTTTTTATTATAAAATATTTTCGATGAACTGTTATTTGTATTTAGTAGAAGAAATTATGGAATGACAACAACAAGTCAACAAAATAAATGGCGCAAATAAAAATTTAGTGCCACCATGAACTTGCTCGCTTTTGGTGATTAAAAACTGGTTTAATCTCATAATAATGTCGAAGAAATCATTTTTGCAATCTTTCTCTGTTTGACTTGATTTGACATTTCGTCTTTTTCAATGGAATCATTAATCATCATTTTATCTCGCTGCTTTCTGTTCCACGCAATGCATCTGCTTAGAGAGAATGTCGATCATAGAATGTAGGAGATAAATGAAAGAAATTAATGCTGATCATTAGTTTAAGCATGTAGTTTGTTAAGAAGAAATAAAACATTTAAATTAAGAAAACAATTTAACTTTCTGATTCTTCTTTTTTTTGTACTTTCTAAAGTCTCAAAATTTTCTGTATCAATACAAACTTAAAATAAAAAATAAAAAAAATAAAGTTAAAGAAAATTTTAATTTTTAATAAACTTCGTCAATTTTATTGTTTCATATTTAGAAGAATTTCATTTAATTTGAAACTTTGAAACTGGATATAGATAAAGATCCTTCTGAAAGTCTTCAACATTTGTTATGAGACTCTCGTCATCAGACAACTTCTCATTTATAAATTCAACTTCTAGTTTACGACTTTTATTATTTCCTGTCGTAACTTCCTCTGATTTATGATTGCCAATAACCTGAACACTTAATCTTCTCATTTTATCGGGGTCAGTAAATGATTTAAAGAACTCTTGGAAATCAGTTTTCGAAATATTTTTAGTTTCTTTGGCTGCTATCTGAAACTTGTCGAAAATATATTCTTGATTGACAACTTCCTTCCAATTTCTGTCAACTTCTGAGTCTAAATCTAAGTCGTCAGCAGTTAGTTGCTTAACCCTCGAATCCTTATATCGTTCAAATTCTTCATCTGTCATTTGATCAATTGTCTCACGACAAACTTCATTAATAAATGTGTCTAGTTTGGAGCAAACTTTGGAATAAGAATGTTTGCCTTCTTGTGACAAGATAAGCACAGCAAGAGCGACAATTCCACCTTTTTCCCGAAAGAAACATGCGACACCGTACGCTAACTGTTCCTTGCTTCTGAGATAATCGTAGGCCTTCGGGTTTAATATCATCGCCGCAAGTCTTGTCATGCATCTAGTTCGAATGGTGTCAGGTCCGATTTGATAAAAGTTTTTAATTGCTGAATTGTCATCGTTAAGCATGAGAGACTTCAATCGTAACACATTATTGCCTTGAGGTAGTTGATAGCATCTCTGCTTGCGTTCATATTCTTCTGATACGACATCGCATTTTATGTTCGTTTTTGCCAGATTTACAATCTGAAGTGCTTGATCTTTCGTAATATTTCCTTGAGCAAGAATTTGAATATTCAAGTGACTTAAGAATTTCGATTTAAAGTTTCGAAGATTTTCTAGTGTGACTTTGTCAACTTGGTCAATGATGTCAAAGTCAGAATGATAATGTTCCAGCAGAACTTTACCAGTGAACTCATTATTTAATATATAGTTGGTCATCAATTTCTCAGATAAAGATTGCTTCAAGTTTTCTTTGATTGCATCTAACGTCTCCTGATCAGCCATCTCCAGAAAATTCTTCAAAAACTTAGTGACGTTGTCGTAAAACTTTATCATGTGCTGACTATGACCAGTGAACGAGAATTTCATTCCATTTCTGTCAATGCTGGTGTCCACGATATAATTAGCACTTTTGGCATCAAAAAATTCAGCTTTCAAATAAAACTCAAAAGTTTTTGTAAAGATTTTCAGCATTGAAAGGCTAAAAAAATAAATAAATTTGTAAAAATTAAATATTCAATCAAATAAAGTTGTTTACTTTTCTGTTGAACTTAAAAAGATCGGTGAGATTAACTTCATTTTCAACTGGATTGTTGGCAATTTGAATTTATTATCCAAGCGATGCCAGACTTCAAATATTCCATCTTCAAAGATTTTCAGGGGAAAAATCTAAAAAAAAAGAAATAAGAGTAAATGAAAATCAAATAAGAAAGAAAAACTTCTTACAGGCGATTCATCATCATTTTCAAAAATGTCGAAGTTTGTCGTCTTATAAGGATTCGATTTTTCTAAAAAGAAATTCGGTTTGACTTTTCTTTCGTCCCATAATTTTTGATATTCATCAGGAAATGCGATTCGATCATATTCCGTGTTGTGATATTTCTCCCTGTATGGATATGACTCGTGCTTACTTGTTAAAATAATTGTGCCAAATTTCCTTTGATTCAATCTTTCAATCACGTCAGATATAATTTCTGCATCGAATCTCTGATAAATTGATTTCCCTCTTAGAATGTCAGCGTCATCATAAACTAGCATATTTGTAGCATTATCCAAAACATTGTCAATTGGTTCAGATTCGGTGTGAAACTTAAAACTATTTTCACTCTTTTCTTTCAATTCGTTGTACAATCGACGATGTTCTTCAATTGGTGTTTCCTTGATCATTAAAAGATACGAAAAGACTGCTTCTAAAATCTTGCTAATATTTTCAATTCCAGACTCAGTTAAATCCAAAGAAATGCGGACGAGATTAATTGATGACTTTGAAATGAGGTTGGTGTCATCAGTATATAAGTCAACTTTAGTAACCCAATGATTTTCTCTTAAATAGGTTGAAATTCCACCTTCGCCTTCATTGCCGAAAATATTTGAAATGTAGTCAAGTGGGGCAACTTTGTAGTGTTCAATTATAGATGGCAACGGCCAGGCAAGTAAAATTGAATTTTTTGAAGTTTTACTCATCACGTAATGAACGCTATTGAAAAATTCAGGTTTAAAGTAATCTTCTGGGTTATCTCTCGCGACAATCACAGAGTTAACTTCTTCATTTCCGCTTTTAATATTTGAAAACTGTTCAACAACAAGACTTTGTAATTCATCCAATGTTTTACTTGATTGCACAGCTAAATACATTTTATTAGCAACATACTTATCATGCAACTTTAAAAGTTCTTTATGTAACTCCTCATCGCTAATATTATCTCTGAGAGTCTTAAGATTACCGACATTAAACTTACTTGCAGGATGAAAATCATGAATTAATGATTTAACAATGCTTTGAATTCGAACTGCGTTACTTGAATTTATCATCTCGTATTCAGAATCGACAGCTTCTCTTTCACGTTGCATTGAATTTTGCATCAAAAGTGGTGCTTCAATCAATTGTTCCAATCGACCGAGTGCTTCTGGAAATACTTCTTCGGCAACGTTAAAGAAATACGTCGTAAATTCACTTGCTGTCATTGCATTTCTTCTTCCCCCATTAACTGTTAAAAAGTCGTTGTAACTACTTTCTTCTGGATACTTTCTACTTCCCATATGCACCATGTGTTCGAGAAAATGTGCCAGTCCCATAGCACTTGGGGGATCATCAAATGATCCAACTGAGATCGTTAAATTCGCTGCAGCTGAATCTTCACTGTCATTAGAATTATTCTCATCTTTCTTCTTTCTTACAAGGAGTGCTTTCAATCCATTTTCAAGTTTTATTAAGCGATATTCCTTCTTGTCTCCTTCAGATTTTATTGGAGTTTCTAAAACTTCTACTTGATTCATTACAATTAAATTTTTGTTCGAACTATACGAGATGAGAATTAAAACTGAAAAAGTTTTCGAAGGTTTCCTTAATTATATAAAAATTTCTCACCACAATAACCGAAACCGCTTAGTAAGCTTGATTTTAATATGGAATTAAGGGCACAAGTTGAACTGCGTAGAATGTTACGCACTATCTACAAATTTAATTGTTTTAGATGAATGAAAGAATTCATTTCTTTATCAAAAAACAAAAAAATATTAAGTTGAGTTGAGGTTCAACACACATGTTGATATAAATAAATTGTCAAGCCTTCTTATAAGTAGATATCAAAAATATTTGTAAATTGAAATCTTTAAATAAATTATCTCTCGAATCAAAAATATTGTTTGTCCTTATTTATTAAAGTCATTTTAAATTGCAGATATGGAAAATAAATTTAAATAGTGGACATGGTAATTCGCACTTGAATATTTAAGAGTTTCTACATTAATTGTGAAAGTTTTAAATACAAATTTTTGTTTGTGAGACAATGAAAAATTTTAAAACTTTTATTTATTTATTTAAAGTATTGCTAAATACATAAAATTCCTAATAAATGAAATCAACAAGGACAGTCAAATAACTAATTATGACGTGGTTGTATTTAACTTTCAAAATAAGGAAATTACAGACCATAATGATTATATTTTATCTGAACTGTAGCGAATGAATTCGAGAAATGTAAAGTGAAGTTTGGGGTATCAAAACTTCATTTGAAAAACTTTAATACTTTATTAAATAAAATGAAATTTTATTCAACATTTGCTTAATAAATTTTGCTTTAACTATTTGATTGATTTGGTTTTCAGAATTTTTTCATTTCGTTTATTTTTTCAAATGTAAATTTATTTATTCAATTTCAATTGTGCCAGATGGATAAAGAAATAAAGAACTTCGAAACAATTCAATATCTGTGATAATATTTTCGTCATCTGATAATTTTTCTGCGATGTATTCAAGATTTAGTTCGCGTCCCTTTTCTTGTGTTTCAGTGGTAATGCAATTTTCTGAACATCCAACCACCTGAACAATCAATTTCTTCAAATTTTCTGGTGATGTGAGTGACTCAAAGAAGTCTTTCAAATCAGTTCTAGTTAAATTTTTGGTTACTTTTGTGGATAATTCGTTTTTATCAAACATATATGAATGACGATATATTTCTGACCAATTCTTTGTAACTTCTGCTTCAAGGTCCAAGTCCTGAGCTGTTAAAAGTTTCATTCTTGCGTCTTTTAATTTTTCAAATTCATCATCGGCAAGTTCTTCAATTATTTTTGGTGCAGTTTCATTGAAAAAAACTTCTATTCTCTTCAAGACTTTTGAGTAATGATGTTTACTTTCTTGTGATGAAACATAAATTGAAAAACCTAAAACTCCACCTTTAACTAAGACATCTGCACCAACACGATAACCAAGTTGTTCCTTGCTCCTCAATTGTTCGAAAGCTTTTACGTCTAACATTTTTTCCAACAATTTCAGCAGACAACGATCACGAATTGTTTCTTTTTTGGATTGAACATACACAATCGTTGCTGAATTTTCATCATTAAGCATAAGCGATTTCATTCTAAGAACCGATTTTCCTTTTGGCAGTTGATATCCTCGAGGTTTCAACTCGTATTCCTAAGAAATTTCACATGTTTGATTGAAAGAAAAATGCTTTAAAATTTGATAACTTTACTTACACCCTCAAGTGGCTCACAAGTCAAATTGTTCTCTAATTCTTTGAAGATGTCCAAAGATTGCGCTTTTGTTATGTTTCCCTGAACTAAAACTTGAACTTTCATGTGACGGAAAAATTTTGTAGAAAATTTTTGAATATCTTCAAGTTTAACATTATCAATGATTTTATATTTTTCGTAAATAAGCCAAAAATTATGTTGTAAGACTTTGGGGATAAGCTCATTACTTAATGTAATTGACGATTGAAGCATGGTGCGATGAGATTTTTTTATTTGATCTTTTACCATTTCAAACTTTTCCTCGTCAACTTCTTCAATTAATTTAGTAATTTCTTTAATTACAGAATCAATAAGCAAATGAAGTTTTTCATTATAGCCTTTGAATGCAACATGTAAACCAGTTTGTGTCTTTTTTATTTGAATATTCAAGCCAGCATTAAATGCCGATGAGAATTTCTCAACGATTTTGCTAGTCGCAAAATTCGTAAAAAAACTTAAAAGCAAAAAGCTGAAATAGAATTGAAAGAATTAATTAATAAATAAAATATTGTAACATGTTACTAAATTTACTTGTAAGCTGAGTTCATAAGCTTAGGTGATGCCAAATGAATGCAAACATGGCCATGAGGAGATTTAAAATGATCATCCAACTTGTGCCAGACTTCATAAATGTCACTTTCATAGATTTTCACTGGATACTTCTGAAAATTGATTTTCTTTCATATTTCATTCATTGAAGTCTTCTTTGTCCACTTACCGGTGATTCTTCAACGTTCTCATAAATCTCAAAGTTCGTAGCTTTATATGGATTTGGTTTTTCCAAAAAGAATTCTGGGTTTAATGTTCGTTCATTCCACAATCTTTGATATTTTTCTGGGAAATCAATCTCATCGAATTCAACACCGAAATACTTTTCCTTCTTGTTAAAACTTTCATGTTCATTAGCAAGAATCGTGATGTTAAATTTTCGTTCATTTAATTTATCAATATAATCAAGAATAACTTTTGAATCAAACTCGAGATAAACATCGCTAGCTCTGAGTATGTCAGCATCATCGTAAAGCATTAAGTTGGTTACAGTATTAGTAGTATTCAATGAAGGATCATTTTCTTGTACATATCTAAAATTAACTTCACTTTCTGCTTTATATTCATTAAACAATCTTTCATGTTCTTCAATCGTAGTTTCCTTCATCATTAACAAATATGAGAAAACTTCTTTTAGAACTAAATCAACATGTTGAAGACCCAAATCCGTCAGTTGAATATTTATAGAAAGATGTGTATAAACTGATGTGCTTATCTCTTGCGTTTGTGAGTGCAAAATAAGCTTTTTATCCTTTAAATATTTTATGAATCCTCCATCTCCACGATTTCTGAGAATTTCTCCGATGTAATCGAAAGGTTTCGCTTTATAATGTTTCAAACTTGAATTTAAATACCAAGAGAGAATCAAAGTTTGGGCTTCGATTTTTGGTTTTACAAAGTACATATTTGTGTAAAATTTTGGTTTTACAATTTCACTTAAACTCATTTCAGGCTTGCTGATAATTGTACCGCTTTTGAGGTGTGAAAATTTCTCCACCACAATATTTTGTAACTCGTCGAGTGAGCGTTTTGATTGAACACACAAACGCATAGCATCGGCAACATATTTAGTAAACAAATCGCAAAGTGCATTGTAAAGATCGTCATCAGAGATATTATTCTTTAAAGTGTCAAGACTTCCGTAATCAAAATAACTGCCTGGATGACTATCGCTAATAAAGGTTTTGAAGAAAGCCATTAATCTTTTTAAATCATTATTAATACTCATTCGAAACTCGGAATCAACTGCTTCTCGTTCTCGATTTATTGAATCTCTCAATAGCAATGGTGAAATGAACTGTTGTGCAAAACGATCTAAAGCTTCGGGGAAAGCTTTTTCAGATACTTCAAAATAATATAATGTGTCTTCATCTCCAGTCATTGCATTGTTGTCTCCACCATTTGAGTTTATAAATTCATTATATTCGCCATCACCGGGATATTTCTCACTCCCCATGAATAGCATATGTTCGAGAAAATGCGCAAGACCTCCGATATTTTGTGGATCATCAAATGATCCAACTCCTACTTTCAAAGCTGCAGAAGAAAGACTCTCATTTTCACTTCCATCAGCAGAAGTATTTTCTGGTTTGTGTATCAAAAGAGCTTTCAATCCATTAGGAAGCTTAATCAAACGATATTGCTTTTTATCACTCTCTGATTGAATAGGAGGCTTGAGAATTTCCACTTGATTCATTTTAGTTTAATGCCTTCAAGAAGTAGAATGTAGAAAATCAGTTTTACTACTAGAATATTTATACTTCATTTCTCATAATTTATACCCCAATCTGACCACAAATTTGTGAAAATATTTCAAATAAAATGCCCTACTTTCGTTATCTAAGTAATTGTCGTTTATTAATTGTAAGCCAATATTGATGATCGCAACCCAATTAAATTTTAAAGCGAATATCCTTTTAATTTCTTGAGAAAATTTTGAATTATTTCAACTCTAAGTTCATCATCAAGTAGCGTTCCACAGGATTGCTTATTCCTAAAGACTACCTAATCTAAGTTAATAACAGTTCAATGAATTCACCAAATACGCAAAAAGCAGCACCCCTAATAATCTCATGAGAAAGCAATCTAATCGTTATTCTTTCGTATATTTATTGTAATTTTCCTGATAGCAATGAAGAACTATGTGAACAAATATCAATTTTTTTGAGTATATATTTTCATGTGAAGTAGATGAAAGAATGAACATTTTAAGATATCAAATAAATTAATAAAATAAAGTTAGAAGAAAATTCTTTGAATTACAGTGGAACTTCGATAAACAGGTGGCTGAACGGGGACCAGATTATCGAGGTAAACTTTCATACAAATTTGATTCAAGGGGGACAAAAAAATATCTGTTTATCAAGGTTTATCTGTTTATCGAAGTTCCACTGTAATACAAAAATTAATTCCCGTTAATTAAGAATTTGACACAAATATTTTTGATATTAACAAAAATTACAAAAATTTCTTTATTTCGTTATTAAATTCTCAATATAAACAAAGAGTAATTACATTAATTAACATATATGTAAATGATATTTTTCGAGATAACTGAATGCCATAATTGAAAAGCAGATTGAAACTGCATTAAATGCAAATTAATTCAAACTCATTCATTTTTGAAATAAACAGAAGGATAAAATGGAACGCCACGTTGAAATTCAGAAATATTTGTTATGATACGTTCAGTGTCTGTCAATCCTTCAGTTTTAATTCCAACAGTTGGTTCAAGATTTTTAATTTTCTCTTTGATAACTTCTTTTGATTCAGTATTGCCAATAACTTGAACAATCAATTTGCGCATATTTACACCACCTGTGATTGAGTTGAAAAATTCTTGAAGTTCTTCTTTGCTGACATTTTTGATAAATTCAGCACAAATTTGGTCTCTGTCAAAGAAATAATTCAACTTTAAAATTGCATTCCAATTTTCGCTGACTTCTTGAGAAAGTCGTTCCTTTGGAGCTATCAATGATCGAATAATTCCTGTTTTAATTGTGTTAAAATCATCATCAGATAATTCTTTGATCAGCTTCGCTGCAATATTATCAATAAAGAAATTCATTTTCTCAAGGACTTCAGTAAAATTGTGCTTGTTCTCTTGTGAATAAACATTAACTTCCAATGATAAAACTCCTTCATTATCGTCTGATTGCAGACCTACATTGTATCCCAACTGCTCCTTCGTTCTCAAATATTCAAAAGCGTGCGATTTTAAAACTCCCCTAAGAAGCTTCAATAAACTGTTTCGTTGTATTGTTATTGGACCAATCTGATAATATATTTTGGAAACAGAATTGTCATCTTCTGACATAGAAGCGATTAATCTCATGGCTGATGATCCTCCTGGAAGTTGAATCACACGAGGTTTTGGTTCATAATTCTATATTCATAAAGTTCAATTAATTTAAAAAATTTCTTTAGTTAAAAATGTGTGTAACTTACGTTATCAAGTGGAACACAAGTTAACTTATTTTCCATAGTTTCGACAATTTCTAAAGCTTTCATCTTAGTAACATTTCCTTGAATCAAAACTTGAACTTTTAATTGATGGAAATACAATTGGAAAAATTTCTTCACATCATCAAGACTTATGCTTTCAAGCATATGATATTTTTCAAGCCTCAATAACGAAGTTTCTTTGGTGATTTTTGAAACATAATCCCTTGAAATTGAAGAAGGTCTTGAAATATTGTTCAAGTATATCTTTTTTAATTCTGATATCTTCAATTGAAATGTTGATTCGTCAGTACTGTCCATGAAAGTAATCAGTTCATTGATTGCTTGTTGAACAATCAAAGGTAATTTTTCATTAAACCCGCTTAACTCCACATAGTAACCTGTCTCAGACACATTTAAGTAAATTTGATATCCAACATTTCTCGCTTGAGAAAACTTTTTCGAAAAATGATCAGTCGCTAATTCATCGAATAAAATTAGAAGCAAATTGCTATAAATAATAAAATAACTGTCAAAAATATTTTAATGAAGAATTATCAAAATAATTACTTGCGAAGAGAAGATAAACGTTCAGACGATATCATGTTGATACAAACAATACCATAAGGAAGCTTATAAATGTTATCCAACTTGTGCCAGACTTCATAAATGTCACTTTCATAGATTTTCACTGGATACTTCTGAAAATTGATTTTCTTTCATATTTCATTCATTGAAGTCTTCTTTATCCACTTACCGGTGATTCTTCAACGTTCTCATAAATCTCAAAGTTCGTAGCTTTATATGGATTTGGTTTTTCCAAAAAGAATTCTGGGTTTAATGTTCGTTCATCCCACAATCTTTGATATTTTTCTGGGAAATCAATCTCATCGAATTCAACACCGAAATACTTTTCCTTCTTGTTGAAACTTTCATGTTCATTAGTGACAATTGTAAGGTTGAACTTTCGTTTGTTTAAAAAGTTTATTACATCAAAAATAACTTTCTCGTCAAATTCATTTAGAGAATTTTCATCTTTTAATATGTCAGTTTCTTCAAAATATTTAATTCCATTAACACTGTCTGTGACGTTCTTCCTAGGAGAAAGTTCTTTGTGGAACTTAAACTTCAACATACTTTTCTCTTTGTATTCATTGTACAATCTTTCATGTTCTTTAACTGAGCTTTCCTTGATCATCAACAAATAGGAGAAAATATCTTTCAAAATTAAATCAACATTTTCCAAACCGTCGTCAGTCAATTCTACAGAAAGTCTTGCAACTGAAAACATTGAATTTTCAAAGAGAGATGAAAAGTTAACGTGGGTAGCAAATTTCTTCTCGAATAATAATTTTGCAATGCTACCCTCACTTTCGTGATTGAAAATATGTTTCAAATATGCTAATGGATTCACTTTATAATGTCTGTCAAGTGAGTTCAAATACCAACTCATGTAAAGTTTGTTAACCTTCGATATTGGTTTAATGAAAACCATTTTTGTATAGAATTGTGGTTTGAAAATCTCATCCAAACTCATTTCAGTCTTGCTCGCGACTATTCCACTTTTGAGGTCTGAAAATTTCTCCACCACAAGATTTTGTAATTCGTCCAGTGAGCGTTTCGATTGAACAGACAAATACATGACATTGGCAACATATTTGGAAAAAAGGTCCCGAAGAGCAGTGTAAAGATCGTCATCAGAGATATTATTCTTCAATGTTTCAATATTTCCTGATTTGAAGCGACTGCCTGGATGATTTTTATTAATGAAACTTTTCATAACTTCGGGTATTCTTCTAGAGTCATATCCAGCACTCATTCGAAACTCGGAATCAACTGCTTCTCGTTCTCGATTTATTGAATCTCTCAAGAGCAATGATGAAATGAATTGTTGTGCAAAACGATCTAAAGCTTCGGGGAAAGCTTTTTCATTCACTTCAAAATAGTACGTTGTGTCTTCAGTCTGAGTGAATGCGTTGCTGGAACCACCGTTTGCTGTTATAAAATCATTATATTCGCCATCATCGGGATATTTCTCACTTCCCAAGAATAGCATATGTTCGAGAAAATGTGCAAGACCCCAAATAGGCGGCGGATCATCAAATGACCCAACTCCTACCATTAAACTTGCAGCAGCAAGACTCTCATTACTTTCAGAGGAAGAATTTTCTGGTTTGTGAATTAAAAGAGCTTTCAATCCGTTTGGAAGTTTAATCAAACGATATTGCTTCTTATCACCCTCCGATTGAACTGGAGATTTGAGAATTTCCACTTGATTCATAATGTTTCTTGTAAACTTGTAAAATAATTTAAAAACTGAAGTCATGTGCTTCAAATGCTTTCTATTTTATACAAATTTGGTGACCACAAAACAAGGCTTTAAATTCACAATCGTAGTATTAATTTGTGAGAATTTTCGACACGCTTCAATGTCGAGCGATATTTATATCGTTGTGGTTTCGGACCTTTCTTTATATTAAATTTAGTGACTTGAAGGCTGCTGATTATGAACTGATAAACATGAACATCCGTTGAGGTTTGGTCAGTGCTTTCTTCGTCTCTTTTACTTGTTTTGTTATGGTCATCAAATAAGAGTTATAACTAAAAAAAAGTAGATATCTAATCACAACTTGTGATGACAAATTCAACAAAAAATCATTAAAACTCACAAATTTATGAAACTTCACAGATTCAATTTTTAATTTATTTAAAGATAGAAAATTATGTTAAGAGAATTACAAAGTTTACTCTTTTCATTGTGGTGATTTACAAAATTTAAGGAAATTTGTTATTTTAGTGAGTGTGAAATAATGCGTGGGTGTTGATTATTCATTCTGTGCATTGTTATTAAATATTTATGAGTTGTTGAAAGAAGCGAAATAAAAAATATTGAATTATACTGGAGAGAAAGAAAAAAAAGATAAATTAATTAACTTAATCGTCATCGGCATCTTGTACGCCTTCTCTAGGCTTTGGTCCACCAGCTCTCTTCGCCATAATAATTTGATCAACTCGCAAAATTGTTGTTGCAGCACCAACAGCATATTTAATTCCCCAGTATTTAGTTGAAAATAAATCGAAAATATTTGTGCTCTTCACATCAACTGTTGAGGGTTGTTCAGAATTGATGTCGAAGCCTTGTGTTGTGCTTCCTTGTTTATGAACCAAATGAAGTTTATTGACAACTTCTGTTGCATTGACGCCGGTATTCTCAGCGAGTGCTTTTGGGAAAGTTTCTAAAGCTGTTGCAAACTTTCTAACTGCATATTGTTCAAGACCAGGAAGTGTATCAGCATATTCTGAAAGTCTCTGAGCGACAGCAATCTCAGTTGCTCCAGCACCTGGAAGGAACTTTCCATTACGTGTCAATCCTTTGAATGTGTTGACACCATCATCGATGGCACGTTCAATGTCATCCATATAATTGTCAGTTGATCCACGAATGACAATTGTTGCAATTTTACTGTCTTTTCCTTCATTGCGGAACACAACAATGCCAGTGTCGCCTAATTCATCAACGAACACTTTATCGCAATATCCAAGCTCTTCACTGGTTGGCGGTGTTACACGAGGCAAAACAGTTCCATTGACAGTCTTTGCCAAACGACGTAAGTCAAACTTTGAATTCAAACGAACAGCCATCAATCCGAATTTGTTCATAAAATGAAGAGCCATATCACCGAATTTACCACCAGCAACAACAACATTTGCTCCAGTATCAGCAATGGCTTTGATTTGCTCCTCCAAAAGACTTTCCTCACCTTTGCTGAAGCTTTTAAGCTCTTCAGCTGTTTTAATCAAAACAGTCCCTTTAGTTTCTGTCTGTGTAATGTCAACTGGACATGAGTAAAGAGCGACTTTTGCTTTTGTTGCTGATGACACATCACCTTCAACAAATCGCTTGAAAACCATTCCATTAACAGTTTCTGACGAGTTGAGTCCACATCCGAGAATCTTTAACAAATGATTATGATTAGTAAAATGTTATTATTAAATTAAATTATGCTTACTTTGCAGACGCGAATATTATCAACATTAAATGTTGTTTCTTCAGGCATGATAGCGACGCATGCTTTTGCGATGAGATCAACAAGAAAATCTTCATTTCCAAATTGCTTTGACATGATCGAAGCTTTTAAACCTTCTTTAACTTTTTCGATGTTGCGGCAATCGTCGATTTCGTAGCAAACAAGTGATGGAAGGAGTTCGAGAACTTTGTCAAGGCCTCGTTCATATCCTTCACAAATGTCGGTGACATTAACGCCCAAACGTAATAATTCTTCTGCTGCTTCTAATAAAGCACCACAAAGGATCACAACAAAATTGGTACCATCGCCAACTTCTGATTCCTGCATTTGACTTGCCATAATCATTAGTTTAGCTGCAGGATGTTCAATATCTAATTCTCGCATGATGGTTCCAGCATCTGATGTTACAAATTGTTTCTCGAGATGATTGATGATCATTTTGTTCATTCCATTTGGACCGTAAGCTGAGCGAACACTGGCTGCAAAGTCTTTACAAGCTGTGATATTTCTGTAGACAGCTTCTTCTAATCCAGAAAATGCCTGAAAATATTGAAAAACATCACATGGGTCATTGCATGATTCATAAATATTCACGAAAAAATCAATTAAAACCACGAGAACAATGGAAACTTTATAGCAATTGAAAAACTTCACTTACTCGTGCTCCTTCTTTGAGCATGGATGAGAATCCAGGTGCTTTTGGTATATGCATTGCCATTTTTAATAAAATCAGATGTAGCCGTCTTTAGATGAAGTTTCTAGAAAGGTTAACCTGCAACTGGGAATGTTTCGCAAGTTTCGTCAGTATACTGAATTTTCAACATGTAGGTATAACAACAATAAATTTTAAGCGAATATTACCTATATTGATATTTCTTTAGTTAAAGATATTTTATAGTTTTACAGATATTTTTGTTATGACAGTTGATCATTTATTCAGAATCTAAAATCGTTGACAACTTGGTTCACAAAACTTTTTGAGTTTCCTCCAAAAATATTCCGCAATACAAAGACTTTGGTGTGTTCGAAAATTTTCGAAATAAAAAAATAAAAAAAACAAAATTACCTATAAATTTACTTCTGCTTATTTTCAAAAATTTAAGTATGGATCCAATGAGAATAGTAGTCTCAAGTTATATAAAAGACATTAATAGATATTTAGAAATCATTTCGGATTATGGATTGCCTAATTATAAATACTTTAATTATGTGTTGAATAGAATGGGAATATCGTACATTTATGTTTCAAAGTAAGAAAATGTTATTTTAAACCCTTCGACTTGTATGACAATGACTTATTTTTTCAGATATGAAATATTTAATAAACAAAAAAATGTCGTGATACAGTTTGTTGAATCTACCTTAGTTGCACTCAAGAAAAAATTCATTTCGGAAACTTCTCCTGTATCAAGAGCCGGCATTATTTTCCTTTTAAGTAAAATTTTCTTCACTGATGACATTGCAAATTTGCTGAAGCTTCGAATCACCTCTGAAGAATGGGAGGAATTTAAAAATTATATCAACACTATAAAACATTTACCTGATTATGAGAAAACTAGAATAATTTTCTATCAACTTTTTCTAGAAAATTTCTTTAAATTCACAATGAAGAACAAAGCACTTGCACTCGATTTTGGAAATGCTGATGAGAAAAAAGACCCTCAAGAGTTTTATGAAAAAGAAGATCTCTTATGGAATGATATAAAAGATGAAATTTCAACTATTCAACACACTGATGTTGTTGAGTTGAATCAGCTTATGAAATTACGCGAAGAATGTATAAAACCTTTTGAAGAAAAGTTTCCAGAGAAAAATACGATAGAAGAAGTCCTAAATGATTTTGAAACCATTAAATCAAGCGTAAATACACAAATTATCGATAAAAGTTCTACAAGCAAACAACTTAAAAGAGGAGAAATTATACGTCAATGTCGGTCGTTCTTAAATGCATCTTCTGGTCCAAGCAGCATCATTGGAGAATTTGAAGTTGATGAAATTTACTTTGATAGTGAAGAAGATTCACCAACAGTATCAAAGAAAAGAAAACGAATGAAGAAAAACTTCAAACAGTCAAAGAATAAAAAAGAGACAATAAAAATTGAAGAAAATAGCAGTTCAGATTCTGACAGTGATGGAAGTGCAAAAGATTTCAAACACATGAACAGAAGCCTGGGATATCATTCACAAAATGTCATGAAAGGTATTGGTGCAACGATAAATTTAGATAAACTGAGGAGCTGCTATGATGACACAAATGAAACGAACACGAAATGAAATTTATTAACTTTATGAAAAAATAATAAAGATATTTTTATTATCATTTAAATATCGTTAAGGTGACCACTTTTTTTTGATGGATGATTACAAATTATCCCTTTTCTTTCATTTCTTTCTTTCATTCATGTTCAGCATTACAAATTCATTCATTTATTCCACACATTGAGCATTAATCTTTCTTGAAATATGTGTAAACATAAAAAGGTAGTAGATATTTAAATCGAGTCAACAGGTGCCATAAAAAACGCACCTGATGTTGTTTCACTGATTACAAGTTATTTTTATTTACGTTTCATGACGTCATACAAAAAGTCCAGTAGTAAGAGACAAACTTTTAAATGTTATGCTCAATTTAATTTGACATTAATTAAAGGAAACTATTTTTCCTACCTAGATGTCAGTTCAAGTGGGGAATTTCTCGAAAAGTTTTGAGATAAGATTAAATGTCCCTTAGGTAAATTCTATTTAAAGGTAGGAAAATCTCAGTTTTTTCTGACATCAACATTCACTGAAGGTTTCCGTGCGTCCATAAATTTCTTCTCGACATTTAACAAAAAAGTAGAAAATAGGTGAATAAAGTAAGGAAAATATGACGAGGAATGAAATCTTTAAGAAGTCTCTCAAATATCTTGTAAGCTCCTTTAAATCGAGAGTTAACTGTACCAAAAGCGCGCCAAAACTTCAACGTCAACAAAAACTTTTTGTTCGAAATATACCTACATAGATTGAAATGTTAAATATTCTTTATAAATTTAGTTTAATTTGAAGAAATAACAATCGCACTAACTTTTAATATTCTAACTCCTCTAAAATCTCAAGATGATCATAGAAATTTTTGAGTTACTTCAGTCAAAGACAGCAAAAGTAAATTTCGTTAAATTATTTTTTCGTAATGTTTACAAATTTTTTATTTTCAGAATGCTTCAAATGTTGTCATTAACTTTGCATGTCACGAAGATGAAAACAAATGGAATATTGCAATTTTACAATTTTTCATACATGTTCTTGATAAAAACATGGAAATAACTGAAGAAGTCTTCAAAAATGATAATCAATTCGAAAAAATGTCTTTGGATGTTTACAAAAGTGTAAGCAGAGGAACTTTATAAATTAGAAATGTTGTTAATGTTCTTGTTTTTCTAGCTCCCATATAATATTGAAAGCTTTCCGGTTGAAACAACTAAAACCTTTATGACATTGTTCATGAAAAAGGCGCTTGACAAAAACCTTCTCACAACTCCAGTTATAGGAAATTGGACTCGCTTTCTAGAAGCTATTATTCAAAATAAAAACATTCCAAACTGCATCTTTAAAGGAAAAGCAATTCAACTCTTGTCACTTCTTTTAATTCCACTTTGTAATCTTTTTAAGAGTTTTGAAGAAAATGACGAATTGGATGAATTGAAAACGGTAGTTAAGAACAGCATTGATCGATCTTTAACAATGATTCTTAAAGGACTTCGAATCAAAATTTACTGCGTTTCAATAGCAAAAGAAATCATTGAAGCATTCGAATGTTATCCCGAAATAGTTGTCTTGGGCACAAAAAATTATTTATTCATTTACAAAAAGATGTTGAAACAAGAGGTGAGAAATTTATTCATAATTTTCAAGATAATGTCATTATTTTATGTCTGATGAGCATTTTCATATTTCCTCAGAATCATTTACTAATCACACTTACTCTGAAAAGTCTCACAACACTTTGTTCTATTGAAAGCATTCGACAACAATTAGATGAATTCTTCTTCAATCATTCTGAGGATGAAGACTTAAGCGAACTCATGTTCATCATCAATAATGAGTTGATATTCAGAAAAACAATGAAACAGGAAGTGATCGCTCTCCTCAAATCTATGAAAAATGTTTTTGGTGATCGAGATTTTATTACTGAGCAGATTAAGTCGGAACTTTATCAAGGCGTTTTCAGTCCATTAAAAAAAGTTGTGACTGAGACGGTTCGAATTATAAATGACTGGGAAGATAATTTCTGGTCAACAATTGTAAATCTTTTACAGTTCCATACTGATAGATCTATAAATTTATTAAATTTTATCAAAATGTTGTCATCGATCGAAGAATTTGATTCAAATCCAGAATATCTCATCAAAAATATTCTTCGAAATAACAATACAGGATCGACTCTTCAATGGAATGCTTCACTATTAATGGCAATGGTGAAAAGCAGGAATGAAAACAAAATTATTTTACAAAGCATTGATCAGATCGTTGAAATGAGTTTGAAGCAAGAAGAAACTTTTATTTTGATCCTCGAATGCTTCTCTAATATAAAAACTGAGGAAAGATCTTCCTTTTATGTCGAGAACTCAACAAAACTGACATTTATGATTCATTGCATGATTACAGCATTAGAAAAGTTTGAGAAGATTTCAACACTCTACAAAATCCGTCACATTCTTGAATTGCTATCAGAATTATCTCCTGAATATGTATTGAAAGAAGTTCGCATCATATTCAACACAAATTATTTGAAAGGCTTGCAATTTTTTAATGAATGCGAAAATGAAGAATGCATTGAGAAAATTGGGAAATTATTTACGAAAATGTTCATTCTTATGGAGAAAAGCAATTCCTGGAATATCATGAAAGTTAACAGCATACGGGACATTGACAAGCTCGGCTGTTTATTCCTGTCAAGATCAAACAGAGCTACACGACACATTGCAATCCGATTTTATACAAATGTTTTGAAACACGTTTGGACACGAGTAGTGCTTAAAAAGTCTTTACCCTGGAACAGCTCAACAATAAGTGAGAAGACCAAATCGTATATTGAGACTATACCTCAAATCTGGAGTGGTGGACAGACGGTTGAAGAAATAAGTCTTCCATTATGCTGCACTCTTGAACTGTTATTGATGTTTCAACCTTCAATGCAGGCATTCTCAGACAGTGATGTGTTCACGAAGTTAGACATACATTTAAATAAGGAACAAGTAAAGAAATTGGCAGCAGCCGTCGAAAATGTTGTGTTTTCAGTCGAACCAGCCAGCAAAAATTCTCAAACTATTTTTTACCAGCAATTAGTTTTACAAACATGGATTGGATTCATTCAAAACTACAACGATCTTCCAAGCAAAACATCATCTGACAAGATTATTCGTTATTATAACTTGAAGAGTGTTTTCATTGTTGAACTGGAATTATTGATGAAACATCTCGTAACACTTTCTAAAAATATCTTTGAACAGACAGTCGCTTCAGCAGTATTGCAAATTGCACAATCAAAAGATAAATTTTCATTTTCAGGCTTTTATCAAGCTCTAGATGAATTCCTGTCGACTTCTTTCAAAAGTGTTCTTAAACGAATGTCCATCACCAGCTCAATTTGTTCTTTCATCTTAACAAATCTTGATGGTCATGTTGCAAGTCAGAATAAAGTTGAGGAACAAAATAGACTTTACGTACTTGATTTCGTTGCCATCATGGTCAAAAACTTAGATTTGAATCTCAAAAGAAAGTTGGAAGATTTCATTCCTGGAGATTTCTTGAATAGAAATGATCTGACAAGAAACGAGATAAAACATTTCAACGATTTCTTGAATTTGCTTCGTACATAAAATTTCTTTTCGTTTATATGTTGTGAGACAAATAAAATCTTTAAAAAAAATTTTTGTAGTCTTTCGTATTTTGTTGCAAATTCCTGAATTTCCAGAATCATTAAATTTAAACATTAAAAATTACTTTATTTTAAGTTTTAAACAATAAGTCATTGATTTATGTTCATGTCGGAGAATTTGATAGTTGAACTTTCATATGTTAACTCCCTAATGACTCCGCTTATGTTTCTCTCGTTTATGTTGATAAACTCTTCCTTGATTTGTTGAACTCATTTGAGGAAAGAAAAATTTTTATTTTAAAAATGCTTTTAAAAACAAAACATAAATTTTTTTATTGATTCAAAATTCCTTAATCGTTTCTCATTCAAACTCACTCCATTTTCCGTTCCCTTCATACTTAATCCTTGCATTTATCCCAATGTTTTTCCATACCTTTCAAATTACTTTCTGTGCCCCCTTTGTAAATTTATTAAAAGTACATAATCTACGTAGAAAGCGAGGGAAATTTATTCAGAAAATTTGCGTTCTATAAGAAAAGGATAAATGTTAAGAATGTCATAAAACTTTAACATGATTTGAATTTTTTAAACAGAGACAAGAAAAGTTTTAATTACTGATATAAAATTTGAAGTCATTTTGATCTTGACAACCATAATTTGTTCAAATTTAACTGACGGCTCATGAAAACTTAATAAATTGTCATTTTACACGAGTTGAGAGAGAGTTTTGTATTCAATTTGATTTGAAAAGAAAAAACAATTCTATGAATTATCTCAGGGTTTTTGTCGTTTTCCTACATCCACGTATCTTCTTATCCTGATTCCTAGATACGGTATTTTATCTCACTAATCCTCCTGAATATATTGTTGAAAATATTATGTAATAATTTTTATGGTATTTTATATAAAAGGTCAAGTATTCCCATGAGAAGGAATGTGAAAGATTAACGAAAGAATTTTTTAGCAAAGTCTAACTGTTGGATTACAGTTTCTTACGTTGCAAACTAAAAGAAGCTTTTAATTCGAATATAATTGAATTGTAGCCAATCTCCCGAGACTCGAGAAATGAAAGTTGGAATTTCTCTTACGTTGTTATGTTGACGACGCAGCAAAAAAAATTCTGAACCATGTTAACATTGAAAATCACAAGAATTAGAAGAATATTTGTACATTTGTACAAAAGCAGAGATTTTAACGACATGAGATGTACTGATGCACATAAACATCTCAACTCAACTATAAAACTATAAAAAATGTGCATTCGATAATGGAACATTAAGAAATTGTCAACCAACTAACCAGATTGATTAAATCTTCAACCACAAAATACATAAACCCAAAACAAGTTCAGTGGTTATTTTGCTTTCGATTATAATGTATTTGCTGTTTGATTTTAATATCTATAGTGATGCTTGATTATTATACAAGAAATCTTCAAACGAATTTTCCTTTTTTATTTATATTTAACATTCTCATAACTATTCACATTTGATTCCAAAAACAAGAAAATAATATGTTGAGGGAGAGAGGGAGAGAGAGATGACGAAGCTTAATATTATGATTAAAGATGAATCATATAATTTTTGCTATCAATTGAACAATGGACAGAAATCATCAGGATGTTTATTTTCCCCAAGCTGATGAAAGTTTGTTCCAGCCAGGATTTCTTTTCCCCCAAGCAGACGAAAGTTTATTCCATCCTTGTGCTCTCTTACCCCAACCGTTTCCACGTAATTGACTATTTATATAATAATAAAATAAGAAGTGGAAAATGTATCAAAAGATGAAGATTAAGTGGCACTTCTCACCTCCAGTCGCGCTTCCCCCATGCATTACTCATTGACTTCCAAGCCCTCTTCTCACTCGGCATGTCGTATTCTTCTGGAACATATTCATCATCATCATCAATTTTATTGGACAACAGCTGGTCAGAATAAATCTTCATAATCTGGCGATGTAAATCATCAATTGGTTCACTTTGTTGGTCGTCTTCAGAATTTCGTTTTCCCCAGCCACTTTGTAATTGTTGCCACGCTCGTTTTGCAACTGTATGTTGAATGTTTGAAGGTTGAGGATTTGTAGCTTCAATTGTATTATCAGCGTTTGCAGCAATCTCGGCTCCTGAAGTTATCATTATGCAAAAACATATTGCAGACATTGATAAAACCATCTTTAGCCCGTAACTCCAATTATAAAACATTGTTCACAAGATTTTCCTGCTGGAGATGAAAAATGTTTTCGATTTATTTCCATTGCATACGCAAATGACTGATGAAAAATTGTGGTTTTCAAACGTTTTCCAACCTCAACTTAACTAACTCAATAAGAGATCTCCGATAAATATAAATTTAAGGGTGAGACATAAAAGTTGTAGAAAGAAATTTCTTTTCCGTACGCTGAAATATCAAGCTGTGATTCATCGCAATCAATGAACTTGTTCCATTGGCATGTGAACATATATAACAAGCAATCATTGTGATATTATTGACCCCTTTGATTAATCCAATTTCTATCCGACGCAACTTAATTCACTTTTATGTATGAGCAAACACAATTAACTTTCTACTCTTCATCAAGTGTTCTGAGAAATAAGTAAATTGGGGACTTCTTTGTAGGTTGAACCAAATCAAAAGTTACTCAAACTAGAAACTTTCTAAAAAGATTTTTTTCTCATGTGGCAAAGAAGTTCTGAGATAAATCGCACTTGAATTGGAAATTTCCTGGAATTATTCAATGCTTTTCAAAGGGATGATAAGTTCAAAAAAAATTCTTACATGTGCACACTTCATACTGAGGAAATGTTCAAACACTTTAAAAATTCTGAATTTACTGACAATTCATAAAATTTACTTTGAAAGTCGAGAAAATGGAAAACCTCGAACATTTTATTTAAATTAAAATTATTTGTCTAATCCGACATTTCAACTTTAAAATGCTCTTCAAACTCATTCTAATTATTCATATAAAATGAAATGTTTAATTTGATTTAAAGGATTTCAATTTAATGTGAGTCTAAGAAATGACGAACCTCGACATGTTTTCTCAGAGGAAATTAGTTTTGAATTTAACGCTTTACGCTCTGCATAAATATTTTCCAAAACTTTTGTTTCAAATTTCTTTTTTTTAATTTATGTTTTCAACTTTTTATCACTTTTTTAAAAAGAAATTAAAGTTTTCAATTTCAATTTCTCAACTTTAAAGAAAATTTTCAATCATATGTTTTAAAACTAAACTTGAATATGTTGAGACATAAATTTGTCTTCAGCAGATTAGGGCAATCCTTCAGTTTTCATCTTAATATGTTTAAGTCGAAATAATTCAAATCAGACTTAAGGGTATAAAAGGGAGCTTCCAAAAGAATAAAATATTTATAGCAAAACTGAATCCAATTTCAGCATAAAGCATGTGCTAAATTCCAAATATTTGGGATCCTTTAAAATAAACTTGAAAACAATTTTTAGTTGGAAGTTTTTAGATATCTAAATTATTCACACAATTAACAATTTCTGTTTCACAATTGAAACTTTAATTTGCCAATGACAGATTTTCAACAGTTTCTACTCACTTGTTACACTTCTGAGCTGAGGTTTTCAACTGCCGCATGAGAAACTACTTGTTAATGTTTTTATACAAAAATCTCACTTCGATATGCGTCGGAGGAAGCGTGAAAAGCGAGAAAATGCAAACATTATTGAGTGAAAAAAAAAAGAAAATACACGAAACAATCCGAATGGCTACGGAGTTAAGAGAAGAGAGAAAAGTCTTCACGTGGTTGTTGGATCTTTCATAAAACAAGTGAATGAAGCAATCAACTCGTTAAATGTTCGCAAATCTTCAGCTCATGCCTGTTTCTTTTGATGCTTCCTTCTTTTCTCGAGAATTTGTCTTTTTTCTTATTAATGTAAAATATTTATGACTTTTATATTTAAATTGTGTGAGTTAATGTAAGGAAAAAATACAAATGTACAAGTGTATAAAGTCGCACTGTGTATTTATTAAGTATCAAATCGCTGTCTCTTCACAAAAGCTACTTTGTAAATGTGCTTCTGTTTGAGATTAAACGAGTTGCTTAATAAAGAGAGTTTTCATGAAATTGAGAGAAAATTATTCATAAATGTAAAGATTTGCTTAAGCCTTTTAATTTTTTCTTACCAATTAATTTTGAATTATTAAATTTCGTCTAAGTATTTACAGAGAAATTTAAACTCCTTTTGCATAATATTTCTTGCCCACACATGAGATGAAAATTGTAAAATATTGAAACAGAACTTTAGAAGATTTTCTAATTATTTATCGTAAATGATGATAACACTCAACATACTAATTATTATTATATGCTTATGACTAACACAAGAAGATATTATTACCAAAGTTTTGAAACTTTTAAGTATTTACCTAAGTGAATTCTGCTATTAAAATTACAAACTTTTAGTTTTCCTTTCATTCCTAAATAGCAATTGTTCATAATAGATACAATCTTAGTTGTACGACGCTTGTTTTATTTTATCAGCATCTGGTTTAGTTCTCATTTTACGAAAATTGATTGAATCGGAAAAGCTTGAATGGTTTATCAAAATTTTACTTATTTGATTTATGCTGATTTAGCATCTTTGAGTAATTCTTTTATCAGCTTAAAATAAATTGTATTAATGAAAGAAAAAGCAGAGGGCAGATAATAAGTCAAGTGGCTAATATGATGAATTAAGAGATAGAAAAAGAAAGAAAGTCATTTGTATTGATTTCATCTTTATTCATGAAAGTTAGTTTACAATTTAATTTACAATTCAAAAGATATCCATTAAGGATGGTAAGTTAGATAATTGAATGTTGAATATCTTATTTCATTAACCAATTCTATTACATAAAGACAACCATAGAAATAATCTCTCCCTCATAAGAATTGATATTAATTAAATAATCATTTGTGAATTGTGTGCTGAACTGAAAAGAAAAACCTCATAAATCATTGAATGATTTTTCCTTCTGCTTTTACTTTAACAGCACAGTTTTTATCTCATTTTCTTTCACATTTTTATTCATACAGATTTTAAAATTTACATTTACAATATTAGATATTAGTAGATGATTTTGGTTCAAATATTAATAACGCCAAATGCCCTTCCGCAGTGATGTCGCCTACGTTTTTAGATATTTCTTTTTACTTTTTTAAAATGGAGGTTAAAATTCAATTAAAACAATGGAGAAATGATCTTCTTCAGTCTCAGCAGTGCATGGTTTCGCGATAATGTATGATGTTCAGTTTATATAAGCTGGTGCGATTTTATTCCAGCTTTGAGGTTGTGACCGCTTTCCCCACATACCTCGAAGATTATTCCAATGAAGTCTTGCTGGTTCTCTTTTCCATCCCATAGGTCTTAACGCTGAGCCTCGTTTACCCCAAGCATTGTTGATTGAATTCCAAGCTCGTTTTTGAAGCGGTATTACATCATAAGAATCTTCATCGTCAAGAATGTATCCTCGAAGCTTTGGCTGCTCATAATCATAATTTACTAAATTATCGCGAGAGTCTGCTTCCAAAGGATTTTGGAGAACTTTTCGGAAATCATCGTCATCATCATCATTTAAATTCCTCTTTCCCCAACCACCATTTAACTGTTGCCACGACCTTTTCGCCATTCTCATTTCTTCCGACTCCTGAAGCTGTTGATTGTTTGTGTCGTCATCGTCGCTTTTACCAACAGACACTTCTTCAGCCAGCACTGCATATTTTGTGTTGTGATGAAGTATGAAGAAGATTATAGAAAGAATTTTGAATGCGTTTAACCATTTGATGTGCATGTTTTTCTTTCGGTCCTTTGAATGAGTCTGTCAAATGAATATAGAAAAGTTATAAAGTTAATGTCAAATTTATGAACTTTAATTTTCAACTTTTATGTGTTTGTAATTGACAATTGATGTAGAAGAGAATTTTCTAAATCCTTTTCTAAAATATGTCATCCCACGATATTTTTCAATCATAACTTCTAACTGCAGGTTATAATAATAATTGCAAAATTAATCTGAATGGTCAATAAACGAAGGAAAGCACTTTGCAGGCAATAAACGTTCAACGGCCAAGAGAATGTCATAAGTGGAAATTCTCTTTCAAGTCACGTTTCACTATGAGGCTGATTATCGTTGAAAACAGTTCTTAATGGTTCATGAACTGTCGTGATGCAATTTTAAGCGATGTCAAAATGATTTTCTACTACATTACATTTTTAACAGCAGAACTTTTTTATTTTCTGGATGATATTATAAAAAGTTTAAAATTTTATCTCAATTCAAGAAGCAAACATTTTAAATGAAACAAAGAAAATTAATTATCGAATGTGTGAAAATTTCTAATTTACAAATCTTTAAATTATAAAAAATATTTTTCCTTCATTTGTTACTTAAATATTTAAATTCTTGTTAACATGTTTCTGTCTCTAATGGTTTGGAGAGTTTAAACAAAAATAATAAATTAGGCTCTGATCCAACAAATATAAAAGCGTAATTAAAATGTTGAATTGTACGTGTTTCCATTAAGAAAAATGAACAAGAAGGGAAAAGTTTTCATTTATTCTGTGCTTAAAGTGTTGTTATATGAGAAGAAAGCATTTCAGTTGATATTCAAGAATTTTTGAAATAATTCTAAACCGCAAAATTATCAATTCAATTTACATGAATTTCAATTATGATTTAAGAGGCAAATATAGACGGGAATCTTATTTGTAGAGACGAATCTCAACCATTTAAGGCGCACTTAGAATGTTGGTAATCTTCTTTCCTCACTCTCAAAATGGATAAAATTGAGTGAATGAAAGAAATTCTGAACAAGACACTTCTCGAAATTCGTGTATTAGCATAAGACCACTTTTAAAATTCCTTCTGCGTTTCAAGGAAATTGGTAATGGCGACAATGGAAATAATAAAAAATTATGCACATAAATTTTCCCCCCAAAAAGGAGAAAAGAAAGATGTGATCCTCTTTTCGCTTAATTGAATAATTATACGCAAACGACATTTTTGTGGAAATAAGTTATAAGAATGAAAACAGAAAAGTTTTGCAACGTAACTCAACATGTGTTAGATTATCCATTTAAACTTTTAAGAAACACTTAAATATTGTCATCTTGGATTAATTTTCAATTACTTCTTTTAAACTCAAAACATTTTCTGTTTCATTGAAGTTCGAATCATTTCAGGAAATTTCATAAGAAAACAGACAGGAAAGGATTTTCACTCCAACGTACGTAGACTCTCAACATAGATGATTTATATGAAAAATGCTTGTCATGTAATTCAACACTCAACAGGCGTGATTATTATACGTTTACGTAATAACTGTTTCCGTACAGAATTCACATCCGGGAAATAAATTTTCTAATACGTCTTATGGTGGGCTTAAACTTTGCTTATGCCCCACATAAAAACAATAAAAAATTCATCTTTGAAAAACGTCACGTTTAGATTTGAGCAAGGTCATGGTGAATCCTTTGAATTATTTATGTATCTTTTTTCTCACAAATATGTTGTGTTGTTATGTGTAATAACAGCACTATGGTGATCATCAACAGCCTCTAGAGAATATAAAATAAGAAATTGAATATTAAAAAAATATTTTCAAAGGTTTGCTCCATTGTGGTTAACAAGTGTAATCTTCGAATTACATGCGGCACCAACATGAATCATCTTTTTACGTTTGTACTACGTGTATGAGTTAAATGGAGTAAAAACAGATTTAAGGTATTCATTTTTTTAGAAAGGATTTAAGATAATTTAGTAGACGTCAAGCGACTTCATTTTCAAAGTTTAAAAGTTTATTTTTACTTGGATAAACGTAAATAAGTTTTCAGAAGAATAAAATGTAAAATATGGAGAACCATTTGTAATATTTTAAGGGTTACTGACAGTTTCTCCTTTTTAATTCCGTCCATAAAGAATAAAAAGGAGTAACAACCGACATCAATCATTAAAGATATGCATAGAATAATCATTATGAGGCTTCTCTTATTTTGCTAAAGTCTTTTCATTTTGTATTTCTTTAATTGATGCAAACATTATTATTAAAATAATCAACATGTAGGCTAATTTAGGGATTCACTTTTAATTAATTATGACGTTTGTTATGATCGTTTGATGTTTTTCATTCAACACGATGAAAATTGTTCATCATGTAGCGTAAGCCGTATTATGTTCAAATTGTGTCTATTCTTGTCATTTAAGTATGTTTCATATCTGACCTATTTTCATCTCGGAAGATCTAAATTGAAAGAAAAAATGTTTTTTCACAAAATTAGCCTGTCTACAAGCATCATTAGGATTCTTCAGTCTTTCAATTATCAAAGCTAATTTCATTCGCATACTTATAAGGAAGCTTTTCAAAATGTTAAGGTAACCAACCCTCGGAAAGCTTCACACTTATATTTAGGTATTTAATATTAAAAATCAGAAATATTATTGCAATTACATTAAGGTGAGAGACATGCATGAACGAATTCAAATTAAATCAGGATTCTTTCATGATTACGCAAGCATTAAACGAGAAAAAATCTTAAGTACATTTAGATTCCTTCATAGATGTTTTAAGATAACTGCTTTTTATAAATTAATCACTTTAATGTTGTTTTTAGTAGAGTACAAATTGCTTTCGCTTTTAAACGTTAGAGCATCATCGCATCACAAACCTTATGCTTTTAACTTATCTCATTCGAAAGAAAATTTCACATTCATTCCGTAGAAAATTCATTTACTAATCTTGTTGTTTAAATTATTAAAACCTTAAAGCGTAAACGGAACTGAGTGAAATTTATACCGGTGTGAAGACAAGATTTGTGGAGAACATCCTCGAGCGTGTTTGTTTTTGCTTATCAACTCGCAAAAAAAATCTCAACTGCCGTATAAGTGTCACAAGATACAATTAAAAACATCACGAACAATGGTGACATTTTTTTAAATTTTTCTTCTTATTAAAATATTTCTTTTTCTTTTAAATTCTCTTTTCATCAGGGTTAGATCCGTGGCATTTTAGTGACATTATGTGTTTCTTCTCACAATTTATTTTAAGATTCCTTGCTGTTCATCATCATAACGATGACGACACCAAATAAAAGTTACCTTTGACATATGACGCACTTCACGTTATCAATTGAAATTTTTAACAGAAAACTTTTCCAGAATAATTTCATGAAACATACAAATGAGCATTACCGAAATTTTGTTAATTTCAAATTTGAAATTTCATTCACGACTTCGTTATGAATTATGCAAGGGTTAATGAGTAAAAAAACATTTTTTAGTAAAACGTGAAAAGCTGTTGTTATGCTGTAAGAAATTTAAATGAGTAGCACGTTAAGCTTTCCATTTTCGCGTTTGTAACTTTTCTCTAAGCCTTTTTAATATTTTATCACTAAAATTGCCTTCTTCTTCTATCAAAAATCAAATTGTTAAAGATTTTATGGAATGATGTGGGATTAGTGGGAAAGTTTTCGGGAAATTTCCTTAATACTTTTCACTTCTTCACAACCATAAGTATTGTGGTGATGTTAATTGAATTTTGTTATGGCTTTACTCTTTGACTAAATCAAGATTAAACAGGTGCTTGAAGTGGAAGGAATTTAGAATTAATTCCATTTTCTAAAGAGATTGCAGACAGATTAGCAATTTAAATTGTTATTAAGCTCTTGCTGAGTGTGATGTGAAACAATTTCGCTTCTAGCGTTATCATCAAATATGTTCGTAGATAGTTAGATAATGATGAATTGAAATGGAAACTTTTCATAGTTTCGTCTTTAAGTTTCGCATATTATGTCATTAAAGTCTGATGCAGAAAAGCGGAGAAACTTTTAATAAAATTTCGCTGTGAGAAGTATTGAAAATATGTTGCAAAATAATGGTTTACTAACTTAAATATTATACTTATTACTTAAAAGTTTTGTTTATTCAAATAAGTAAGTATTTAAATGAATGAAAATTTTGCATCACTTTTTTGTCTGCGGTGTCGAAAGTTATGAAAATCGAAACATGTTTCAAGCGTTTCAAGGATTTAATTAAAATTAAATGAAATATTTCAAGAATTTACTGAGTTTATCAAATCTTTCATTACTTTGAAAATTTTCATAAAGATTTCACATGATTTATACAATTTTATGAAAAATCTATCAATCAAATAAAGTTTTGTTCTTCTTTCTATTTCCTTCTTAAAAGTTCTGTCTATTTGAAGTATTTTAGGGATAAAAGAATTGAGACACTTAATTAAAAACGAAAGAGAAACTTCTTCAAGATATTTTATAAAATTCAATAAAAGAAAATTTCACAATCAACACATTTTTATGACAAAGTTGCACAAAAATATTTAATAAAACTGCTTCACATGACTCATATCTGTAATATGATCCATCAAATTAAACGCACAATATAAATTTTGACGATATAACGATGTAGAGTTGACATACCGTGAGTGAGACGAATTTATTGTTCCTCAATCCTCATGCGTGGAAATTTAATTAGAAATTAAAGTAAATTAACAATTTTAGTATAGAAATTTTAAGAAAAACTTTGTCTAACTTCTTATTATTCCACTTAAATAGTAATTTTTAATTGAACTGCCTGCAGTACCAACACCTAACATGCAGTTGAGCAAGTTAAACTGTTAAAAGAAAACCTTATTCCAAATGTATTTATACAGTTTCACGACAAGAGACTACGAAGAGACGCAACAGACAACGATTGGTGAAAAACGAAAATTTCCGAACAAATATTACGAAGAAGTGCCGAAAAACGTGTTGGTGGTGAAAATTTTCCACTCTCAGCAGGAATCTCTTTTGATCGTCGATAAAATCATCATAATTTCTTATCTTCGATGTTTTGATACCTTGAAAAAGATATTGAAAAGGAAAAAAAATATGCTTGACAGTTGAAGTATTTAGTAAAATGACGAAAATTGAGTGCTATCGTGATTCGATGCTTATCAGCTTAGGAAGAGAATAAAAGTATCCATTAAAAACGCTTGTATAACGATTGCTTTGTTTACGCTGATGATTTCCAGATAAGCTGTTTAAATAGAATTGTGAATGATTTAATCAGAATTAAACAACTTAAATGGATTGCCATTCGACATTTATCCAATGAAAAGATTAAAGCTTAATCATATTTCTGAGCTTAAAAAGTAAATGAAGTAATTTTATCCTTCTTTGGAAAGAAAAGCTAAATTTTGTATAAACCTTGATGAACATTTTCGTAGAAAAAACTAATAGACAGACACTATGTAATGAAACGAGATATATGTTCTGAATTAGAAACTACATTGTAATTCTCATTGCAGCGAAGTACTTAATTGAACCATAAAACTGATTCTGTTGAAACTGAAGTTTGTATCACACGTCTTTATGATTAAATAGACAACAACCATTCTGATAAAGAATGATACAAAATTGAGACCTGACTTCACCTGTCATAATGACAATACAAAACAAAAGTTTTTCACGATAAAATGTATTTTTATAAGCCGTTTATGAAGTCATGGTATAGTCAAGAATATTTAGTTTTATTTCAGCATAGTTACCAAGTTATCGAGTAAATATTTGATGTGATAATTACATTTCGTATTTTGAGTGATAAATGTCAATGTTTCGATAAATAATCGATAAGTTTTGTTCATCTATTCAAACAATTAGATAATAAAATTTTGTACAAATAAAAGCTGAAAGAAATTTCTAAAAAATAAGAATTTTGTTTCATCATATCTGTAAAGATGATTTTCATAAATAAAATCACACAAATATTTTTTAAAGTTTATTGTTTACATCAACTTAAACTTGATACAATTAATATTATCATGCGTATACAAATCAAAATAATTTCCCAGAAGAAAAGCATGCAGAGAACCCTCTATAAAAACTTTTTGAAGACAAAGAAATTTGTGGAGAGGAAATCCGTCGTACGCAATCTTTTCATAGAGAGATTCTTTTTATAAAAGTTGTTATAGAGAATTCCCTGCACGTCAATGAGTTTCTTTTCCTTCAACATAATAATTTGAAATAAAATATTTTAAATATTCGCTTCACTTTCCGTGTTTTAAAATTAAGTTAAAACCGAAAGCATTTTTCTCTACTTTTTTAAATGATTAGACATCCATTGAAAAGAACTTTTTTAAAAATATTATGATTAAAAATACAAACAAAAAATTATTGTAGAAAAATCCACGCTAAAAAATTATTTTCTCATTGATAATTTCAGTTATTGTCGATTTATTTTTTTATTGTTATTTAAGTCAAATTTCCTTTAACCCTGATTTATTTTTATTCATAAATGGATTCATTTCTATGGGTAGAGAAAAGCAGTGATGAACTTCATTTGGAAAAGAGAAAAGTTTATTGGATAGAAAAATGTTGAAATATCAAAAACTATGAAAAATTTGCTGTCTTATCAAAGACTTCCTTTGTGCTCTATAATCAGTCAATTTCCACTTTTCTTTCTTTTCTTAAAAATTTTATTTCAATTTATGTAGATAGTTTGAGCCATTTATTGTGTAAGGATATCATGAGAAAAAATTTATCAAAAGAGTTTCTTAGAGGTAAAGAATTTTTGGTTCATAAAGATTTCATAAGATGAATGAATGATTGATTGATTGAATGTCTTAGAGTAGATTATGTTGGTTGTTGGTTTAATGAAATACTAAGCTTTAAGGTATTTTTAATTCCTTAACATTAACTTTGAACTAACAATTATTTTTATGTTAGATATTTTACGTCTCAAAGGATCAATTCATTAACAATTAATTATTTATAAATGCAAATCACTCACAAAAAAAATTAGGATTTTGGCAAGAACAAAATAGCGTCTGATTTCAGTGTTTAACATTAACAAAAAATTATAAAAGATAATCAAAATAATAAAATTTTTAATTCTTTCTTTGCATTGAATGTCAATTAAAGTAAATGAAAATGAAAACAATTCGAGCTCATTCATATTTTAGTTTTAACTTTAACAACCTTTTTGTTTATATTGAGGTTTCATTGCTTAGTTTTATTTCTTATTCAAAATGTGGGTAGATATCTAATAATGTTTATCTAATCATATCAGGTCATATTATGAATTTAAATATCTACTTTGTCGTCGGAAATTTATCGACTGACATTAAAATTTTACTGAACTTTTTATTATCTTCAATTTTTCAAAGATATTGAAAATAAAAATGAAAGAAAAGAAAGAAATAAAATTTTCCTTCTACTTGTTCGTATTTAATTATTGGTGTTAAATGTATGAAATCATTAACAATTTTCTTTAATTCCATGCTAGCAACATGAGATTGCGACTAGAGCAATTCTTAATGCTCCATTTCTATTCTTAAAAGTTAACAGCAACTTTCACGAATGATGGGAAAATGTAGGAGAAAAGGATGCCAGTGAAGATGCCAGTAATAAGCATTGCAGCAGCCATCATTCCCGCAGTTATCTGATATTGGGGGTTTGTCTGTGACTGTGGAGCATACATCATCGCTAAGGAGCTCAAGTATCCCGAGCTAAAGCTCATGATAATGGCAATCGTCCAGTAGACATAATCATTGGTGATATAAACTGGAAGAACACGTTCCATTGAAAGTGGATGGTAATTACAGAATAAAAAGAGTGGGATAAAAACAACACGAGCTAAGACGGGAATAATCAAAAATCTTGGAGATGGCCATTTCACCCAACTCGTTGCTAAACTTCCCAACATCGCAAAAAAGTTGAACGTGAAAAAGCAAGTGATCGACGTGAACAATTCTCTTGGAACAATTCCCAAAAACTTTCCTTCGCCCAGCTGTTTGATGTCAGAATGGACGGTTGGGAAAACAGTTAGTGTCACAAAGAAAATGAAAAAGACGTTGAAAAGCTGCATAAATGATTGACGGAAGATTTTGTAGTAAGGCGGGTGGGCTTTGATGTTGATACCAGCGCGACGTGCTTTCTCTTGCTTCTTCTCGCTCATCAGCTCATGATAGCGATAAAACTTATTCAATGGCATTGCAAAATAAGTGTCAAAGCATAGCAGAATAACAAACATAGCCGTGATAAAGTAATAAATGGCAGCTTTACGAACGGAAGGCCAGATGGAGCCTGACAAGATGCTTATCACGGACGCGAAAGGTCCGCTGATGTTTGATCCCAACACGACAGCTCCAGTGTACTTTGGTGGGAGTTTGGCAGCCATTCCATAAGCAGTATTTTGGAAGATGCCACCAGCAATGTTAAGTATTACGACTGATACTATTGTCACCCAGAAGAAGGTTCCTGGCCAATCTGACGAATCAACCATGGCAAGAATCACGGTGATAAGAAAGACGATGATTTCAACAACTAAACTCCAAACGACACGTTTCGTCAGATCACCACTGTGGGATGTAAAGAATTATTAACGTGACAGTTTCATGAGCATCATCAGATGGTAACTTACCCAAGATTCACGAATATATTCAACCAATTGAAGAGCACGTTGGGAATTTGAGATGCGAATCCAATGTACGGTAAGAAATTATCAATGTACACTGTGTTGTTCTGTCCAGTATAATTCGCTGATAATTTGTAATTCACGAAATAATCTTTTGCTGTAATGAACATGTTCCACGGCGTAAGCGTTCCGATTCCATGCAGAACAAGAATGAGGAAGATAAGCTTGAATTTGTCACTTGGTGGTTCGCATTCCAGTCTCGCACGTTCCATCGTCATTCCTTTGAAATTGAGATCATCATTGGGGAGATTCTGAGCTTCCCAAGCAGGTGTGAGACGAACAGGTTCAGTTGAATCATTTCTGCCTGTTTGATAAGAAAAGAGTCACAAAGTTTCATTAAGTTTTCATAGATAAAAGGAAAGTTAATTAAGCAACAAACTTTTCTTCAAATGTTTCTTCACGTAGCAAAAAATTGTTGCCATTTTTAATTTTTTCTTTCTTTCACTTCACAAACCAAAATTTGAATTCTTTTATGAAGTAAGCTTGTCGACTTTTCGAATGAAACTGAATTCAAACGTTTCTTTCGTGCATGGTCAGCTCAATTATAAATATCATGTTCAGAACAAAATGAACACCAAAAATTCAGAACGAAATATTTTCAAAATATGGAAATTTTTCATGGTATTTGTGATGAAAATAAATTGCAAAGGTCGATGAAGTAGAATCCAATAATTGTCTTATCGAAGTTCTTTTTCGTCTTCTTCCTTAAACTTGTTTCAAATATTTTTTTGGTAAAGCGAAGAATTTTCTTTTGTGCAGTCGAAGAATGAATCAAATTGCATGTCAAAAATTGGAAACTTGATTCCATTTGGAGACTCTTGAGTGTTAATTTGCGTTTTTCATGTACTAGGCATGCATGTTTCGCGTTATAAACTTCCATTTGATTCACATTAAATTAAAATTTTACTTAATCACTCAGGTGAGTTTACTCGTGTATAAAATCATTAAATTTTGATTCTGTCAACTGCAAAAGCATACGAATTTCTCGTTAGGATCGTATAAAATTAATGTTTTACTTTAGTTTATTAGTTAGTAAGTTTTCTTAGTCGATTCAGAGATCACAGAATTGCAAACGAAGTCATTATTAAAATTTTTGTATTTTTATGTAAACTTCTCCTGCAGCTCATAAATCGCAGTCAGTGTTTTTTGTCATTCTGTTTTCGCTTCTCTCAACAACAGCATGTCTCAGTAGATTTTAAATTTTTCATCGAATTAAAGAAAAAGAAAAGTGACAATTGAAAAAATAAACCATAAATTATGTCTTTCTTCTTCTGCAGTGAATGAGAATAATAAATCACGAAAGAAAGAACTTTGTTTGTGAATTGGTTTAAAATTAAATTTCTAATTAATAAAAATTTATAAAAAAAGGAACAATTTAAGCAGTCCTATCAATGAGATATGTAAATTCGTCGTAAAACAAAACAATTTTCTAAAATTCAGAAATTTTAATCTAATCTCTAAGCTTATCCGAAAAATATTCAACAGATTATTAATCTAACACTCTAGTTTAATCCGATTAGGAACAAAAAGTTAATCCAAGTTCGACACTTATTGAATTTGTGAGAAACGAAAACGATTAATCATATGATCTATTTTTCAATTTCAGCTCATGCTTGTATATCTCGACAGCCTCTTTTATTTGTGTCATGACTCATGGCTAAATTGGATCTTGTTACCATTTAATTGCATTATTCCTTTTCATTCAATTACATTTCAAATAAAAGAAAGAAAATATCAACAAAGGGAGACTTTTGCGATAAGGAGTAGGAAAAAAGAAAAGAGATTATCTACTTGACCTATGTACTTAGGAATTATAGAAATCGTTATCATGAACAAGCGACGTTGATATGGAAAAGAATTAATTTGTTTTGTTTGCAAATCTCATTGAATCTAATCAACATTTTTGACAATCGAATTAAAATTCATAAACAAGTCGTAAAAGAATCATTGATTACAATTTACAATTGACGACATCATACAAAATTATATAATTTACAAAATTAAATTATTTACTCACTAGAGACAATTGAAGTGCCGTTCGATCGACTGTGACCAAGAAGTGATTGTTCCTCTCGTCTTGACGATGCCATTTTTCTGTTTCCTCTTCCTTTCTTTATTAACTCAAATCAGTTTTGCGCTTTGTTATTTATACAATTCTATCACTGGTGCGTGTCTCTGTAGATATTTGTCTTCTTATCAGTCTAAAATGAGTCGAAATAGAGAAGAAAGTTAATGAAATTAGAAGATAAATGCAAATAGATGAAACAAAAAATTAAGGAAAATTTTTAATGAAATTTATTCTTGACAAACTTTCTCTGCCCTTCAAATAAGATTGTGCAAGATGTTGAAGTCTGACGTCATAAAAAGAATAAATCATTGTCTCATTATATACATTTAAAGAGAATTGAGATAATTTCTTATGACCAGTAGGATTTTCATTGTATTCACTTCATGATGTTGATAACACATTTTTGTATGAGTTTCGTAATTTTTTACTATTCAGAGACTTTTTACTACGAAAATATTCAGAAACATAAACATTAACTCCCACCTAATCGACAATGGCAGAAGAAACACAAAAAAAGACTGTTCTTTTCTTTCAAATGTGCCCTTTTAGTTCCGAGTTCATTTCGTTATTGTTTATTTAATTTTTTAAGCAAAGCGAAACATTAATCTTAAAAAAACCACACAAAACCGAAAATGTTAACATTAAAAATAACTTCGAACTTTTTGCCCTTTGATGCGACGAAGACGAAAGCAAATTTGAGAATTTAATGTATTCTTATGGATTTAGATATTTATGTTTATTTAATAGATTAGATAACAACGTAGATATAAATTTGGATATTTTTTTAGTATTTTTGCAATAGGCATTTCGATCTTATCGTCTTGTCTTATCAATAACCTTAAGTACTCAAAAAAGCACAGGGTCTTGATTCGAACTTATCGTTAAGTGGGACAATTTGTTATCTCTCAAGAGCAATAACTACTCGAACATTTATATTATGCAATAAATTTAACACGTGGCTAGCTTTCCCATTCACTTTCACGACATCTAACAATTTTATCGATTAAATAAATTTATAAAAAAAACATCTAAATATACCAGGACTTGGAATTTCTTCACTTTTATTTTTGCGACTTTTTGATTTACGAGTAGATTAAACATTTATAGAATTGCGACCGTTTTGTATGAAAACATCTCTCGGATTAAATTGTCGAGATTTTAAACTGTTGCTGTGAAGTGTGAATAAGAACATATCAAGTATCTGTTACACTTATACTTTGATTTGTTTATATCTCATTCATCACATGATTACGTTTTTGACAGTACAATGTGGATATCGATTTAATCTTGACATTTTGCTATACTTAAGTATTCTCAAGTTTCCTCCCATTTTACTCGTTAAAGCCGCATAACTGGATTTTATTATTCTTTTTTTTTTTCATTTGAAGCAGAGACGAAAGAGTAATGAACTAACTAGCTACTTAAAATAAAATATGCAGATGCAAACTGTTTTTCGATGGTTTAATTGAAGTGTCAGCAGGTTAAGGAATTAATGTTTCATTAAATTCAATTGACAAATTTGCTCCAAGTATCAATTCGAATGAAATTTAATTTAATTATTATGGAGGAATTCGAAATATTTTGGATATTAAACTGATAAGGTTAATAGACAAGAGTGTAAGTACACATCTCTGCTTATTTTCAGTCACAGTCTACTTACCAATATGGATTAAAGTACGTAAATCAATAAAGAATATGAGAATTGAAAAATATAAAAACTTTTGATATTTTTTTGCCGCAAATTACAATTTCAATAGAGACGAATTTATTGAAATTATGTTTAAATCACTACATTTACTGTAGTTTTGATTAATTTTCTTCTATACACGTGTTTTAAAGCACATTTTCCGCGCGGTTAAAAATATATAAACTTTTCTTGAAAATTTCTCTTGAACTGTTTTGACCTGTTCATAAGTTTTGTAACAATTCCCGCTATTTCTCTTGCATTGCGTTCAATCCAGTGGTGTCATGCATGAACATTCCGGGTAAATTGTACTATTCTGGAAATTTGAAACTTTTTGTAACGACTTTTCTTTTCGTGAAAGAAAAAAAAAGTTGTCTTTAAATCATAAACATTTATTTTAATTCACTTTGTTTTCGATAAATTAACTACAACATTGGTTATGCGAAAAATTATGATATTTAACAATAAGTTTTTAGATAATCGTATAGCTAATAAATGTCATTAATAAGCAAAATTATTTTATAATTGCCTTTTTTCTATTTCTTTAATTATGCTTACTTAATAAGTGGTGTAACTGTGACCCAATAAATATCTAATAGTATATTTCTTTCCTTCGTCTTGACTAGTTTGATATTAATCTAATTATGAAGGAGTTTGGATGTAACATCCATACTAAAAACCTTCTCCGAACCCCTGTTACTTATATTATCATCAATAGAATAAAGATTGTGATCTTAAAATGTAACGAAATTAATTAAAGTTTAAAGTCGTAACTATATGTAATACCAGAATGTTTTTGCTGCTTGAATCCATCAGTAGTTTAAATAATTCATGTTGTCTTCGGTAAAATATTTATCAGTTATGTTGCTAGCATTAATATTTATGGTTGATTAGGTCGTGAAGGTAAAGCTGGTGGTTTATTTCTTGCAGGAATAGGAGGCATGTTTCTCGATGGTATGGGTGGTGGAGCTCCAACTGTTGGGCGAGGGGGTAACACTTGTTGAGTTATTTGCGCTTGTGGACTTAATACTGGTGGCGGTTCTTTGGGTGCCGATTGATGTGGCTGCAGATTTAAGAAATAAACTTTATAGAAAACGTTTTCAAAGTACAATTGATGTTCTTACAATATCGTCTTGAATTTCTTCATAAATTGCTGATGGTGCTTGGTACGTTTCAGCTTCCATTGTCGTTTGCTCAGATGGAGGTGAAATTTGATCTGATTTTTGTTCCATAGCTTTCGGTCTTGGAGGCAAACATGGCCTCTCTGGTAGTTGTGGTTGCGGTTGAGATTGTTGTGGACGAATTATGTTGTTGACATTAATAACTCCAGCCTAAAGTTTTATTTGAAAAAATATTAAAGGAAATTAGAAAGAAATGAAAGAAACCTACCGTGTGCCTTGGATGATGTTTTGGAGTAACTTGTGGGGATTTCGGTAGTGCAGGTGGTCTAGCTGGAGGTTTTTTCTTTGTTTGTTCTCCACCAGCTAATGGAATGCCTAAACTATTGTAATCAGAATTTGATGAAACGTCGATGTATTCACAAAGTTGAACACAATTTGTTGTACATAATTCAATTTCTCGTTCAACTTGCTTCACCCAATCTTCAGTTTTAAGATTGATTGATAAATTTATTCCACACACTTGAAGATTTTTTTTACGTTTGACAGCAGCTAGTGCAGCTTGTCCGTCTTTGAATGTCACCCACATCGTTTCACCGACAAATCGTATCAATGTCACTTCACCAATCTCTCCAAGCTCTTGAACAAGTGCAGCTGTTACGTTTTCGTCATAAATGCTGTCTTCATCATCGTCATTATGTTGATCAACAGCATGAATTACAACAGTGGAATCAGGAGGTCCTAGATCGGTTATGACTTCATTAAACACACGAGATCTCTTTTCAGCATCGATTAATGAGTATTCAATATCAAGAATAGCGACGACTGGTCGATGATCTGACTGTTTGAGTTCAGCGCGACCATAGAAAAGTAATTTTCCAGGGTTAAAGTTTGGATCATCGGCATCTAATTGACGGATTCTTCTTCTCCATAAAACACGATCAGTCCATGCTGGTGCTCGAGCTTTCTCACTCGTATCGTAATCCTCACTAAACAAATCATATTTGTATGTTGGGGGAAAATTAATTTCACCTTCCAAGAAATCGTTAAACACGCTTCCAGCTTCTTGTTGTTTCTTTAAGAAAAATTAAATTAGTGAAATAGAAAAAACATTTAAATCAATCTTCTTACTCTCAATTGATCATTCTCTAAAACTGGTTTCAAATCTCCTGTTTTTAAAATTTCTTTCATCTCATCTTTATCCATGTCAATGCGATAATTGAAGTCGCCACACCAGAAGACATAATCATGTCCTTTCAATGTTCTTCCCATTGGAAAAGCAATTTTTCTTGTAATTTCAGCATAATCAGCATTTCTTTCAATAACTTGCGATTGACCAGCAGCAAAATGTGCAGCAACAAAACAGAACGATGTTCCATTCAATACAAAACGAATAGCGGCAGCGCCTTTGTTACCAGTCGCACCACCAAGTCCAGTTTTAACAGAATCAGTTGCAACATCGCGAATACTTTTTGCTAATTGTGGACGAACAAATACGTAAAGACAAACACCAACAAGTTGTTGACTCGTTAACAAAGCGTATGGTTCGTCATCTTTTGACAACACTCGTTGTAACTCTTCAGCCCCTGAATCATCAAAAAAGAAGAAAAATTATTAAGAAATGTCATTCAAGTGAAACGTTGGAATTTTCCGCACACTTACAAGCTTTTGCGTTATCAGAACTTGCTGCGACAATATTACCCGCATTTAAATCAACAATTTCTTGGAATCCTATTGCATAAATGTCTGCCATTTTATCATAAACAGAATCAGAATGTTCAATGTCAATGATTGCGTCTGTGAAATAAAAATTATGATTAATAATAAACATCTGTAAAGTTTACAATTCTTATATTCATCAGTCATGCGGCATTTTAAAACTTGTTTGTAAATTATTTCGCCAAATCTTACAAACAATTTTTAATGTCAATTCACATCACTGAATTTAAAGTTCTGAATATAGAATTCAACTCACCATTTTTAGGCGCCAGCCAGTCGATAAGTGACAAATCTTTATAAATGACACTTCGAAAGTGTTTTCCACCATTAACATTGTAAGTCCCTATAGCGACTCTCAATTCAGCTGGGGAAACATATTCATTATAGCGTCTGCACATTTCCCTTAAAACCGGAGTTGGAGCATGTAACATGTTCGTTGGCAACAAAATTCTTGCACGATCAGCAAGTTCAGAACTTAATGTGGAGCCGACAAGAAGAATGTCGATTGCCTCTTGTTTTGATGAATCGAGAAGATTATTTTGTATTGTTCGAGCTGCCGATCTTGCACCGTCAATAATTTTTGAACCAGCACCAGCTCCAATTGATCCAATTGCACCAGTACCAGCATAAATTTTACTGACTTCATTTCCATTGGATCTATCAAGAAGTTTTTGCATGAATTTCAATGTCATTTATAAAAATGTGTTTTACTTACATCCACATCTGTCTAAAAACTTCCTCAAACCTTGAAAGTGTTTGCTTCTTATCAGCTAATCCAATGATTTTAATTTGCTCATTGAGAACTTCTAGTCCAATGAACGTCTGAACGCAATTCGTTCTATCAAGACAATCCAGACAATTTGTTCTTATAGTTCCATATTGTTCTTGATTAACGTCATCAGATGATGCAAAGAAAAGTCCAAAACTTCCACAACATTTCTCCAAACGATCTTTTAACTTCGATAAATTCGTTTGATTTCCTCGACATTCCTGATGATAATCGAAGACGATATGTGGAACATCTTTGTGAACAGACATTTCATGATGTTTCTGGAATTCATTACTAAGCATTGCTTCTCCTTCTTTACTTCCAATTAAGCTTGTTCCAAGAAGATTACAAATTGCTTGACGCCCATAACGAGATTTCATCATTGTCATATGACGATCGAAAGCTGGAGCTGTTGCTTCGAAACCACGAGATAATTTCACTTTATGCGATCCAACTTGGACACCTGGTTGCTCCCAGAACAATGGAACTGAACCTCGTGTTTGTAAGTATGATGTCACTTCGTTGTCGAGATAAATTGCTTGTTCTGTTTCAACAAAATTCGCTACATAGCCTTCATCATTACAACCGCGTACATTGAAGCGAGTTCCAGCTCTTTCACAAGATAATCTGGAAATGATGACTGCACGAGCTTGTCTTGAACCAGCATAGACAGTTCTTATCTCAATTGATCCACACATGGCCTTTAATAGCCAAAACTCGCATTCAACAGCAAATCGTAATAAATGAATGTGTAACATGCGATTCCAGAAGAATCGATTGTCAGTTTCGTTTGTTTTCCGACGACGTTGAGCACTCAGAGTTATGTCGAAATTCTGGGCTGAAGTTGACGGCTTTTCAGAACTTGAATTCCATGAGAAATAAAATGTTCCTGAATTGAGAACTTTCCGTACTTCAGAAATCTTGTCTTCATTTGGCTGTTGATGTTGTAAAGATACAAATTGAGTTTGTGTTATGCGAAATATTTCGCTATCAGCAATTTTCCCCACTGAAAAACATCCAGTGACTAACACAAGATATAAAATCGTTGTTTCTCCAGCATTTAATTGCAAAACCCCTAAACATCCATAAGCGTCAAGAATCTTTACATACTGTTTACGAACAGCTTCTGTCTCTTGAGCAGCTGTGAAATTAGAGAAAATTTTTATGCTAAGGATTTAAAGAGAAGAAAAATCGATTTTCTTACACAAATTTGCCACAGCTTGTGATTCGAAAAGGAGTGTTTCTGGTCGTGATCTGTGCTCCAAGATAATGCTATGGGGTTGTTCTGGTTTATTCTTTTCCAGAATACGGTAATTCTTACCCATCGCCATTTTTCCAGACTTAATGTGGAGGATTTTTTTTCGTAATTTTAAATTAGCAGAATTGTTTGGAATGCAAACTCATCACAATTTGATACTAACACTAATATTTATTTTAATAAGCACTGTTATTATGTTAAATATCTGATTAGTTAGGACAATTAAAATCTATCAGTTTCATTTCTTGAAATGAGAATTCACGAAATCGTTCTTGAATTTTGTTTTGTCAGAGAAGGTTTTTTCTTCTATGTTAAACGCCACCTATTGGTTAGAATATGAAACAAGTGACAGTCAGACATATAAAGTTTTCGAACTTTGACAGTGCAATGCTAAAAAAATCAAAAGTGTTGATCCAGCAAATCTCCAAACAAAATCGAAAATTTCTTTTAAAAAGTTTCCTTTTCAACATTCACTAACATATAAGTGAAATATATAATAAATAAGTGGTAATGATTGTTTTACTTATGTTATTGAATAGCAAAACAATGAAAAACTTTCCATAAAACATCGTAAATGTCTAATTATTCGTGGATTTAAAGTTTGTTTACATGTTTTGACAGGAATCTCATCTCATTATTCAAAAATGGCACACACCATCCTATTTATTCAGCCAACTGTACCAGAAACAAGGACATTCAGTGATTATGAGAGTGTCAATGAATGTCTTGAAGGAGTATGCAGAATTTTTGAGGAAAACTTGAAAGTACGGAATCCACATTCGGTAAGTTTTCTCGTGATTTTTTACGTCTAAAGTTTTTAACTATTCATCTGAAATTAAGTCATTTCGTACCTTGTAAGACACAAATTTCTATTATGTATTATTTTATTTTCCTTAGCAAACAATAACTTATGACATCAGCCAGCTTTTTGAATTCATTGATAATATGACGGACATGAGTGTTTTGGTTTATCAGAGATCAACCAACACATACGCTCCATATAACAAGGAATGGATTAAAGAGAAAATTTATATTCTCTTGTGAGTATTTAATTATATTTAAAATCCGTTTTAATTTTATATAAATATTCTTATTTCATACTAGGAAAAAAGCGGCTGGTCAATGAAGATTAGATCATCATGAAAACAAGGCCTGTCAAGGGATGGGCTTATCTTTGATGCATTATTTCATTTCATAACTTCAAAAATATGAAGAATAAATTAATCTTTTTTTGAGTATCTATATCCTTTGGAAACAAGTTGTATTAATGACATATCAATTGATGTTGATTCGTATCAGGAATTTCAGATTGAAGTTTTGTTTTGATACTTCGAACATTTGGGTTTAAATTGCAATTATTTCGAATTATTTTAAATGCAATTAATAAAGTGAATTAAATTGATAATAAATTAATTCGAGTTTAGCATAATAATGTTGTATTTATGTAAATGAGCTTTCTTTGAACCGTGACAGTCGCTTTTCAATCCAAGAATTTTCGTTAGTAAAAATCAAAATGCTATAACTGAGCAGATATTTCGCGAGCAGTTAAAGTCATTTGTATTTTGAATTCATAAAAAATATTTTATTAAAATATACAACTAAACTTCAAAGTGAAAATATAATAACAAGTTGATAGCACACATCCATCATTAACATTTTTCAACTTTCTCAAACAATTATAACTAGGATACTGTTATAAGATTTTATTTCTTTATAAATATAAAATTCTCACTTGCAAAATTAAACTATGAATTTAGTTGCAATATTCATCGATTCCATCACTCAAACTAACATGTTAATTATAATGGATTGGAGTTATTAACATCTCTACGCAGTCATTCACTGAAGTAAAAAATCGTGTGTTATTTGACGTCACAGAAAATTCCACAAAGTAACAACAGGAAAAGTCTTTGCACACTTTACGTCATTCTAGGAACAAGCATGTAGGAGTAAGCAACTCCAAAATTCCCATCAAACGGTAGCAATAATAAATTGCAAATATCTAAGGCAAAGAGCGAGATTTCCTATCGTGAATTACGTCACATTTCACACGAGAGTTTGATGACTTCGTATCCAAAATTCACTCTCTCGCTTTTCTTAAATCTTTTTTCTACTCACTCCCCCTCCCCACGTGTCGCGCTCGTTTAGTTGGTTTTATGGAGTCGAAGATTTTATTCTCTTCAGCTTAAATATTTTGCAAATACACATTTGTGTTGAGATAAAAAAACAGATGATGTAACAGTTAAGGCATTTTACAAGGTTGATGGCTGAGGCTGGAATTGATGGTAAACCAAAAAAATGATCTTTTGCCGTTTTTAGTCGTTGGGAATTGAGCAAAAATTTTTAGCCTTTCTCGAAGTTTTATATCAACGAATAATATTGAAAGAATTTTCTACATATTCATTCCTTGAATATTTTAGCATCTTCTAAAATTTTCATGGAATTTTCCACAGTTTCATGAGCATACAATATGCTGTTTGTATTTTTTTCGGCAGATATGTATGCACATTCAGATATTATTTCTGATCTTCATAAATTTGACTTTATTTTCAGTTTGATTGACAAATTTAAGATCTTTTCAGTTTTCGTAATAATTCCAAAGAATAAATAAGTCACAATAAGCTTCTGGATATAAAGAAACAAAAGAGAGAAAAAAATTCATGTTCTTTGATATAAATATTCGTAGGTGGCTCTTGGCAACAGAAATTTTCCGAACGTTTTGACATTTTCCATTCATGAACTTTAGATTCGTCATGTAAATGTCTTCTCATGATTTAATTTCACTCTCTGAACTATTTCAAGTCTGATCATGGAGAGTTTGAAATATTTGAAGAGAGTGAGTAGATATTTTCATTCCATCAAATATAGCAAAATTTTAACAAAAAGATTAAAGAATTTACGTCATTTCGAAGAAATTTTCAAAGATTAGAAAAAAATCAATTACTCAGCAAAGATGTGGCGTATACGTGATAAGATGAATGAATTATTAACCGACTGACTAAGCATAATCGTTTTTCTTCGTTATATTTACATCTATATGTCTCGTTTTCTTTTCTAAAATTCTAATTCACTTAACGCATTCAACACTTACTAATCATATACCTAAATAAATGAATATGATACATAAAAAAAGAAAAGAGGGAATTTCCCGTCACATTCTCCGAAAACTTTGAAATAAAAATGATCTCATAAACTGAACAAAGCATTTCCGAAATATTTAATAATTTTTTTGTATGTGAATTAAATCCAAATCAAAAGTCAACAAGCTGAACGATATTTCGACGCTATTGATGACGTCTTTTAACCAAGCTTCGATTTCGCGTGTTAGTCAACAACAAAGGAAATAACATCATTTAGTCAGGCAAGAAGGAAAAATTGTTGATTTATTCACCACAAAAATCATCATAAAAGATATAATTTAGTAAAGAGTAAACGTGATTTCAATTGCGTATCTATATGAGACACAAATGTAATGATGGTAGAAAACAAACCCGAATGAGAGTACTTGACTTGATTTTATTTGTAATTTCCAACTGTTAATTAAACGCCTAATACCAAAAAAAAGTTTGAAGGTAAACTTATAATTTTTTTCGTCTTACCATTAAAGATTCAAGCTGGAAAAAAATGCAAACGTTCGCGATGTCAACAATTTGAAGGCTTTTCTTGCAAATCTGAATCTTACCTTGATAAATTTTAATAAATGAAACGAAGACCAGTATAAAGGGGATTTTTATTTTAGTATATTCGAGAGAGGATATGAGAGCGATAGAAATGAAAAATTCCTAAAGTTTTGAAACGTTTTTTCCCGAAAATGTCGATAAAATGTTTACACAGTTACAGTTCCATAGAATTTATGATTCTTCTCATGTTTTTCTTTGCAATAAGATACAACAAAAATGAAAAATATTGGATCGATAATCGCGCAAAAATGTTACATTTATGGACATTTCTGTTCAACTGTACTAGGCAGCGTTTATGTAATGAACAAATGTAAAATAAATCCTTCCCTTCCATAGGAATTAAATTAATATAAGTATCGAACGATAAATGCGTGTTAATAGAACGAATTGTTCAAATTCACCGCCTACCCGCTTAGATAACAAATATCGGTAATCTTATCAACTTCAATTTCATTCATATATTTACTTACTCGAAGTCAAACACAGAAATATTGTTAAAATTGCGTCACATTGTTTCGTGAAGTAAAAAAAAAGTAAACGGGAGAAGCGAAATCTTTAGAGACCACCAAAGTGGGACGAATTTGATAATTACGTCAGACATGCTTTTGAGACTTCTTGAGTTCATTGAACAACATTATACTACTATAGGCGTGAAAAGTTGTGCGATGACTCCCTCTCTCTTCCATGGTGAAATATTTTATTTCATGAATTGTTGAATGATTTGATTTGTGTGTTAGTTAGGAGTGAAAGTAAAGTAATGTCGTTATTATAATATTCAATTAAATTTTTAAAAGATGTAAAAAAAATTTTATACTCAGATATCTAATTCATCTAAATTGTTTCATCATTGAAAAATTATCCCAGCAATGCATTGAATTGAAATAAAGCTTGACGTAAAACAAGCAACAACAACAAGAAATCTCCAAGGACGTAGATACAGTGAATCAAAGTAAACGCTTATAATTGCCAATAAAAACAGACACACAGCGAGTCGCAGAATGCAAATTAATTAAGTCCCGTCTCGACAGAATTCGCCAACGAGTTCTACACATTACGAAGTTACTACAGAAGAAACTTGCAAAACTCGTTCATACACCACCCTGCTTGCATGAAGAAGAATAGTAAGCATTTAAAATTACAGGTGCAAGGGCACAAAATTAAAGTTCATGTCAGGAAGCTTCTCGTTCTTTTACCATTTCTGAAAAAATCGATAAAATTTTTTCGAACGATTGTGAAATTGAATTTTTAGTTAATCGGCTACAATGTTTTTATTTATGTCTTCGTCCCCTCTAAAAATCTTTACATTATATTTACTTCTGTTGAACAATGAAAATGAGTAATGAACTGAATAGAATACGTTTGTTTGCATGTAAATGTGTCTACTAAAGATTTCTGTAATCTCAAACATTTCATTTTTTTTGTTTTGTTGTTTCTTGCATGTATTCATGCAATGCGACATCAAGTAAGAAAAAAAAGGTCATGAGAAGCGTTATGGAAAGTAGAAAAAAGAAGAAACAAAAAAAATCGATTTTCACCGAGAAGTGACATCATGTTTTTTAAGAAAGTCCATCTTATGTTTCCTAGTTTTCCGCGTTGCAATTATATTTTGTATATTTATTTTTTCTTACTTTCCGCAATGTTGAACGTCATTGGTGTTGAAAAATCGCGTACTTCTAACTGTAATTTGTATTGTCTTTTGATACTTTGTTACTTTTGCAAAATTTTTACCATGCAAATGAAATAATAACAAAAGTAATCTCTGAAATCTAATCGCATTATTTATTTGAATAAAATATGTTTCTTTATTTTCATTTCTAGAACAACCAGAAAAAAAGTTTTTGCTTAAAGCATTTCGGAGTTTCTTCAAGGTTAATCGGAAATTCCACCCCCTCAAAAACATACAAATGGCTTTCGCAATGAAATGTCCAAAGTCGAGAGAGTCTCCGTCTCCTTTAGTAGCGTGTAAAACATACACCTTAACATTTTTTTAAAAAGACCTAATAAAATAAGAAAATGTGAATACATTTCAGTTACTTTTTTTTCACGTCGATTGCAAATCGCTATGTGTGTTTGTGCATTATCATTTATTCGAGCTTGCGCGGCGAATAAAACTTTACAATACTTTTTTTATCTCTCAAGCTGCCTCATTCGGCTGCCTTATAAGTTTTATTGACGAAACATGATTTTTCTCTCTCTTCTTGTGACTCTTTTTGTTCGTTATTTAGTCTGATGTTAAAAGAAATAAGACATCAAGAAACATGTATGAGATATTTATTTATTCGAAGTAACACCTTGTTTTAAGAAGAGTAAAATATCTTGGCGCTCGTCTTATGAAATGTAAAACGAAAAGAGCTTATGAAGATTCTCTTACTTTCATCGATATGTAGCTAGTAAATTTCTACACTAACAAAGTTGAACTCTAATTTTTTTTCTTCATCGACATTCCTTATTGCGACTCATCAGTTCTATTTTAAAATTGTTTTAACAAGAAATTTATTTTTAACCCTCGACTGCTTTCTGCCTTTTGCAATATGATGATGGCTTAGGGAGGAAGTTGTTTAAAACTAATTAAAAAGAAGAGAAATGATGATGGTGAACAAGAGTTAGTTGATGAACAAGAACATTCATGGGAAAGCCCTCATCAACATTTTACGTATGCGTGAAATGTTGACCACACGATTGTCATCGATAAGATTTGAACAAGCTCATCTGACTGTGTTAGAAGCAACACGTAATTGAAATACAAGGCCTTTCTGACTGGGAATTGAGAGTTGTGATTGCAAATGTGTTCAACGACTGTGAACCACTTGAGCGTTGCAAAATTCAAGGCGATGAGTTCGAGTTGAATTTTTTTTGCATTTCGATTAATGTTAAAACAAAGTTCAATCAATTTTGAATTTTTAACAATCGGAAGCATCAATAAATTATGTGAATTATTGACTTCAAATCTAAACACACACAGAAAATGCATGAAGAAATCAATGTTGAAGCCAAACATTAAACACCATAAAACAGTAAAATATTTTAATCTGCAGTAATTGAGCCCCTTCTGATGAAAAGAAAGAAAAAGGTCGCTTGTAAAAATATACAAAAACGAACAAAAACCTAAGTATTTTAATCAGTATTGGTGCACCTTCAATAAAATAAAATGTGGAGGGAATAAAGAAGAAAATGAGAAAAAAATATTTAATCATGTAAGAAAGAAGCACAACACTAACATCAAATTGTTTCGATGTCTTATCGTATTTGTACAATGAACGTAATAATATAGATAAATAATAAACACGGTTTATAACCAACAGAACGACACACAATGCTACATATTTGGTTCGGGTTATTTCATTTTCCTTCTTTTTCTTCTTTCTTCTCACTGAAAAAAATAAAAAGAAGAAAAAAATAATCGGAAAATTATTTTCTCTCACTTTGACTTCGTGTCGTGGTCCCTCTCAATAGCTTGATCTCGTGCGCCAACTTAACGTTATGATTCATTTCATCAGAGTAACCGACAGATGTGGAGAATGCCTCTCATCTGATTTGGATGAGCTGTGTATGTTGTTATGTTGTTGTTATATGCATATGAAAAATATTTCTTTGTTAGTATTTTTAGCATTGCCTTTGAGAAGTTTGTTCAACTGCTGGCTTTTTTTGTCGGTCAGGTGGCTTTAAAGACGTCGTTGTTTAATTACTTTTGTTTGAAACAAATATTTGAAGTCTCTACAATATCGTTGCCTACTTTTAATGTTTTATGTTGCAAAACATTTTTGAAATCTCAAATCATTTATCCTACATAAATAAATAATTTTCAAAGAATTATTCAAATGTTTATTTAATGTTATAAAAAATTATTAAAAATCATTCTTCTATCTAATTTATTTATTGATTTTTAAACGTCAGCAAATCGTGTCAAATCGTGCGATATTTCTTCCTTTGTATTTAATTTTTGTATAACTCTATTGACGTTACTGGAAAGCAACACTTTATAAAACCATAGATAGATATATCTAATAATATCATATTCTTCGAAACAACACATTATTACAAACAAAAATAAACAAAAACCCGAATGTTAATAAATCGCGCTCTTGAATGTGACGTAGTTTCGCGCTCATTCCTCTTCTGTTTCTTCTGTACAAACACATCGCACACAAAATAAATGAAAAAAAAAATAAAACTGTAAGAAAGTATTTTTTTCAATTTAATATTTCATTCACTCGAGTTTCGTTTGTCATACAAGATAGTCGCATTGTTGATACGGTCTCACGAAACGCTTTATTTCATCTATACTCGAAAATAATATTTTAAATAAGCTGTGCTTCTCTCAAATATTCCATTACATATTTGTGTGTTGTTGCTGATGTTTTTTTTTCTTCAATTCGTTCGTTCGTCGGCTGATTTCCGAACGTGTGTGAAAAAAAAGAGAATAAGCGACCATAAAAGAGACTATTTGTAATTGGTGGTGATACAAGTGATACATACTGTTAATGCTGACTTTATTTCGGATTATTGCATTATACTTACGTCGCTCGCTTCACATTGATCACAAATACATTATCAATTATCGTAAACGATATTCAAAAGTGGAATGACAAGAATTATTTATTAGCTCTTCTTTGGATAAATAGATTTTTTTTTGTGAAATCGTCTTGTTTTAAGAGCATTAAAAAACACAGAAAAAAAGAGGTTGTTAGTAAAGGAAAGCATTTTGAGAGACTTTAAGTGAAAAGAAAAGAATAAGGAAATATTTTTCTTCTTCTTCTCCTTTGCCTATCATCGAAAACGAGACGAGTGTGACTCACATAATTCTGACTCGGAAAGCAAAGAGTTACATTTTATTTAGAAGAAAAAATTGGAAAAAATTAACGCGCACTACGTACTGTTGATGTGAATTAATAAACTTATTAAGAAATCAGTATTCTCTTCCTTTTCGAAGACTTTGTGAACAACACTTATGAGTCGGGTAGCAGAAAAAAAAAATAAAATTAAGTCTTATAACTAAATTGACAAACGACAAAGTAAATCGCGGAGAAACTTTTTTATTTCGACAAACAATAAACGAAAAGTGCATAAATAATATAATTACTTGGTTTTGAAAAAAAGAAATGTTATAAAAGTAAAATAATAACAATAAAAAACATACACAACTAACAGATCCGCGAAGAAATTGAGGCTAAAAGAAAGTATTAAAATAAAGTTATCAAAAAAGAAGAAGAAAGAAAAAAATAGAAATTTGCTTTCGACAATATTGTGACGGTGTAGAAATAAAAAATTAAATCTGTCGTTAAAAAATTTTTGGATGACGTTCATCATGGCTACGGAAGCTCAAAGATTAATATCGATATCTTTGGCTAAGATAGCCGCATCGCGTTGTGTTCGAGGTGGTGTTTCGTTGCACAAAAATCTTTTAGTTGCTACTGTACTTCAGAAGGCGCGTTACATATTTATGGAAGAAGCTTTCCACATGGTCCACGGCACTAACCTTAACCAAGCAAATAGCAAGTTCATTCAACAACTTCGAGAACAAGAGCGTCTAGAACATGAATTACGACAGCAAGATAAAGAATATGATGATGATGATGACACATCGTCAGACGTTCTCGATGATGATTCAGAACTTGACCTATTCTCGTCACCAATTGATTCAACGGAAAGTTTAAATTTTTTGAGCGAATCAAGTAAAGATACCGGAAATAGCAACAGTAACAAACTCAACTCTAGCACAAAAGAAAACAATCCATCATTGGCATCCACATCAACAAACTCAACATCTGATCTTGTCTACTTGGATTTGGACATAAATCGAGTGAAACCGCAAGATGATCCTGGCTCAGTCAGTATTAGTGGACAAAAACGCCGACTTGATGATTCCGACTTTGAAACCGAAGAAGCAATTCTTTCAATTCTTCCGAAAAGCAAACAAATCAAATTTAACAACAGCGAATCCTCGTCAAATAACATGGATACGTCAAACAGTTCCGACATTACCACAGACAATTGTTTATCGTTGGATTTTTTATCCAATGATTTAAGTCTGACGAGTAATTCGCCGACGCATACTGCAAGTGTTACGATGGCACCGTTAGATATGAGCAGCAATAATAACACTTCCGCAACTTCACCGACATCATCCATTGATCGAATAACATCGCTTGTTTCAATCTTCAATTTTGGAAGCCTTCAACGATCTGTTTCATCTCCTGACCTGTGCTTAACACCATCTTCTCACCATCACGTCGACAATAGCTGCTGCAACCTAAACACACAACATCAAATTGCGATGACCGTTTAGTGTTATCTTCTTCTTTCCTATTACAAATACTATTTATTTTTACTACTCTTCATTCAAAGAATGAAACAACAAAAGAAAGACCAATATAACGCAACACTTACACCATAAAAAGTAGACACAAGTTGCTTTTAAAATAGCAAATAGTTTTGTTGGTAGGCAAAAAAAAAACGAAGAAAAAAAGAGATCAGAAAATTATTAAGAAAGTTATGATTTCACTTGGTTTCTTTTATCTTCTTTCTGATTTTTTTTGTTGAGATACATACATCAATAAACTAGTGGAAAAAAACAGCAAAGTACTTGTAATAATGTTGCGATTTAAAAGAAAATGGAAAAATACTGACGGTGCTTAAACAACTACATATGTAGATCGAATATTTGTGAGCTTCTCTCATGTTAAACTTCATTCAAAATTGTATACGTGAAGATATTTTTTTTCTAAAATGATGATAGACTGAACGGGTTTCTCTAGGCCAATTAGCAGACTTGAAGCGACATTCTGCTTCTTACTATATCTTGATAATTTTGATACTTCAACACAAACTGAATGAGATGTAATAATTTTAATTTTTGTTTGAGTCGTCTGATAAGAGTCTTGCTAACCAATCAGAACAACATGCAATTTAGAGACCACAAAACAAAATCCATGAAAACAAAAATAATCAAAATCAAGTGAACAAAAATGAGAAAGTTAAAAAAATTCAAGTAGAAAAAATCTATCACACAAGTGAAATCAATTGAAGAAAGAGCTCTAAGTAAGATAATCATAGACCATGATTATCATCCATGAATTTCACTCACATAGAGTAAAATCTAAATTAAATTTTCAACTGTAGGAAAAATAAAAAAAATTGTGCATAAAATAAAATCGTTGTAAGTAAATAGATACCTAGTTAAGTTAAGCTCTCCATTACGTAAATAAAATGATTCAATTTTAGCATTTTAAAGTTTAAAATTTAAGTCTACATTAAATGAAAATAATGTGTTTTGTGTAAATAGATAATGAAAATAAAACAAAGAAAAATTTAAAAAAAGATATTTTTATTGTCTTTAAAATGGCATTCTGCATTCTTATTGCTTCGATGCAAAAGCGCATTTCGTTGTTGCGCATCGATAAATTAATGTATTGGTTCTGTCGACGAGATTCGTTTCTTTTCTTCTCTTTCAGAGCGAGATTTATAAAGTTCAATGCTGGAATGGAATTTGGATTAAAAATACATAAATATGTAGACGACGGGAGAAAAGCGCGAGAACGACGATAATGAAACAATGCGAAGAATCATGAAACAAGTATCATCATGCGCTTCTAATAATACACAAGCCAAATAAACTAACTGTTAAGAAAATACAAGCATAATATTTAGTGGCAAAGATGGAGAAAGAAAATCTCTTTGCTCGCCTTTCTGACATTCTTCTTCATGCTTAAATATTCATCATCAAAGTTCGTAATTTTTTAACCATTTGCAACCAACTCCGTACTGTGTATGGGAAAATGTTTCTTGATCGACAAAAAAAAAGCTTTTTTCGTTTAGACATAACTGTACACAATAAAATGAAAATATGTAGTACAGTTCTCAAGATTAATTGAGTTTCCTTTTTATCCAAATTAAGTGTAGAACCATTTTTGAGTGTTTTCGTTAACAAATATTGACGAAACAGGCAAAAATAAAAATATGTGTCAACGCGATAGTAAAAACCACAGTTAACCTGATGATGTGGTGAAGGTCTTTTTTTGATGAAAATAAAGCCCACTAACATACACTCACACACACAACTCAGCAATTTTTTCATTCACAAATTTTGTTGCTGTTTTTCTTAACATTATTTATTTTTGCTATTTCGCTTTTAAAGCATTGAAGGAATGGGTTGATTGTGCAAACATGACACGTGTCAATCGACTTTTCAGATATTCTCTAGACATTTATTTTTATACACTTCATTCGATATTCGTAGAATAATGAGATGGAAAATCTTGAATTACGATATCATTAGAAAAGTTTTAATGACATCGATGATGGATAATCCCATCAATGCTACAACATTAGTAGAAAAAAGCGCGACATAATGATTTTAGCTATACACAGGTCGAAGTGTTTCTCATTAAAATTACTATGGCCTCGTCTTTGTGTTATTATTTATTATTTTTCGATTTCACAACTTTACTACACAAGCATCAGCTTATAACCTTGTTTTCGTTTTCGGCGCACTCAGACTATCTACCTACTTATGTAAAGGGAATTCAATTAAATCTTGTCAGTGGAAGTGGAAAATTTTTAATTTTGCTCACAAATTAAAACAAATTGATAAAGAAGAATCTAAAATGTGACTCCGTGGGACTTTTTTTTTTATTTTATGAATCAAAAGAAACATAATATTATCAAAAAATATGTTCGGGGGAATTTCCGAGCTTCTTTAAATTGCTTTTATCAGTTAGCTACGCAGTTCCAATGTCAACATGGAATAAAACGAAATTCAATTATTTCAAAATAATAAAAAATAATAAACGTAGACGTTAGGAGAATTATTGAAATTGAATGTAAATGAAGAGTCATATGCAACCAAGGTCTGTCACAAATCATACGTAAATTTATCTGAAAATAAATGCGGAAAAAGTGAAAGTTTAATATTGTCAGTTGTTAGCCAAATTAAAGAAACTAACGCGATCTCTTTCATGAAAATGTTTCGAAATTCACAATGTTTGACAGCAGTAGAAACTAGAAAACCAATCTGAAACAATTTTTTTTCTCATTACAATTTTTTAAAAGGTAAACTATCATCGTCAGGTAAGTGGCCTAGGTAGGTAGCATACAAACGCAAATAAAAAAACTCGAGACGCCTGAGAGAGGTTGCTGTTCATTACGTAAATTAACTGTTTCATCAACTAGTGTATAAAATAATAAATAAACGTCTTTCTTTAATCAGAGAACAACGTCATCCTTATGTCACAAATTAAGCATTGAACAACGTGCCAAAATCATCACTTCGGAACCTTATTAAAGAGCGATGAAAATTCAAAACTATGACAAACTTAACGACTTAATAATTGGCCGATTTTATGGTTTATAAGAAAGTTTTATATATCTTTTTTTCTACCCTACCATACATTAAGGCATTATGTTAAACATTTAAACACAAAAAAGTTTAATAGTAAAACTTGCTGTAACGAGATCAATGAACTTACCACTAAGTAGATTGTGAAATATCGCAAATAAAGTTAAACTTATTAACGAAAGGAAAATATGCATTAGAAATTTGTGTAACAATTGTAATTGTGTGGTATTATAAAAATAATAAAGTAAAAAATAAATGCTAATTAAATTAATAAATTATTTATGTGCACATCATAAAATTTAAATACTCCCCCGTAACATATCCAGGAAAAGAAAATAAGAAGAAACTTAATGTCACAATCAGAAAAGATAATAATGTAATCGTCGTGAAAAGATAATTGCATCAGATAATTTTTAATTACAGATATTTTGAAAAATATCACTTTACTTCTAAACTACCTGCTCGAATCAAATGCAGGGTTATCAATTTTTAACGAACATTTTTCAAAAATTGAAGCAAACATTTGCATCACTAACAACGTTTTGCATCTAAAAACTTCAGAAAAAAACAATTTGTATTATTTCTTTCCGATTCACCATTAAATAGTGCGATTTAGTTATTAAAATAAACGGCAATCGCAACAAGGTTCATTTATTGCTTTAGATACCGCTTTACTTTTTAGTCACAAGTATTTTAAGTGCGGAAAAAATAGAGAAAAAATATTTTTAATTGTGAAGGAGAATCTTTGAAGAAAGGAACAACAAATTCCACAAAATTCTTCAAAAAATGAATAATGAACATTACGATGAAATAGGGAGAACGGAAGACTTTTCCATGATATCAACAATGGAAGATGGTAAATTGTTAAAATTAAAATTAAACTTTGAAGTTGAAATTAATAAAAGATATGAACATTGCGTTACAGACATTCCTTGCTTTGCCGAAGAGGTGATCCTTCATACGGAATCTGATTTGCACGGACATGAAGAGATAACAGAAGGAGTAGCACTCAACAACATATATGAAGTAGCTTTGGAAAATGAGATTTATCTTGAGCAAGGACCCTCAATAAATAAGTATGGGTAAGTGTTTGATGCTTTTCCTATAAATGCACTTTAATTTAAAACATTTCTTATAATCAACTTTGTTTTACAGATCTCGAAAATCGTCCTCAAAACAGCGAATTGTCAATCGAAACAGTCTCCCATCAACATCCTCAGCAATTATTCCACAACCAACGGAGAACATCGAACTCGACAACATTAACATCATAGAACCAGAAGCTAAATCGCGCAGGTGGAAGCAAAGACAAGTACAAATAAAAACTATGGAAGGTGAATTCAGCGTAACTATGTGGGCTTCCTCAGAGACAGATGACGAGGACGGTTCCAATCCTGAAATGGATCCTGACTACACTGAATATATGAATAGCAAACGAATTGTTCAAGATTCACCTTTACCTATGACTGGAGTAGACTTATCAGATCCTAAGCAACTCGCTGAGTTTGCAAAGCCTGTAAACAAGCAGCTCAAAGTTAAAAAGGAACAGAATACAAGTGATCACGAAATCAGAAGTATCGGTAAGTTTTCTCCTCATATTTTCCAATGAAACGAGCTTCAATTGCCCTTATCGTTATTCCAGCTTGTCCCCACAAAGGTTGCAGCAAAATGTTCCGTGACAATTCAGCTATGAGGAAACATTTACACACACATGGTCCGCGTGTTCATGTGTGCGCTGAATGCGGTAAGTTTAACATTAAATTTAGTCATTAAGTGAAGTTTCTTAATAATTTATGATTGCAGGTAAAGCATTTGTTGAGAGCTCTAAACTGAAGCGCCACCAGTTGGTTCACACTGGTGAAAAGCCTTTTCAGTGTACGTTCGAAGGGTGTGGAAAACGATTCTCACTCGATTTTAATCTGCGGTATGATGAAGAAGAAATTTCTTTAATTTTATAATTTTAATTATGTTTTTCTTTCTTTGTGCAGCACTCACGTTCGTATTCATACTGGTGACCGGCCCTACGTTTGTCCGTTTGATGGATGTAACAAGAAATTCGCCCAATCAACAAATCTTAAGTCTCACATCCTCACTCATGCTAAAGCCAAGTAAGATCTGAATTCATTTGAAAGTAAATTTTTATTAAAATTTTCTCTCCCTTAAGACGAAAAAATTCCGGAAGTCGCAATGCAGTACAGCAACAACCCGCACAGGCACAGTACAGCGAAGAGATGGAAGGAAGTCCTCAATTTATAATCTACACAGAATAAAAATCAGGCAAGATCTGAGATGCTTGTCGCCATTATCCAAACAATTTTCACACACATGTACATCTTAAAGAAAAAAAACTTGAAAGAACTTGAAATTTTTATTATTAATAATGTGTTTACTTTTTGAGACGACAGAAGGCGAAGAATCAGAAACAGAAATCATCTTAGTGATAATAATAAGAAAGAAAAAATACTTTTCTAAGGACATAAATTTAACAGATTCCCGACTTTGCTCGAAATGGATCTGAAATATTTTTTTCGTGTGGTCGATTTACATTTTTTTTGTTCTAATTTCCTTCTCAAACGCGATCTTCAACTTTTCTTCAATAATATTTCATTATAATTTTTTTAATTCGAATTAATTTTATTTCTTTTTTTTATGAAATCGCGCGTAAGGCAATTAAATCTAATGAAGAAAAAAAAATAATAATTATAAGATATTTGAGGATATTTTTCCAACGTGTGAAGTTCATTAAAGAAATATCGACCAACAGAAAGGCAAAGAAACAACTTGTGTTTGTGCTGCTTGATCCAACGATAACTTTTCATTCTTTTCGCCACTAATTGTTAATTAAGATGATAAAGATTCGAAGGATGAAAGAGAAAAAAATTCATTGAAATTATCTTCAACATTTAAATTTTTTGTTCCATCGATAAGATTTAAGGCGTTTAAGAATTAAAAGCTAAAATAAAAAGAAAACTATTCGATGACTCGGGATGAAAAGCTATAATTTTCACAATTTAATGTGTAAAGAATTTAAATAACATACAACACACATCTAGATTTAAGGAAAAAAATTTCTAAGTGGAAAAAAAAAATCATTTTAATTTGAGGAAATAAAACTGTAGTTCAAAGTATTAAAAAATTAAAGAAATGTGAATTTAACTCAATCATTTTCAGGGGATAACTTCAAAATATCATCGGAGGTAGAACAGTAGCAGGATTCTCTTGCAATTTGTATTTCTTACTTTGCATAAATTAAAGCGGCAGCTGCAAATAGTCTGATGGCGGTCCAATCAATACTATCCCTTCAATGCACCAAGCTTGGAATATTTAATAAAAATCACTAAAATTGCGACTAAAACTTTCTGTTGTCACATTTCACCAACAAATTAAAGAAATTTCTCGCCATAATTAATAAACTTTATTGTTTTGAAAAAGTTCAAGTTTAAGAAACAGTTTTCGAATTATTTTTTACAATAATATTTTGAAAGTTCTTTTGTTTAATCAGCAGGGGGTGGTGGTGGAGGAACTAAAAAACTTGGTAAAGGCGGTTGAACTTGAGAAGATCCTTGATTCCAGAAGTTACCTCCAGGCATTGGAGGCGGAACAGACCAATTGGTTGGTGGTTTCTTCCCAAACCCATCATCAAAACTTCCAAAAGTGCCTGGAGGCGCAAGGTCCGTTCCGGGTGGAGGTGGAATTGAAGGGCTATGGACAAAAAAAGTTAATTAAGTTAACATGTTAAGCTAAAATTAAAATTTAAATTATTTTTTTTACCTTATGCCTGGAGGATGAATTGGACCAGGCGGCAATGGGGGATTTGCATTCCATGACATACTCGGCATTGGTGGAGGGCTGGAAAGAATTTTATTCAAGAATTTATTAAAGAACTTCGGGAAAGTTTATTTAAAGATATTTACTATTGCCCCATTGGATGTACTGGTGGTAAAGGCATCGGTGGAGCTGGTGGACTGAAAAAAGGAAACAAAAATTAAACTTTAATAATATTAAATAATATAATTAACTTACTGCTGATTCGGATGCCATTGTGGTGGGCCCGAATTTTGTACAATTGGAGGTTGATTTGGTGGTGGCGGTGCACAAATCTGTCGCGGCGCTTGTTGTCTTGGATTATCAAATATCGAGTAAGGTCTTGGTGTAGGCTGAACAGGTTCTCGAGGTTGAACTGGAGCTTCTTGAGGTTGAACTTCTCCCAACTCAGCCATCAAGCTTAGATATTCTTCATCAATTTTTGCTTGATTATTCGATCCTTCAACGCCTCCCATTCCGGGACGTTTTGATTTGCAATCTTTTGCAATATGGCCAGCACCGCCTGAAATATTCATTCATGTAAATATTTAATTAATTTATTTATCTTTCTTTCAACTCACCGCATGATGAACAAACAATTGAATTGGTGACATTTGGTTTATCTGGACATAGCCAACTTTTATGATCGGTGCTTCCACAATTTGTACAACGAGCGTTGTCGGTTTCTCGTAATGTTCCATTCAATTGTGCAAGTTCACGTAGTTGCATTCGTCTTAAGTCGTTGTGACCCTCAGGCACCTCAATTCCTTGCTTTATGACTTCTTTAATTTTATCAACAGCTTTCTTAACAGCTTCAGGATTGCTTGCTGTTATAAATGCGTGCAATGGTTCATCTTCACCAGGCAAAGGTTGGCCATCTTTTCGTCCAACTTTTCCTTCTTTTACTGAGCCTTTTCCACGAATTATTATCTTCGCTCCAGTATCCTTTTCCATTGCTTTTAAAGTGTTGCCTCTCGGGCCAATCAACAGACCAACAAAATTTATGTCCGGATGTTCTTCTTGTGGTATCAAAACTTTGTCACTGACACGCAAAACTGGCGGCTTGTAATCAGCCGGTGGCTTGAAATCAGGATTCATACACTGCATTCTTGTGATCAGCATGTGACGCTGTTCTTCCAACTTTTTTCTTGTTCTGAATTCTCGAGTGTTCAACCTCTTGCCGTCAGACGAGTAGATTGGTTCAGGCGATGGCGATCTGTATGAGAAGAGAATTGTTTGTTTTTGTTTGCATCATCCGAACTCCTTTAATTCTTTTTATTTAATCCTAAAACATAAGAGATTTGCTTGGGGGCGATTTAGACTGGACGGACAGACTGTCGTAGTAATTTTTGATTTAAAATTTTAAAAAGAAAGAAAGAAAGCTGACTTTTTGGTACACAATTTCATGTTCATGAACATTGAAGTAATGTGAATGATTAAGTTATCTAAAAGGCAAAAAAAGTTCATTAATTCATTGAACTATTAATGATAAAATTAAAGGAAAAAAATGTTATTGTATAAAGTTATCTGTGAATCAAATTGTGATTATTATCATAAAAGTGATGAGCTCAGTTTCCATTCTGAAGTTGTCACAAGGATATTTTTGTTGTTTGTCAAACCTTTCTTCCAAGTTTTGCGAAATGCCGAGATCACCGGTGCGTAATTTTCGACTGATTTCCTCGATTTGCAGTTGAACTGTAATAAGAATTGGATTAGAAAAGAAAATCGAGGCGGAAAGCCCCATTATTAGAAATGTCAATTAAATATTTTAAAAGAAGTTGTTTTAATTCTTATGAGCTAGATTTGTATTCATAAAAAATATTCAATTTATCTATAAATCCACTTGAGATCAACATGCTGTCAGACACACACAACCACACCACATTCAGATAATGTTATTTATCCTATGCTGGCTCCGAGATTATTTTCCACTGTCTGTCTGGTGGATACTTACTACATCATCCCACCCACAATATTTACACTCAAAAGCCAATCTAATTGAAATTATAAACGATTTTTTTTTATCTCTAATCTCTGATGTATCACGGTGATTTAATTATTGATTACTTTTTATAAAGAAAACATAAAAAGAATATGATTAAAAAGGTTTATCGTTATCGATTAAAGTATTATTAATTAAATATCTCATGTGGCACTGGAAAGATTCATTTAACTGATTATTTAATATCAATTAGAAATTTTTCTGAAAACAAGTTGTTTGTCTCATTAATAATCATTTAACTTCCTGTATTGGGACGAAAGAATTATTTTGTTTTTTAATTAAAATTATTAAAAATTTCAACAACACCAAAATTCCAGCTATCTTTTCTTTTCTTTTTTACTTTTCTTTACTCTGTGGTTACGACAATCGAAACGGAAAGAAAAATATTTTCAAGTTTTCTTTTTGTTTTGTTAATTACAGCCATCGGAGGTTTCTCTTTTTCATATAAATTTCTTTCCTCATTAGAACGGGATAGTAGGTAATAATTAATTAATGATTATGAAAAGATAATGTTCAAAATATAATAAAAATTGTGATCATCAATGGTTTAATTATTGGTAAACAGTTGAGAATTGCATGTAAAGGAAATGAAGAAGGTTTGGAAATTAGGATAATTACCTAAGTAAGCCTCTTGCTGATCGGGATTAAGATTCGATGGTAAAATTGTCGGCATTCCAGGGATGAATGTTTTCTCATTACCATCATTCGACGATGCCCAACGAGATTTTCTTTTTCGTTTTCTGTCACTTTCACTGTTGCTGGCGTCGCCACAATTTCCACTTGCGCTGTTATCTTGCTCAGCTGCCATGCGAAATTCCTCAGCTATCAACAACAACAAAAATTAAACTCCTAACTATTATTTTATGATAAAAAATCTCACCATCTCGACTCGATTCATTTCCATTTGATGCAACGCTATTTCCATTACTTGCAATTTTAATTTTATCCGAAAGATTTTTAGCTTTCAACAAATCTTTTGCTTTTGCAGCTGCAATAGCAAGTGCGGATGCATTTGGTCCAGCTACAACTGCTGAAGAAGATGAAACTGATTGAAAAAGATTACTGAAGTCAGTTCGTAATGGTTCAGATGGAATTGAGTGAACTGTTGTTGGCGGTTGAATGCCGGAGAGTGATGCTGAAAGAAATTGCGTTATTTGAGCTTGTTGTGCTACTGACATCTCGATTCTCTGTGGTGCTGATACTGTTGGTGGTGTTTCGCTTCTGCGATGACGAGATCGTGATCGACGGGATCTTTAATAGATGAAACAATTTATGCCGCGTTTATTTATAAATCAATAAAAAAATATCACATGTTACCTTTCCCTGTCCTTTTCTCTCGATCGTTCACGACGACTTGACTTCTCTTTACTTCGACGACGATCTTTTGATCGCTTATGACGGTCGCGACTTCTACTTCTGGATCTTGATAGCGTAAATAGTGACGTGATTAAAATTATAAAAATGGCGAACTGTGAGGAAAAAAATTCAAATTCAACTTACTTTTTACGTCGTTCTCGGTCACGAGATCTTTCACGTTCTCGTGAATATCTATCATCTCGGCTACGCTCCTTATCCTTATCTTTATGTTTCGACATATTAACACCGATCAATTTCTCAGTTTGAAACAGGAAAAATATTTTTCACTTGAGGGGCTGAACACTTTTTCGCATCAATTGACGCAACCTTAGCATCTGCCGATAGAAGAAAAAACATAATTTTTTTCATTTCATCGGCAATTTCTGTGTATTTAATTTGATTTAATAGTTTCAAAGCAATGAAGTTGCTTTATAGTTTAGTGTTAGCAGTAACTGCCTTCTTGGTGCTTACAGGTGATGCTGATGGTCAGAAAAGGCAAAGTGTAAGTAGTTGATGATGATGTGGCCTTAAAGCATATTTTTATCAATTAGAAATTGATTTTTTAGGGAGGATCCACCTTAGGTGATAAAGTGCAACAGCTTGTTGATTGGAATGCAAAAAAGCCGATTCTTCGCTTCAATGGCCATAAATTTAAGGAATATGTGAAGTCGGCGCCGAGAAATTATTCCGTGATTGTTATGTTTACAGCACTTCAACCAGCAAGACAATGTGTGATCTGTCGACCGGCATCTGACGAGTACACAATTCTTGCGAATTCATATCGTTACTCATCATCCTATACTAACAGGTTATTCTTCGCAATGGTAGACTTTGATGAAGGTTCAGATGTTTTTCAAAGTCTTCGATTAAACACGGCACCGGTTTTCATGCATTTTCCAGCAAAAGGCAAAGCTAAGAGTGGTGATACCATGGACATTCAACGTGTAGGCATTTCAGCAGAAGCAATTGCAAAATGGGTTCAGGAAAGAACTGATATTCAAATCCGAATTTTCCGTCCACCGAACTATTCTGGTACAGTCGCCGTAATTATGCTTGTTGCTTTTGTCGGTGGTTTCTTATATCTTAAAAGAAACAATTTGGAGTTTCTACAAAACAAACAACTTTGGGGTTTGCTTGCCGTACTCTTCACATTTGCAATGGTATCGGGTCAGATGTGGAATCACATCAGAAGTCCACCTTTTGTTCATAAAGCACAGAATGGTGGAATTTCATATTTCCACGGTTCGTCTCAGGGACAATTAGTTTTCGAGACTTACATTGTGATGGTTCTGAGTAAGTTTTAACAGTTTAAAAATATTTATCTTATAATTTATTAAAATGATATTCCAGATGGTCTGGTTGTCGTTGGAATGATTCTTCTTACCGAATCTGGAAGTCAAAGTGACATGCGTAAAGGAAAATTAATGGCAATCGTTGGTCTCGTGTTTGTGGTCGTTTTCTTCTCACTTCTCTTATCAGCATTCAGAGCAAAAGCTCATGGCTATCCCTATAGTTTCTTATTCAAATAAATTTTAAAGAATTGTAGAGACAACCCCAAAGATCAAACGAGCTTTATTTAAGCATCGACCAGCGATTAGAGAAATTTTCTGTGAAGCACATTTTTTGAGTGGAATATTCGTGCAACAATCTCAATTCTGTAAGAAAATCAAGAGTTAATAAAGATGGGACATAAATCCAGAAAACATTTTCAACAATTTATTTCTTTTGTTCGTTAATTAATTAAAAAAGGAATGGAATGAAAGCTTTGCGTTCTTTCGGGTAGTCAGAAAATGTTTCTTTATACCAACGATGTGTGAGAAGTGAATTGGAAAATTGATTTGTGACAACCCAAGCTAAACAATAAATACAAGACGTGTTTTGATGAAGTAAGAAGTAAAGAATTAAATACATAAAAACTTCACATGTCATGTGTGGTGATGAAAGGTATTTGAAGAGTCCACCTTTTGGAATGAGATGAGTTTCAGTGACGACGTTCCCAGATTTATTTTTGCGAAGATTAATGAATATCAAATTTGATTCGTACTGTTTGTACCAGAAATAAATAAATGTCAAAATTGCTACAATCGCTCTTAAAGCTTCGTTTAAAGTTACTTTCATCACAGGTGTTGTTTGTCCTAAAAATTAATTTTACATCATTAATAAATTAATTAAATTCATCTTTTTTACCATTTATAAATCCATCGGCTTTAGCCACGATCAGTACAATGACCCCATAATAATGAAGATATCCACATAAATAATGTGTCAAGTTTATTTTACTCTTCTTAGAAAAGATTTGGAGAAAGTTTGTCTCGATGAATCTTCTTGTGCATTGCAGTGTCATCAAACTTAACGCAATTAATGTGATGAAAGGAGAAGCTGTTTTGGAACAATATTATTTGAGTTTGATTATTTTAACATTTTACTTAAACTTGACATACTTTCTGCAATTCGATTATCACCGCATGATAAATTGAGGTAATTAATTAGATAAGGACAAGGTTGGTAACCGTAGAAATAAACAGAGATGACCAATATCAAAGCACCCCATGCCCAAATAACAGCAAACACATAAAAATGACTAAACCATGCTTTAGGAATTTCAATTTTCTCCACAAGTTTATCCGATTTTTCCTTGTGTGCATGTTTTCCATAACGGAACGTTTGTTTAATAGCTGTTGGCAAATATTTTTCAACTAAACTCATTAAAGTACCCAAAACCACAATAACAAAAGTTAATTGCATAAATAAAATATTAATTAAATTTATATTCATTTTAAATTTCTTAGATTCAAGGCACTTTTAAGTCAGAAATAAATAATTTTTAATGTCATTAACTTTCACAAAAATGTAAATATTTGACCCGCTTATCCAGCAATGATGTCACATTGAAAGCTTTTCTTTTCGCATCTTTAGCACATTTATGTATGATGTCACATTAAAAGCTCTCGAAAGCTTTCTGTGTGAATCATAAATTTTTTTATCTCAGCATAATTTTTTGTTATTTGTTATTTTGTCGTAATAAAATTGATTTTTAGTGCTTAATAAATTTATCGAAGCTTAGATATGAATAGAACAGTGTCAGCTGAAGAATCAACAATATCACAAGACAGTGATTCGCCACCTAAGAAAAAAACTGGGGAAATAAAGAAAGAAGCTTTGAGACCAGTCAAAAGTCTTGAACCAGTTGCACAAGATAATTACGAATGCTCAATATGCTTAAGTTGGCTAAAGGAACCAGTAAATTTATTTTATTTTATTCGAAACTTCAGTGAAAAATGTTAATTTAATAATGTTTTAGGTCGTTACGAAATGTGGTCACAGATTTTGCAAAATTTGTTTGGAAGAATGGCGGACGTGAGTTGTTGACATTCAAATTCAAGTACCATTTCCTAATCTTCTTTAACACTTTTTTAGTAAAAAGAATTCAAAATGCCCTCTTGACGATATGAATCTATCAGTTGATGACATTTTTCCCGACAATTATACAAAACGTGAAATTGAAAATATGAGAAGAAGTTTTCCAGATCAATTTGAACCGCCGAATCAGATATTTGAATGTCGCTTTTCAACAATATCATGCGATTTTAAGAGTAGTGATCCACAAGAAGTCGAAAACCATATGAAAAATGAATACAAAGAACACATTGACATGCTTCTTAGTAGTCATCTTAAATCTCAATATCATACTTGGGAACCATCTGAAAAATCTCCAACAGAAACTGCAAACAAAGTAACACTTTTTCAACAACAAACAACACGTGAGCTTATCAATGCAATGTATGAACGAATTGTTGTGTTAGAACAACAAAATCGTGAACAGGAATTAAAAATCGCGAAACTTGAGCAATTAGAAACAAAACGAAATGGAATTTTGGTGTGGAAATTTGAAGACTTCCGAAAAAAGTTTGAAACAATGCAATTGAATCCCCAAACAATGTATTATAGTTCGGAGTGCTACACAGATCCAAACGGTTATAAATTTTGTGCCAGAATCAATTTGTCGCAGAAGGAAAAAGATTGTTTAAGTTTTCACATCCATTTAATGCGTTCAGACAATGATTATCATCTATCATGGCCATTTATCGGTAGAATTAAAATCACAATGATTAATAAGGATCCTACATTTAATCAAACAGACATTTTAATGAGTAAACCCGAAATCAAAGCTTTCCATCGACCACCAGAAGACATTTCACCACGCGGTTTTGGATTCACTGAGTATGCATTTATAAATGAAATTATAAAACGTGGTTTTATTGATAATAACGATTGCTTAACAATCAAAATTGAAATGAATATTGTTTAAAATAAGTAGATTAATTAATGAAGTTATGGCGCTAAAATAGTATGGTTGGAAGTTAATTAACTTAAAATTAAGTAGGTATTGATGTAATTTGGGAAAAGTAGAATAACTCTTAATTGTTCGAAATATGTGTTATAAGTGTTTTGTACGTGTGAATCTTCTTCCTTATTCGAATTTAATATTATTATATTTTCGAAATGTAAAACATTCCACTAAGTATAATTAATTTTGTTTGTGACAACCGTCCAGTATTTGCTACAATTGGTTATTTATTGATTTTAATTTTATGAAAGAAAAAAGTGGTAAATAAATGAGAATTCATTTAAAAATTCAAAGCAAAATAAAATGATCTTATCCTTTAACTTATCTAAGATAAAAATTAAAAAAAAAGGGAACTTAATGAACTACTGGATTTAAAGGCTCGCCTCTGATTTTAGAGAAGTCTACGCTGTTCTCAATCGCTTCATCAACAAGTCCGATTACAGACACATTATCACCTCTGATAATTTTTAATCCTAAACTAATTTGCTCCATTCCTGATGTAGTAGAAAAGATCCTTTCATGCGTATCATCGAGGATGAGATTTATTAGTTGATCAAAACCTAAAATACCGAAAACATATTCACGTTAAACGTTTCTTACAAATTTTTAATTTACCTTTCAATGTTCCACTGAAGCAACGTCCATCACAGCTCAAAATTATAACTGGCTGACCAACATAACTTTCTAAACTTCCCGACATATTTTTTTAATTCAAATATTGTTGTAAATCTTCTGATTTTGTTTTACAATTTTCTGTTTACGTTTGTTTTTTGAAGCAAAAATATGTTCGCATCAATGAATAATTGAAGTGTGTTGCCCCACCATTTTGCATCTTTCATTTGCATTACACAGCAAATTTTACAATTCTTGCAAGGAAGTTTATTTTGCCTAATATACGAAGGAAAAGATATAAAATTCAATTTAAAATACTTTTATTACGATGGCCGGTGCAACGAAATTTGAAAGAACTCAGTCGATTACACCGATGGGTCATGAAGACAGTGAAAATCTTCTAAAAAAAATTACAAGCGAATTCGAGATGGACGAAAACGATGAAGAACGTATTCGTATTCGGGAACAACAAATTCTTGACTTAGGACTTCAATATAAGCAACAAGGAAAAGCAAAAGATCTTGCTGATCTAATTGCGAAATCTCGACCGTTCTTAAATTTGATTTCAAAGGCCAAGGCTGCTAAACTTGTGCGTTCATTGGTTGATTTCTTCTTGGATCTTGAAGCTGGCACAGGAATTGAAGTTCAACTGTGTAAAGATTGCATAGAATGGGCAAAAGTAGAAAAGCGAACATTTTTGCGACAGTCTTTAGAAGCTCGCTTAATTGCTTTGTATTTCGATACTGGATTATTTCCTGATGCTTTGAGTTTGGGATCTCAGCTTTTGAAAGAATTGAAGAAAATGGATGATAAGAATCTTTTGGTGGAGGTACAGTTGCTGGAAAGTAAAACCTATCACGCTTTGAGTAATTTATCCAAGGTAAATAATGATCTCATTTTCACCTTCCTTTGTTTACTAATTACTACAAACATGATTCATCAAATTTTCCTTCCAGGCTCGTGCAGCTCTTACTTCAGCACGTACAACAGCAAATTCCATCTATTGTCCACCTAAAGTCCAAGCTTCACTTGATTTACAGTCTGGAATTCTTCATGCAGCTGACGAGAGAGACTTCAAGACCGCATTTTCGTACTTTTATGAAGCTTTTGAAGGATACGACAGCGTCGAAAACCACAGAGCTTTAACTGCTCTCAAATACATGTTACTCTGCAAGATTATGTTAGGACAGTCAGATGATGTTAATCAAATCGTAAGCGGAAAACTGGTAAGTTGTGTTCGTAATCTTAATTTGATTTAATTTAATTTATTGAAATATTTGAAGGCGATATCATATTCTGGAAAAGATATTGATGCTATGAAAGCAGTTGCTCAAGCATCACATAAACGTTCATTAGCAGATTTCCAACAAGCGTTGAAGGATTACAAGTCTCAACTTGAAGATGATAAAATAGTTCGTGCTCATTTGGATTCGCTCTATGACACTATGTTAGAGCAAAATCTTTGTCGTATTATTGAGCCTTACTCTCGTGTGCAAGTTTCATTTATTGCAAGCACCATCAAATTGCCCATTCATCAAGTCGAGAAAAAATTATCACAAATGATTTTAGATAAGAAATTTAGCGGTATCTTGGATCAAGGCGATGGAGTTTTGATTGTATTCGAAGAGACACCGATTGATAAGACTTACGATACTGCCCTTGAGACCATTCATCATATGGGAAAAGTTGTGGACACTCTTTACCAGAAAGCGAAAAAGTTGTCTTAAATCTTCATTTGATTGACAACCATTTTAAGCTCATAGCTACTATTTTTCTCACTTTTCTTTCTTTTAGCTCTCATATTTTCTTTCGTTTTCAATTCAATAAAATAATAACGATCAGTAAATTGCTTGTAGAAATCGTGGTGAGTTCATAATGGTTGCACAATGTGAAGGTTTATGAATAGGAAATTTCAAAGTGAAGAGAGAAACGAAATTATACTGTTAAAAATTTTATCGTTTAATATTTTGTAAAAAGGAAGGCATAATAATAAAGAAATATTGCAGAAGAAAAAAATGAAGTTCGTTGTACGTTCTAAAATTTATTTTTACAATGTTAAACATGAAATATTTTCATTTCCTTTAACATCTGTAACATTGCAATCCAAGTAATAATAAAGAAAAGAAGACTTTGACGTTCTTGAACTTTCCATGCGTGTGCGATTTATTTTTAACAGAAAACATAGAAAAGTTTTCAATCTTTTGTTTAATGTCTTTCTTGAGGTTTTCAATAAAATTTCTCTGGTTGCTTTTGAACAAAGCTGAAAGACAAAAGAATGAAAAAAGAACTTCAATTCGTTTAATCTACGTTTACGTGATTACCTGGATAACGTAGCTTAGAAAGTTTTCATACAAATCATTTAACATGACTTTTTTGTGAACGTATTTAAACCTAAATATCGAAAAGAAGATAAATAATAAAAAGCAAGAAAAATATTCTGACAAACTTTATTTGCCAAATCAATACTGATAATCATCCATGCTTTAAGATTAAGGAGCACCAGTACAACAGCATCCGATACCTAAAACCAATTTCGTTGTACCAGGTGAACATTCTACCGTTTCACATGGAGCACTTTGCCCTGTGAAACAGTTTGGACTTACTGTTTCACCGCTACCTCCATTCACAACAGTTATTGTGAAAATAACTGAAATGAAAACATGTTTGCTATTTTATTAACAATGACAAAAATTAATTTTTACCATAAATGATGACAAAAATGCACAAAAAATTTGACAATTTAGTCATGTCGAGAAGTCAATTTTACAAGTTTTTGAATAAGGATTTGGTAACTCGAACGAAGCTGAAAACAACTATGAGAGGATGATCCACTTAGGATTTCCTTTTATACTGTGTCGAAAAGCATTGAAATAAAATAAATATTTAAATAGTTCAACCATGAGATAATTAAATTTTAAAACTTTAAACGTGATTCTTTGAAACAATTTTAGGATTACAATTTTTAAGTACTCATGCCGTTAAAAAAACTCATTAGAAAGATAGTTGAAGCCTTGTATAGGAAGCTTTAGAGAAATCGCCTTTTCATAGTTATCACTTTATCAGCTTCAATTATTTATTTGAAAAAACTTTACAAGAAAAACTTGTAAAATTTATATCTCAGCATGAGCTAAATTTCAAATTTTCTTTTTATCAGCTGTGACATTGCAATCCATGCAATAATAACGAGAAGACGTACTTAAATAATAATAACGTAGCTAAAGCTGCCCTATATTCATATAAAATCATTTTACATGGCTTTTCTCTGAATTTATTTTAACCTATGTAGATATCTATCGAAAAAATGATAAATAGTGAAAAGCTAGATAAATATTCTCATAAATTTTATTTGTCAAATCAATACTGATAATCATCCATTCTAAAAAATTAAGGAGTACAACAGCATGAAAGATCCTCCAAAACAAATTTCGTTGTACCAGGTGGACATTCTACCGTTCCACATGGAGCCCTCGCCCCTGTGAAACAGAATGGACTTACTGTTTCACCACTACCTCCATTCACAATGGTGACAGTGAAAATAACTGAAATGAAAACATGATAGCGATTTTATTAATATCAACGAAAATTTTTACCATAAATGATGACAAAAATGCACAAAAAATTTGACAATTTAGCCATGTCGAGAAGTCAATCACAAGTTTTTTAAAAAGGATTTGGTAACTTAAACGAGGCTGATAACAACGAAGCTGAAATGACTTCAAATTTCCTTTTATACTTTGTCGAAAAGCTTTGAAGCAAAATATACATTTAAAAAGTTCAACCATGTTTTACTGATAATTAAATTTTAAAACTCTAAACGTGATTCTTTAAAACAATCATATTGAGTTATGAAGTCGTCTTCCAAAAGCTCAGGGGCGATTTTGTGCAACTCTATGAATTGCAAGAAGCACGTGTTCAATGAACTTTCGTTTAATACCTTTTTCCAATGAATTACCAGAAAACTTTTCATATTCCTGAGTATCAAATTTAATTTTCCCGTAATTTTTTAAACCCAAAATTAAATTGAAGACACTAGTTGGTTGATGTCATTAATGCAACTAAAATATTTTCAAAGCTTCTTGGGTATTCTGATGAGTTTTTAACGAACTTTAAAATTCAAATCTATTTTTAGCAGAAAACATAGAAAAGGCCCTGCATAGAAAAGACCCTGCGCTTAAAATAATATTTTCTGCTAAAATTGTTTACTAAAGTTTTTCTTTTAATTTTATCAATCAATGGAAGAAATAGATGTACCAAAAGAAGCTGTCCCTCCAGCAGAAACTGTAGATAATGAGAAGAAAGGAGAAAATGGAGTAATATCGGAAGTTGTTCATTTTTCTCGTACATCGAAGAAGCGAAAAAAGTCAAAGAAAATTCCAAGAGCAAAGGGTGAGAAAAACGCTTTAAAGTTGATTTTTTATAAATATTATCTCGTTCTAAATCACAGGTTTCCCAAAATATTACAGAAACGGATATGTAAGATATTGTGATCACGTTCGACCATCTATTTGTACACAAAATCCAACTTTGGATCCAGTTGAAATTACAAGATTGGTTGCAAGTAAATGGGTAGAGTTAACTAAGGAAGAAAGGCGTAAGTTATAAAAAATATTTATAAATCATGATTGTTAGTATTTATATTTTAATTTCAGAACCTTATCTTGACGAAGCAAAACTTGACAAGGAGAGATTCAAGAATGAACTGAAAAAGTTCAATGAACTGCACAAAGGAGACTCCATTGAAATAAATGCAACAGAAGACAATTTGAAACCCAAACCAGAAAAGAATACAAACATTCTAGAGAAAAATTGTGACATTCCAAAAGCATTTGTTGGACGCAACGAACTTCCCATTTTCACTGACGTTTTCCTCGATCACAATAAAACAATCGAAATAGAATTGAAGGCTTTACGCAGAAATAATGTAGAAATCGATCAACACAACTCTGTTCTCATGAAGCATATTGAGAATATGGAAAATGGAGTTAAAAAGATTGAGAATGAAGTTATGATCTCAAAACAACAGAACAATCAGTTGGAGATGTATTTGACGAAATTGAAGATAATTCTTGCTTCAGGTTTCCACTCATATGTGTTACCAACAATGAAGACAGGGGCAACTGTCGAAAACATTGAAGCTTATATGACGGAACTCTGCTCAGATCAATTTGCTCAAAAGCATCCTGCAATAGTGAACAAAGCTCGTGATGTTATGCGAAAAATAGATTTGAAATAATTTTAAACGTAGAATGAATTTATTTCCTGTAATGTACTCGATTTAAAATTGTATTTTTGGCTTAATATAATAAAATATCGAAATTAATTTTTTTAAAGTAAATCATTTAATATTTCGATAACTACAATGCCTGATAAATTCATTTAAGGTCACAGTAAAGTAATATTTAGAGACTTAAATTACGAAAACATAATTTTAAATAATTTATGAATTGTGGACTTAGTTCATATTTATGGAAAACTTTTTCAGCCATAAATCTCGATGTATCAGGAAAAGTAAGCAAATGATGAATAATTAAAATCATGCTGGAAACTTTGATGCTTTTAAAAACTTTTAATTTCTCCTTGTCATGAGTAATTCCATCAACGTCAATATAAAATTCATCTCCAATCTGGCAAAGCAAGTTTAGATATTCTTCAATAACATTTGATACATTAATCATAATTATTTGATGCTTCAATATTTTGTTGAGGTCGTTGGCGAGATCAGGTCTTTCAATAATTACAATAATCTTCTTCCATAATTCAACGGAAGTTGTTAAGTTTTTTATAAATAAATGAAAGAAATTTGCTGCAATTCCTGTCTTCTTAGTTTCTCTCTCCTCTTGAATACATTCATCAGCTACTCGAAAGATAACACAAAGTTCTTCGATGTAGCTTTCATTATCTATTAGTTTCTGAAGTTTCTTTCTCAATTCATTTTTCTTCAGAGTAGAAAAGAAAAGTTTAAAACTTTTTTCCTGAAAATCACTTTCAGCCTCTTTGATTTTATTGATGGCGTTTTCAGTCTCTTCTATATTAAAATATATGCGATCAGCTATTGCATCGATTCGATACATAATGAACTTTTTAATATTTTAGCCGGTTGTTTTGAATTGTGTTGTGTTAGTAGGTTGCCCCATATTATTAGCGCTTTTTCTTGCGTCTTTACATAGTTTCTGCATCAAAATCGAACAGCATAAGCATTGTGAAGCAAGAACTCAAGTTCGGAGCTCATAAACAAATTTCAAAAAGCATTGTAATAAGATTAAAATTTTATCTCAAAAATTGTTTAAAAGTAGTCGATAGTAGTTAAAGTAAACTAGCACGTTATATCAAAAATCATCAGAATGTTTTGGGGTAATGATCTTTTTATTTATTTTTTTGAGTAGAAATATGTTTAACAAAAGAACTTTTTGAAACAATGTGGTTCCTTATTTATTATATTAATAAGTATTTCTGAAGATGTTTCGTTTATTATTACTATTAGAACATTAATAATGAATGTGTCACATTCTCTAAACCTCGTTATTCAATTTGTTAGTCCCGGTTCTAATCCTAACCTTAAACTTTATCATTTCTCGTCAGGTCTCATATTGAAATCAAATAAAAAGTACACTCAGACCTTGGAAAAATCATTCCATTTGTCTCAAGCATCACTTGATCATTCCTCCAGCGACAATGATCCCGTTCAAGTCATGTATGTGCATGATGAAAACAGTTATCTTCTTTGCACTCTTCAAAAAGGAAAAGTTTATCAATGCCCATTGGATTTGAACTTCCAAGAAGGCGATAAATTATGCTTCTCGACAAAAGGCAATGGGATTGTGCATTTAACTGGTTTCTTAACGGATGAGTTTGATGATTTTGGAGACGGCATGGGTGAATTAGACGACGAAGAAAGCGAACTTGAAGAAATGCCGTAAGTTGAAATTTTTAACTAGGTAACATTTAATGTCATTGAATTTAAACATTCTCAACGTTTAGTGACTTACGTCGTAAGCTTGAAAAGAAAAAGAAAACAGAAAAGGAGACACCAGTAGCCAAAAAATCTAAACAGCAAGATTCAGATGAAGACGAAGATGATGAAGAAGAAGAAGATGATTCCGATGCACATCAGGCTGATGGTAAAGATTCTGATGATGAAGAGGAAGAAGATTCTGACGAGGAAGATGACTCGGATGAAGAAGAGGAAAGTGAGGAAGAAGAACAGAGTCCACCGAAGAAGCAGCAAAAGTTAGACACGCAACAAAATAATAAAAAAGAAAAATTGAAAAATGGAAATCTTGAGAATGGAAACAAAAAGCAACAAGAGCAACAGCAATCGAAGAAAGGAAAAGGTGAAGAGGGCAAGCTTCAAAAACTTCAAGGAGGATTATTAGTACAAGACTTGAAAGTTGGCTCAGGAGCTGAAGCCAAACAAGGAAAGAGAGTTCAAGTTTATTATGAAGGGCGCTTGAAAACCAATAATAAAGTTTTCGATTCAACAAAGAGCGGTCCCGGCTTCAAATTCTCTCTCGGACGAGGAGAAGTTATCAGAGCTTGGGACATTGGAGTAGCAGGTATGAAAGTAGGCGGCAAACGACGATTGGTATGCCCACCACAATTAGCTTATGGAGCTAAAGGGAACCCACCAGTTATACCTCAAAACTCTACACTCGTCTTTGATGTTGAACTAAAAAATGTTTTATAAGCAGTTAAAATCTAATTAACATCAATTAACATTTAACTTTTCTTCTCATGATTTATCATTAATTGATGCATCAAAACAAATTTTTATTTCTTTTATCGAGCTTTGATGTTTGAACATTTAAAAAAATATCTTATGTACATGATAAATGGAGAATTTCTGAATAAAAAAATCTTCTTTTAAGCTCAGTTAGATTAAATGTTTTAATTATTCTTTACCGATTGTGTTGTGCAAAAGAACGCATGATGGATGAATGTTTGATTCTTCCAAATTTAATGATTGATCGAGAGATGTTATGCATTTGTTGTGAACTTTGGATAACAACACAAAACGTTTTCTTGGATCGTCGTAGATTCCTAAAAGGAATAAAATAAAATTAAATTTAAGCTTTTTAAGATTAAAAAGCAGTCTTACCTGTCTGAACCAGATAGTTTCTGTAAATATAATTAATGAGATGTCGAACAGTTCTCTTCGATGGATATTTGAAGTTGAGACTGCTATCTTGAAGTTTTAACATAATATTCGTTTGAGTTTCTGTTTCATTGTTTAAAAGTTTGTCATCAGAATCAAGAACTTTAGCTTCCTCGTTGTCACTGTTGACATCATCTGAATTCAACGACGCAAAACTCTCTTCTGAATCGGAATCTTCTTTTAAAGGCTTCGTTTGTGTCTGAGGTTTGCTGGATGATGTTGAGGTAAAAGTGACTTTTTTATTTGATGAAGATGATGATGACGATGAGTAGGAAGGAAACTGCAAACTTGGAAAACTTTCATCCTCATCCGAATCTACAGCTGCGTCAGAATTCTAAAAGAAACGAATGAATAAGTTTTTGATATTGTTACTCTTAGTAAACTCACATATTGAAGTTGATTTTCAGAAGACGTTGAATACTTTTTAAGCTCCTTTTTTATCTCTTTAAATGTCACATTTTTCGTGTCACCGAAATTCTTTTTTAATTCACCAGTGAGACTATCAATGACCAAAAAAATGGGAATGGTGTGATCAATCAAATTATAATTGCGCATAATTCTTAAGCTTTCATCACAACCAGAATTTTTTCGAAGTAGAATGAAATTTTTTTTAATGATTGACTTAATTCTGTCGTCCGTATTGAAAATATCTCGATTGAAGCAGAAACTCTGAAAGCTTTCATCATTTATTAAGAGAATTATCCATTTTCCTTGCTTTTGTCCTACAAGCTTTGCAGTTGGAAGATCTAAATTGAAAGTTATATCAATTGGATTACGATATAGATCTTCAATGCATTTCTTCTTAGACGCAATTCCGCTTGCAAGATTTTCCTGTATCTCTGTTTCTTTCTTCAAGTCACGAAAACTACTTGAAAATTGTCGCTTAACTCGATTCAATTGTACATGTCTGATACTTTCCTCTTCAACTATCTGACTGTATTCTCTTGGCAATGCCGGTCTTACTTCTTCTTCTTCCGGTTCAATATTTTGTTGAGCAAAATTTACAGGAACTTCAGGTTCTTGAAATTCTTGAGGAAAAAAACTCTGATTTGCATCGTAGTAGTTTTGTATAGCCAATTCCAAGTTATTTCCAGCTGCTGTGAGATATCTTTGTGCTTCCTCAATAGAGTTTAAATTTGTTAGTTCCATGAATCCAAGAACATTCTCTTCATTTTCCATTTTTATTTTATAATATGTATATCAGGCAAAAGATATAAAAGAGCGCCCAAAAGTTTTCTATTTATCTGACACTGAAATCAATAGGAAAATGTAAACAAATGATTTTTAATAATTCCGCGCATTTTTCTTTTATTTATTGGCTCGAGTGATGCAAAAATGATGCAAACGTAAAGATGCAAATAAAAGCTCAGGATAAGAAAAAGCTATCGAAGAAGAAATTTTGAGCACAAAAAATTTTATCATTTCAGTAGTTTACCATGTTTTATAAGTACAACCAGGAAAAATTTAGACAATTTAAGTTAGCTTTAACAACAAAATAATAAATTCGGATCAAGTGCAGTTCTAATAGTTGTAAAAATAAAAAATGAAAGTTCTTTGAAAAGTTCCCGACCTAATATTATGGAAAATTGTGAAGTTTCCTTTTCAAGGATAAAAGAATCTAAAAACGATTTGTATTTTATTTTTTGTGAAACTTTTATCTTTATCAGAATGTGAACAATAATTAATAAACTAAAATGCAAAGTTTTGCTTAACTATAATAAGCCATAATTAAAATTAACTTTTAATGTTTTTAAAGTCAAAAACAAAAGCTTAAAATTCATCTAAAGAAAAAACTTTAAACTTTGAAGAACAATTAAACTTTTTTAAAATGATTATGATTGCAGGAGTCGATTCATACGGTAAGTTGTAAAATCCAAACATTATTTGTCTAATCTATCAGTCCGATTGTTCATATCCTTGCGACAAGCCAACAGGAGACAACTCGACATATGTTTTTTTCTCAGAAAAGTCTCATCAGTGTCGTAAAAGTTTCCGATCGATAAGAGAAATGTGCGAACGTTTTTGTTTCTTTCTTGGTTTTCGTTTTGTTTCCCCATATCGATTATCCATTTTCATTTCATTTGTTAGCCTTTTTTTTCGGTGAGTAATCGAAAAGTAAACATTCTCGAAATTAAATATGAATAAATTATGAAGCTTGTAAAATTTTAAGTGCAAAGTTCCATAAAAGCGTTGATAAAATTTGTTTTTTTTCGTTTGAAAATACTTTTCAACACATAAGAAATTCTTAAATAAGTATTTGTACCAGTATTAAAAAATAAAAAGATATTTAAATGATGAGAAGAAAAGCAATTTCAGGGTTTTCCGCGTTATCATCAAATTTTGTTTTGTTTTCTATGTCTTCACATGGAATCCTCGATAAAATAACGTGAGCTTTCACAGCGGGGTGTAAATAAAAAATAAAATCGACAATTTTCTTGAATTTTTCAAATGACGCGTTAAATTTTTCGGTAACTCATAACACAACATCTTGTATGTGAAACTTTATATCTTTGCAGTTTCCATGGAGACGACGGTCTTCGGAGCCGGACTTGGAATGTGCGTTCTTGTTGTAATTTTTTTCCTGTATATGAATCGGAAGTGGTGTTTTAGTCATACGTCTGGAAGCTTTCCTTGCTGTGACGAAAAATCTCTGTCAACAAAAACAATTCATTCATTTAGTGAGTAGCATAAAAGTTTTATTAAGAACAAACAAATGATTTTTTAGAATTTTGGGTATCTTCCTACTCCTAATTTGTTATCAAAATCATCTTTAATTTTACTCAATTTGTGATTTCTGGTTTCTCTGATTTGAGTTTTATCGTATTTTGAAAGTAAAACTTCAAACAGACACTTCAGAAAATTGTAATTCATGAAACAAAAATGTTTCTTTGATAATTTAACCAGCATTAAAGGCCTATTTACTGAGTTGCCCGAAAAATAATTTATTCTAAGTTGATCTTTGAAGTTTTACCAATTGGAAGAGTCTTCACTTAAGTTTTTATGTTATTATTGCGTCTTATTATCCTTTAAAGTTTTCTTTCTGTATTACTAGAAGTCGTTTTGAAATCGCTGTTGTTATGACAATTTGAAATAAATTCTTGAGAAAATATTTATGAAAGATTTATTTACCAAAGGTTACGATTTTTCAATGAACTTATAAAGGGAAATTTAGCAATTTTCAAAATTTAACGCATGAAAGACTCATGAAGAGCAAGCTGCCATTTCTGCTCGTGTTCTTATTTTCTACGAAATTAATTGTCAAGTTTAAATGTCAACATAAACAAGATGTGGGAATCAGAAATGTAGCAACTGTTGAATAAACATTTCTAATAAGAACAAACTTGAATTCTTCGCAAACATTTGCATCGTTCACTTGCTGCATATTTCCTTGTCAAAGACTTACCTGTCATTAAATTAATTTTAATGCTAAGAACGTTCATTATGAGGAAGTTTATCATTAAGAAGACGTCAATAAATAAAATCATGGATAATAAAGCAATGCTTAGCAAGTTTATTGATACTTCCATCAAATTACTTATAAAGTTTTTTTTATCGTTTAAGATTGACAATCTTTCGTAATAAAAAATTATTATCATTTATTATCACGCGTTTAAGGATTTTCCCTTAACCAACGTCAGGCGTACAAATAAAACATGTTGTAAGTAATATGCTTCATAAATCCGTAAATATTTTCTGTAATAATTACCCCCCGAGAGTCTTGTTTAGCAAATATGAAACTGCGTATTTTAATCAACCTCGAACATATATGTACTACTTAAATCTTCAAATTTCATATATTAACGACTTGATTAAGGAAAGAAAACTCACAACATACATGCACGAAGGTTATTACTTAAATAATTAACGTTTCGTGCATTCTTCTTTAAAAAAGGTACAAAAGTTCGTTTACATTAAAGTTAAAAGGACTCTTCAAAGAGAAAATGCTGAAGGTGAAATGAAAAATACGACTTTGCATACAAAAATTAATTCAATGTTCAAGTGAAAACATTAAAAGCTTATGTTTACACGCATAAATAATGAAACGTTTATGTTTCGTTTTTCATTTGTTTGAACATATTTTTAAACAGAATTCAATAAATCTGTAATTAAAATATATCGTCAAATAACTGAAATATGAATTGACAAAGCGGAAAATATCACAAAATTCGTGAAATTGTAAATATGATTGAAAATTCTTCGAGATATTGATATCTTCGTCATATCTGAATAAATTGAAATCATAAAGCTTGTTCGAAGAACACAGGCAAGTATCCAAGTAACGTTGAAATGAAAAAAAAGGATTTTGTGGAAGCTTCTCAATTGTTTGTTGTGTATAGAGAGGTAGACAAACCATATAAATTATAAATAAGCGAATGATAGCTGCCTGTATTCATTTGATATTCGTTCCTAAGGGCCATAAGGGAATCTATTAAAGTGCGTGACATTATTTTACTTACTTCCAAGGAATGAATTTTAGTTAATGACCTTAATTACTTCAATCATTGTTTTAATGATTACATGGGACCTTTTATCAGTTACAAGACAATCAAATTAAAAATGAATGAAGCAATTGTAGCGTCTGAAAATGATATTTCCGTTTGATTCTTCATTTATCTTTTGATTTCCATCGATTGTACATGGCACGTGTTGAGAAGTCGTCAGGCTGAAATATTTTTCAAAGCTTCGAGATTCTTAAATCTCATGAGTTTCCAAAGTTTCTTGATTGCGTCAGAGTCACATGAAGTGCGCCAAAAAAAGATTTTTCAGGAGATAAAGGTTGATTCAATTGTTCTATTATTAAATCGATGAGCGTTTCCCATGTTTTGTTGGATAAATTCAATAAATCCTAATGAAAATATTTCAAGTTCATTATTCTTTTGAGGGGGTGAATGTGAAATTAAAATCTTTCATAGTAATTCAAAAGCACGAATCTCGTTTTTCAATGTTTAATTTTTCCATTCATCATCAATTGGATGAATGATTGAAATTTGAGATTTCTTTTTTGTCATGAACAGAAATGAGTTGTTGAACTTTTGAAACGAGTTATTAAAAGTAAATAATTTTTTTTCTCTTGTTCCACAGGAAGTAGTCGTTATCCTTATCATGAAAATTCGAGTTCCGATTCAGAAGAGGAAATTCTTAGACGATTAAAATTGCAGCAATCAATAAGTTTACAAAGCGGCCAAATAGCAAAATATGGTGGATTCAGTAGTCCATTGAATCAATCAATAAATTTAGATGGCTTTCAACCCATTCCAATCGACAATGTCGTGTCATCATCAACGAAACCAATAAAATATAGCTCATCAAGATCGAGTAATTTTCATCGGTTTAATAACGCTAACAGTAAAAATCGTGACTTACTCGGGCAAGCTGAAAGGGGGAAAATTGGATCATCTCATACCAGTAGTGAATGTAGTTCAAATAGTTCAGTAGAAGCTTCAGTCGAAAGTAACATGGGTCTTATTAATCATGAGAAGAAAGGTAACTGAACATTTTGTCCTTAAATTCAAGACCAATTTTGTTTTGATTTCAAATGGAATTTCAGATCGAAGACAAATCCATCCAGCATTAGAAAGAACAGCACCATTAAGAGATTCCAAAATTGAGAGAAGAAATAGTGGATGCAAATCATTAAGATCAAGTATTGTTCAACAAGATAGTCTTGAAGACGTCCCTGATATCAATGGCAGCAGCAATCAAGATGTGAGTTTAGATTAATGAAATCAAAAAAGTTTTATCAAATGTTTTACTATAAAATTTTATCTCAAGTGCATTGTCGATGTTCAGGAGCCAATGTTCGACACCAGTGACCTTAAATCATTGAAATCTGAACTAGATTTGAATCCACAAAGTCCAACTGCTTCGCTTTTAGAGCGTGGTGGTAGTAGCAGTCTTGAAATTGCACTTCTTTACGACGCTCCAATGCGAAAAATGACTGTGCATGTTCTTCAAGCTCGCGGTATCCCAACAAGAGAAAAGACCACAACACACACTCAAGTTAGATTACTAATCCTACCAAGTAAGAAACAAAAGCATAAAACGAAAATACGAAGCGGGGAAAATCCACAATTTATGGAAAGGTTAGATGAATGACAAGAAAAAATATTTTAATATTCATTCTGCTATTTCATAATTAAAAAAAAATATTTCCAGCTTTTTATTACATCGCGTGAACCCTGAAGAAGTTAACTCAATGGGACTTCGTGTCCGTGTTTATGGTTGCGAACGAATGAGACGAGAACGACTGATTGGTGAAACAATAATAAGCTTTGCAACCATCGATTTGGATTTGGAGACGAATTTATGGTTGCCATTGGAGCCGCGAAATAGTTCAGTTGTGAGTTTAATTAATAATGTATTTCACTTAAAAGTATCATTAATATTTTATAATTAAAATAGTTGAGTGGATCATCAAGCGATTTACTTAGTTTAGCAAGATCAGATAGCACGGGATCAACAACATCAATGCAGCATGGTGGTGTGCCTGAGTTGCTTATAGCCCTTGGTTACAATGGCACCACAGGTCGATTAACTGTTGAAATAGTTAAAGGAAGTCAGTTCAGAAACTTGTCACTTGGAAAAGCACCAGATACCTACGTGAAATTGTGTTTAGTTAGCAGTATGGGACAAGAAATTGCACGTTCAAAGACATCCACCAAACGTGGTCAACCAAATCCATTATTTAAGGAAACTTTTATCTTTCAGGTTTGTTGGAGTCAATTTTCCTATTAAATATATCTGAGATTGTTCGTTTTTTATTTATTTATAGGTCGCCCTTTTCCAACTAAACGATGTCACTTTAATGATTTCTGTATACGCGAAGAGAAACATGAAACGAAATGAAATGGTTGGATGGTTTTCATTAGGCCTAAACTCATCGGGACCCGAAGAAGCACAACATTTTAACGATATGCGTGATGCCGCAAACATAAATGGACAAGTTGGAAAATGTGATTTGATTGCGAGGTGGCACGTTTTAGTGGTAAGCTTAAAAAACTTTAAATATTTAGGAAATTCAATTAAAGTGAAGTTTCTGTTAGGATTCCTGATTTAACTAGCAGAGGTTGTCTCCACGACGCAACAGTTTAACAAACTTCATGAAGCGTTTATCGAAGGATAATAACATGAACAAGAAAGACGACTCGTGTACCGTCGATATTCTTGAAGATTTGTTGCCTGGTGATGATCTCAACTTTGTATAAAATATGAGCTTTTTCCTTTGCATAAAGCTTTTTTCTTTTTCTTCAAATGTTTGATAACAAAACAAAAAAAAGTTTCATCAGATCTTAATGTCCATCAGATGTTTGATGTTTTTTTGCAAGATTTTTTTTTTGACATTGAAAGAAAATAAAAAGGAAAAATTTACTTCGATAATGAAATTGATATTCTGATGGAAATCGAGGGAAAAAAGTGGAAAAATTGTGATATAACGAGAAACAAGAAGAAGAAATAAATGTTGAATGATTTAACAAAATCAGCACAAATTAAAAAAATTAATTAACTTGAATGAAATGTTTTACAAAATAAAATAAATAATGAAAACGATTAAAATTTGACATACGCACAAAAAGGAAATGAACAAAACAAAAAATTGAAATTTTATCAAAGTTCTTTAATGAATCTTTATAAAAATCTCGATAGAAATAAACGACAATTGGGGATGTTGATAAATTACTTGAAAACTGCACAATTTTTTAACGCATCTGAAAGAAATAAAAGCAGATGAAGTCAACACAGAATTTTGAGTGTGTCAAGTTTTTTCTAAAAAATTGTCGTAATTTATCAACATCTCCATTGAAAATGAACCGAAAGCTTAAAGAGAAAAATAAAATTAATTAAGTACACAAAGAATAAAAAAGAAAAAAGCCAAATAAGAATGAAACGTAACACAAAATATTTGCTTTAAAAAAATTAAATGAATTTCAACAAAGTCTGCTATAGCAAATTTCTCTCCTTTTTATTCATGCATATCAATCAAGTTTTATGATCACACAAATTTATTTTCTAATAAAAATTGTTAATGCAGCAATCACAAAAAGAATTTTCAAACAATTTCAATTAAATATCTTTTGAATTTTGTTGGTGTATTGCAAATTGTGATTTTATTTTTATGAAAAACGTAAAACAAAAATTTATTTCAAATTCAAAAAAGTGTTAAATTTTATTGATAGATTTTTATATTCCTGCACGCAGCGGTAAATGTAAGGAAAAGAAAGCAAAAAGAAATATTTTCGTTGCACTTCAAACTTTATTCAGGTGAACATTTAAATATGTTTTGAGTTTATAAAAATAATATTAACAAAGATAAATCTATTTGTGAGGCGTGTTCTATTGAAAGTCTTCGACATTGAAGTCGAAGAGAAACGCGTCTTTTTTTAAATCGACAAATTTTGGAAAGGGTAAATGCAAGTTGAAGATGCATTCAGAAATATTTAAGAAATGAAACTGTTCGACTTGCATTGACCATTTAATTTTTTTGAATAAAATGTTGTGAAAACATTTTTCTTCGGTGCTTTAAATCTTGAAATAAAAACAGCACAATTAACTAAAAAAAGAGAAAATAATATATTGAGAAAACAAATTTGTTACGTACCTTTACCCTTACTTATTACGATACGAAACACAAAATGAAATCCTTCAATATTTTGTCAATCAATCTTTGATCATAAAAATTTATCGAAATGATTGAAATTTTAAAGTTTATTGTCAAAGAAAAGTAAAAGAAAAAAAGAATTCTCTTTTAATATTATTACCTAAATATTTATTCTCAATTACTTCGGTCCATAGAGAAAGTAGAAGAAATAATGGTAGAGTCAAGGGAAAAGTGATGTTGATTATAACTTAAAGTTTTTTCGGGGAAATGGAAGAATTGAAAAATTCTATTGAACTTTGGAAACGTTCGTAGAATTTGAAGCAAGGATGAACTCTTGGAAATCTTTTTCAACTAATTTGAATGAAAATAGTACGAGAAGATATAAACAAGTAGAAAGATTTCAGATCGAGTAAAATTGACGTGAATTTTTCGATAGCAAATTTGAGATTAAATAATCAAAGAGAAAATAAGAAGAAAGAAGACGAAATTAAATCATCATGAGAAATTAAATGAATTTTTTGGAATTATCTGTAGAATGATCTTTAAAAGATTTTTCATTGAAAATTGCAAACTCATACAAAAAATATCTATCGATAAGAAAGCGGACGAAACATTATCGTATAAGTATGTAGACCATTGATTTATGAGCCATAAAAAGCTTTCGTTATCTTTCACCTCAATGTTTTCGAATCAAATCAAAAAAAATTTGTTTGAATTCTTGATGTTAAAAATCCAAGTTTTAGATGTGATTTTTGTTAATGAAATTATAACAGATAAAAATAAGAAGAAAAGAATTTTTTCATTTGCATTCAAGACGTCTAAATATTCAATCAACGTTTTTCTGAAAGAAAAAATTGTCAATTTTTTATAAGAAAATTTCTGATGAAAGAAAAATCGAAAAAAATAAAATTTAAAACTAGAAACCTTTAAGTGTTTGCACTTTGGCATTTCCTTTGAATTGAGTCCGGAATTTCCTTTGTTTTTATTTAGAAAGCTTATCTATCTAAGTGCAGCTTAAAGCGATAAGATATGAGGAAATTTCAAGTTCGTTGTTAGTTATTAAAATCAAATCAATTCAAAACATTTGTTATCGTTATTTTCAGGAAACGATTTTTATTTTCTCATTAACTTAATTTGTTTGTTGTTGATCAAGAAACATAAAAAAGAGCGAATAACATCGGTTGAAGTAAGGATTGACGAATAAATCAAGATCATCAATGAGCCATGAGTCGTAATAATTGTAAAGAACAGTGTTGACACAAACGTTGTTAAGCATCGAAATTCTCCTCGTTTGATAGATGTTTAAAAGGAAAATGCCACATGGTTGAACTTCTGCAATCCGATTGTTATCAAGAATTAACTCTTCGAGATAATAACAATTTTCAAATGATCTTTGAACTAAACGTTGCACACGATTGCTTGACATATCCAAGAATGAAAGTCGTCCGCATTCAATGAAAGTATTTCTCTCGACAACGGAAATGTCTAAGTTCTGTAAGCTTGCGGATGTTAAAGCTGGGAAGGTTCGGAAGATTGATGGAGGAACGCGAACCATACTTCCACTTAAAACTCTAATCCCAGTAACATCAGCATCGCTTCTTCCAGGCATGTGTGTTCCACTAAATGCAAATTTATCACGGAAAGTAAAGAAAGTTAAATCTGAAACTTCACATGTGTATCCAAAGCTTTCATCTTCTACGAAATTACAAACTGCTGTGACTTGTGGTTCAAAGAAGTTGTAGAAACAATGATCGAGTGAATCTTGTATGATTTGATCTTGATCGATTGATCGAATGTTGTTAAAACGAACACTGGCACAGGAGTTTCCATCCATGTAGAAGGTGTAGAGAGAAGGCACGCGATCGAATAATTCATTATCGATTGAATTAATTCTGTTACGTTCAATTCTTAAAGTATCCAGACTTTCCAACACTTCAAATGGTTCGCCACTCAAAACACTCAAAAGATTGTCACTGAGTTCAATATTCGTGATGTTTGAGTAAGCAAAAGTGAAATCACCGACATTAATCTCTTCGATGTAATTACCGATGAGATAAATGTACTTCAAACTTGGGGCACGTGTCGGTAAGCGTGGAACTGATGTCAATAAATTATTGTTTAAATTGAAAAAGACCAATGTTGGTAATTCCTCTCCAAACATTTCAGTTCGGAGTTCTGTTAAACGATTGTCTCGTAAATAGAAAATTACAAGACTTTCCAATTGACTAAATGCACCATCTTCAATCACAGAAATTCGATTATTGTACAATCCCAAGTTTTCAAGACGTCTTTGGCTTCTGAAAAGAGTTCCAGGAATTCTCTCAATCATATTGTCGTTGATTTCAAGATCTAGAAGATTTTCATTGTTCATAAAAGCATCCTCGTGAATTTCTGTAATGCGATTATTAGAAAGGTCAAGAACTCCCAAGTTTACAAGTGGATCGAATACACCAGCAGGAATTGTCGTTATTTCTGATTGACTGATTGTGACTACTCCAAGGTTTACACCACCATTGAAAGCACCTGGAGTGAGTGCAGTTAATCCACTGTTGACTAGTATAAGGTAATACATATTTGGGAATTGTTGTAGGATGCCGTTCGGGAAGAATCGCAATATTGCGTCCCCAACTCGGAAACCCATTACAGTCGTATCGTTTTGACCTTCTACATGATTGTCGGTATTGATAACAAGATTTTCATTTTCCGTCGTCACTTCTACGCCATTTAATTCACACGTATAACCGAAGAATTGGTCGAAAAAGAAGCGACATGTTGCGGCTGATGATTGCTGAGCAATGACAGCAACAAATAATGTCAAAATGAACCTGTGGGGAATTACAGAAAAGTTGAGGAATTTTCCTTCACTTTATTCTTATTTTTTATGTCCATTTACCACTTTTGCATTCTATTTTTCCTTCTTCAAGCACAAATAAAAATTAACTGATTCGTTAATTAAACTTCCCCCAATTTATATCATCAATGAAAGCAATAAAAATCACTTCGGGCTTAAAGTTTCCTGATAATGAAGATAAGATTAAATTAGTTGATTAAAGAATCTCAACTTCACTTGTCTACAAGCTTCTTATCATTGATAATTTGCTACTAAAACATTTCAATGTCTGCGATGCCGACAAATGGGAAATTTCGATTTTGTCAATATTAATCAATTTAGATAATTTCCCAAATTTTATATATCACAATGAAATCATTTCACCCCTCAAATAAATCAAATTTAATAAATTTTGTAATGCTCAAACTTCTTCTTATAATTTCCGCTTCCTTTTTCAATAATCAAAGTTCAACATTCAAAATTAAAAATCAAATTATTAATTTTCAATTCATTTTTATTTTATGCAAACGTTTGTCACTTTACAATTGAATTTGCTTTGATTAAAATAAAAGTAACTCGCTCAGAAGAGAAGAAATTTCAAGTGCAAGCAGTACGATCATTGAGTTGATTAGAAGCTTTTCGTTCGATTTTTCTTTCACCTTAATTCTATTGACTTTTTTCTTTCAGATGTTTATTCAAACACTTAAACATCGTCGAAAATATTTCTAGGTCTGGTAGATTGCGTTGTTGTCGTAGTATCATCAAAGTCAGGTCGGAAACCAACATCAGTTGACAGACCAAATCGCGCATTAATTTCTTGTGACAACGATCGACTGTAATCAGGACTAAGTTCATCAGAATTTCCATTTGTATTGTATCCAATGCCACTGCCACCTTCTCTTAACAATCCTCTAAAGTTTGTAGCCGCTGTGTTTGTGTTTGAATCTCTTGAAGCTAAATCGCGTCGTCTTGAAAGCGCTGATTCATTTCTTTGTCGCTTTCGTTTCTCGCGAACCATCAAATCTCGTCCCTCCTGAACTAACTCAGATGAAATCTCATCATTTGCCATAAATTGTTGGAATCCAAGTGCATTAAGTATTCTTGATCCCAAACTAAACCATGTTGCAGCACAAACGGCAAGCATCACCATGGGAAAGTAAATATTAAAGCCATTCGCTATGATTCCAAGTACATCCATATGTCCCATGATTTGAGTATAAAATGTTTCCATTAATCTTACTTTAATGATGTGCGAGTCCATGTGCATCAGGCCAAGAAAGTTCAGACACATTGGAGGCGTCAAACGACATAATAACATTCCACTGAAGATTAAACTGTGCTCGTTTGTCTGATGATGTGGTGCAAGGTAATACAAGTTTAGGAATTTAATTCGAAAGATGGTGGAATAGGCGCAGTAGCAAAGATAGCACAACGTAGCCATCGAGAATATTTCTATTGTAACAAAGTCATAATTATGTTTAGCAACATTAAGAATATTTGCGAATATTGAAAGAACTGGATGTGCACTGAAGAATGTAACTTCACTCCAAACAACCATCACTGACATGAGTGCAGTTGCACCAGCAAGAATTTTCAGGAATGGAGATTTAACAACACATTCCCAATACCATTGCAACATTGGATTGCATGTTGACGGTCGCGACAATTCATGTCGGAATGGAGGTGATGATAAATAATTCATTTCAACGTCTTCAAGATAAAGAATTTTCTCAACTTGCACATTCCAAAGAGCTTCAGTTCTTTGCAAAACTTGTAACGATTTAATCACTTGACGATGTAATCGAATCAGAGCTTTCTCTGATGGAATTCCTGAGCCACCATCACCAGCTCGCACACTTCGTTTCGCTTTCTCCATTAATTCTGTTGGAACTTTTTTCAGTATTTCATCGACATAGGAACGTGATTGGTGATGTGATGGAATGATGATATTCAACGATTGAAGAGACTCAAGCACATCTTCTGCTGTTTCTTCAGCTTCTGCTTTATCAGAGCTTAATTTTGACAGTTTAAAATATGCTTGTTGAAGTGTGTAGCCTGGTTTTGAATTGTTGTATAAACTTCTTGGAACTTCCACCAATGCTGAAAGAAATGAAAAACATGAAAAATTATTTGAAGAAATCAAAAAACTTCAACTAACCGTAACCGAGAAGTAAAACAAGAAGAAAAAGTCCCCACGTATTCGATGCTGATGATGCAATTGCCTTTAACTTCTGCCAGTCTAAAGTGACGCCTGGTTTTAATGCAATGTAAATCAAAAGAAATCCACAGATGAACAAGTAAGTTCCATAATAAATTGCGTTATCAATCAGTGCTGATTTGAATTTTCCTTGCATGTTAAAATCACCAGCTTTTAAATATGATTGCATTAGTGGCATAATAAGCCATGTAAGGAATTGTGATGACCAATAAATAATTCTCCATAGATTTGGAAAAACTTCCTCAGAAACCATTCCCCAAGGTTTCTGGCAGAATTCGCTCGTCGAGTTGCTTTCAGTGACATTGTTTTCTTTCAAACATTGACGATAAACAGTCTATCGATAAGTAATTTTATTAATAATGTGAGTTATCTGATAGTGATGACTAAGTAATCAACTTACAGCTGTGATGTCCAAAGGAATTGTGAAAACGATGAGGAATGAAAAGCTCCAAGCGACTAAAACTGATACGGTTACCAGTGGATGCTGTCTTGGAATGTTACCATATCGGTAGAGAAACAACGCGCTTATTATAAAAGCTGAGCATATGGAAAATATTAAAAGATACATGACTTATTTTTTGTTGTTTTTATTGATTGTTTTTTTAAAATGTTTTTCTTCTTATTCTTTTTTTTTCGCACAAAAATTCGTGACAATGAAGTATGGATCAATACTTCTTAAGGTTCTTTTGATTGTTCAGCTTTTTCTTTCAATAAATTTTGTGTTTCTTTTTGCATTTTTTCGAGTTTTTCTAATGTGTAACTTTTAATTGGCATTAGATGTGGTTTACAAAACTTAAATTCCTTCTTCTTTTCATAGAACAAATTTCCACTTTTAGGGAACACGTAACTTACGTCTCTATCATTACTGGATAAAGACATTTCACTTCACAATTGATCACAACTTTTAACATGTAGTTTTATTGTATGTTTAATGAGATAAACACTGAATTTCTCCCCTGAAACTAGTTTGAAGAGAATGGTGTCAAACTACTGCAATTGTGAATGTTTGCTTCTTCGAATTTCAATTAGAATTGGGAGGCAAAAAACGTAAACAGATGCAGAAATATTTTTCTCCTTCAAAACTAAAATAATTGAATGCTCTCAATAAATCTTAAAAACAAGGAAAATATGCTAAGTGATATCGTAAAAAAGTCAAACTGTACCATGTCATATGTTAATGTACAAAGTTGTTCTTGAAAAATATCGCTATTTTACTATTTCAGGAAAAACTTTCAATTTCTTAGAATTGTTTCACTAAATCAAAAACACAATTAAGAACAATAATAGTTTAATCTTTTGATGTTTTACAACTGCTACATAATAAGTATCTGATTAGAGGTCTGATATAAAAGATATTAAAAAAATTCATCGCTGATTTCAATTATGGAATAAATCTGAAGTCATAAAGCCATTTATGATGTATTAGAATCAGAAACTTTACAATTAGCATTTTGTTGAGACTTGTAGATCGTAAACTTGCTAATTTAAAATCAAATATGACACAGATCTAGAGCTGAACCTTGCAATCGAATTTTGAACCTAGTAAAATCACGAATGCTTTATTTTTTGCAAATAGACATCTAAAGGTGAGAATTGGTGTCACTCTTTTTTATTAGATAGGCACAATTTTCATATTGGAATTAAAATGACCAGAAAAAATTGCTTTCGAAACCCTGTGGGATATTGTATGAGTCATTGTTTTGTTATTTAAATGATCAGAAATTATTCTATATTCTCGTGGAAGGTGCTAATGGGATATGGATAATTAACAGCAAATTTCCGTTTGGTCAATTAAATCCTTCACATATTTTTCAGTCAACAAAAAGAGTGAAAAATATTTACAAACTTTACTTTTATTTTGCATGTTTACTCTTCAAATTTACAGCTCATTATTGATGACGTTGACGAGATTTTGATCAATATGGATCGAAGTCTTCATAAGATGACAACTATGCAAACGAAATTCGCGAATTCAGGTTATTTAATCGTTAATGAAAAGTGTACGAATGTTTTCGTATATTTAGTATTAAATATTTTACGTTTTCTCACCTATCTACTTGTTAAAATTGTATCTATAATTTGATTTGAGTTTCAACTGATACCATTATCGTGTTTTTCTCAGTGGTTAAATAACTTATAATGAACACAACTTCATATTTTTTTCTTCTGGAAAATCAACGTTCAATGCTTGGTAGTTTGTTGTATGTGAAAGAAACACAAAATAAAGAAATGAAAGAAAAAAATTTATACCTGCCTATGTAGAATGTCTTTTCACAGAGAATGAAATTAAGTTATACATTTCTTTCGTATTCTCTAAACACTTTTTGACTACCCCCAAAAAAAGCTTTTGGTTCCATTGACCTGTTCTTCAGTTTGCTTTACCACATTCACAACAAAACTTAATTTACACCGTGAACTCTTGCAGTTTTTTTCTCTGCTTCCACACCATTTACACAAGCATCTAGCATACATACAGAGCAAGTAAAGTATGCTTTGCTTATAGACCTGTTCAACATTACTGTTTAGTGCTTGACAAACTTTCAATCGTACCACAAGGTTTGAAAATATCTCAACGCCTGTACCAATCTTATTCATTTTTATTTTTTAAAAAGTTCGTGACGGAAAATTTCTAATAAATTCACGGATATTAAAATGAAAACAATAAATATTATACAATAACGGATACCCGTGACTTTGACACAAAGCATTTTCAGTTGATTTACTTTAGTTCGATAACAATAATTGTGTGAAGTTTAAATAGAGAAAATTATCGCTTAGTGGTGAAAATTTAAAGAGTCTACAAAAAACGTTCGACATTCCGCATTCGATGAATTGCTAATAAAGAAAGTGTATGTTAAAATGTAACAAGTAAACGAATCAATCAATAGTTGATATTCGCTCATTAAATATCTTTATTATACTTACCTTGTACGATTGTTAAAAGAAATCCCTTGTATCATGATTGTAAACAAGACAACTAACAAATTGATCACGTTGATGGACAAATAGTAAATAGATGTGATTGAAAAGAAAACTCCGTTAGTTTTGCATTTAAAGAATATCGCTATATATCATTGAAGTTTGTTGTTTAAAACCTAATATTTGATAAGTTTCTCATCTATTAAATTGCATCATCAATCATAAATGCATGAAGCGTCTGGTTGAAGTCTTTGACACCATTTTCATGACTGATGATCGTAAAGTTTTACAGATCAGAAAAGTGTTAAAATGAAAATTGTCATTGAAGTGAAGTCATTGCATCTTTTTTAGTTTTCTTATTTTATTAACCACGTGTACAAGGTGTAATTAAGAACAATCTCAGATTTGCAAATCTCAAAGATTTCCATCAAAAGTGTGATGTTAAGAGAAATATCAAAAACTTTGGAAGGTTTACTGCCGTAACGTGATGGCGTTTTATTGTGGTTTGAAAATAATAGTTAATAATTATCATCATCAATGTATTTTTAAATTGCTCAATGTATTTTTAAATTGCTGTTGTGAATCTCTGAAGAAGGCATTCCTAAAATGAAAGATTGAAAAAACTTTTCTAGCTTCATTTTTGTCGAAGACGAGTTGACTCAACACTCATCGAATTATCCGAGTTGCAAAGATTGCTTTTACTTTCAATTGCAATTGTGAATTAATTGTTATTTGCTTTTAATTATTATTTTCATTACGAATCATTTCTGTGATGACAATTGTAAGATTATACAAGACGCTTTAAATATATATTATTGATTGTTGTTTAGTCTTATCTGCAATGCAAAAAAAATCTTTTGCTGAAATTGTAAATGTTAATTAAGATATAAATATATAAATGAGCGAAATAATTTGATTTTTTATTGTCAAGATAGAACATACATATTTATCTAAAATGATTTGATTTTATTTAATTCAAAGTGACAAACAAGGTGAAAAAAGTCGTTGCGGAAAATTGAAATTATTTCATAAATATTCAATTGAAGTTTTCGAATAAATGAACAAGTTTACGATAGAAATTTATCATGCAAATTAATGGATGGTTAAAAAGTCGCTATTGAAAGGATAGATAAAAACATGTCGGAAGTTATAACCAATTAAAAATTAATCTTCCTTGTAATTGATTTAAATGAGAAAGCATTTAAAATCAAACAAAAGTTATTTGAAGATTCTTTTAGTGTGTTGATCACATGAAAACATTTGAAAGTTGTTAAATTTATACAACTTTTTACTCTCAACAAATTTGAAGTGATACTCAAAGTGTTGTTAAAATGCTGAACTGTACAGATCTTGCTTGTGTTCTCCATCATCATCATTTCTATGCCCACTTGCACCATTTGAAACGTCATTTAGACGATCATCATCATCATGAAGAGGAAGGTGAGTTCTGATGTTTATTCTTTTATTTTTTTATGTTTAGTCAACTTGGTCAGTATTTGCACAAACAAAAAACCGTTTAAGATTTATTTTTTCTGAGAGGTGATGTCACCTTTAAGCAATTGCATAGACAAAGCAATAAAAATGGTTCGCAATCTATCTGATTTAAAACACTGCTGACATTCATTGGAACGAAACCTACAAACTACGAAACTAAATTGAGTGTTCACGAAACAACAAAAAAATTCGAAAGTTGAGAAATCATTCAATAAATGTATTTGCTATTTCATATGATTTACATACGCGTTAGCTCAATGGCTACAATTTAGCTTTAGTTTTTATTCGGTCACTCAAAACTTTTGAATTTCAATTAAACGACTTACAAATTGCGAACCTCAAATTGGCTTAAATGAAAGATCAAGCTAAGCTGTTGATATTATTTTAATATTGCGTTGATTAAAACATAAACAGCTTGTAGTGCTTAAAATAAGTTAACACTATTTGGGGCAATGACTTCATCAGGAATGCGTGGTGGCAGTAATTATGATTAAGCTTTATAGCTTTTCTACCGCACTTTTTATTTGAAGAGCCGTGTTTAAAAACTCGAAAGATTTGGTTCATTTGTTTCTCTGAAACAAGACTTGCTAATGTTATGCAATTTAAAAAAAAATGTTGAATTGTAAGAAGAAATTGTGCATAAAAAGTAGTGAAAGTGAATAACGTTGACTTGATAATGGAAAACAATGGGGGAGACATTCATGCATGGTATTAATGGCAAGCAGTAGCCTTTCGTTGAATCAAATTTGATATTTATTCAAAGTTAGTCTTAGGCCATGGACAATATTTTATTTTTGTCAAATATTGATTGTAAATCTTTGCAATATTGTTTAAGGCAACTCGTTTCATATATCATGGAAGTAGAAGAAATGAAAGAAATTACCGAAGCATCTCGTAATAGCTGCAGCATTAAATGCTAGTTGTATTTAATAAATATGGACGAGTCATTAAGAAATACCACAGAATTTGCTCAATAAAATCAAAACCGCATGGTGTAATCTCTCTCTTTGTTGTTGCATAAGTCAGCGCATTAATGACAGTAAAATGTTGACAAATCTCTTCGCCTCTGAACTGATTGATTAAAATTTCTAACAATTTAACTTCATATTAGTCAACACTCGATGTGAAAATATAAATGAGAAGCAAAAAAGTGATAGTTACTATTAATAATATAAAAAGCGCTCACTATGAGCTAAATTTTAATCAGCTTTCATTTCAGATGAATGAAATTTTATAGTCGCGCCTAAACCGTCACTAAAAGAGAGTAAAAACCGATACAATAAAAATGTTTGAAGGTCGTATTAAACGACTCATTTTTAAAAATAAAAGCTTGTCATGCTATAATCAATGAGAGAGTGTAAGGTGATTGTAATACTTAGAAAGAATTTGAATGGAAAATGGAAAATTAATGCTGACGAAGTTTTAATGATTGTGATTAACATTTTTTGTTAATGAGATATGTATGATGTGAAACCAGCAGATATTAATAATGCTTTTAAAAATTTAAAGAATAAATTTCATTTTAGTTACGCATTTTGTTATTCTTATGGAAAATTGGAAAACTTTGTGCGTTTAACTTATACTTAACATGAACGAATTTCTTCAATAAATATGCAAAATATGTTGTAAACACGCATAATAAATTCTAACGCTTTAATACTTTCGGTTTTAATTTTAATATCAACTAAAATTACATCAATGACACCAGATTGATATGTAAGCTTTGGTGATTGTCACAGCACTTAATGAGGAGAAACATTAATTTATTCAATTTATTAGACGCTTAAAGCAAAATTTTAATAAACTGTCAACTTCGGAATTTAACAATTTATCACTAAAGTTTGAATTCTTGTTGACATCGCTTAAAGTTTACTTACAAATTGCAGTAATTGAGTTCATTATTATCAACTCCAGTGTATTATGGAAATAACTGATCGTTTGAGTGAAATTAACGTTCACATGTAATCGTCCCTTACGTTTTTTTTTCATTTATTTATTTTTTTAAAACTTTACAGAAATTTCAAGGTGAATTTATAAAAATGATTAATTTCTGAAATTTTTCCACACGCGCTGACGTCTTTGGAGTTATAAAAGTTCTACGTTATTTACACAGCAGTTTAAAGAATCTTAACTGGTTATGGAAATGCCGTGGAATTTCCGTAGTTCTTATTCTAAATATTCTATTTAACCATGACTGTGAGTTTATGGCTGGTATTAAGCATCATAACTCATCACACTTGATATAATAATCCAAATTTCTTAATTCTTAATAATTCTCAAAGTTCGTACGATATCGTTGCAATGACACCTCATGATCAAAACACTCAAGAAACACTTGAAGTTGATTAGAGTCAAAAATTTTGAAGGTTTCGTCTTCCTTTTTTGACTTTGTTTCGGTGAGCGAAATTCAATGGTGTATTGAGGCATTGAGTAGTTCAGGTGCAAATGTAAAACTCAGGAGACTGTTTGCAATGGTTTGCAACGTTTTTTTTTTTTTTTTGAGAATAAAAAGTAAAACGAAGCACACAAATACATGAGAGAGAGAGAGGTTCTAAAGTGAAAAAAGTTAATTTTTAATATCAAACGTTCACTCATTATTATACATATATCGCCGATACTCAAACGCTGAAGCAAACCTTTTTTTCTCGCATTTCATTTCAATATATTATATGGAAAAGTATAGACACTTACAACAACAAACATGAGTAGAACTTGAACTTGCCTGTGGCGCTTCAGTGGTTGTTTCGTATATTTTCACATCAAGTCAGTAGATTTGGAGCCTTTGCGATAAGATGTAGCACGCGATGCGTTCTCGTCGTTAGAACTCAGAATATTTTATACTAAGAATATTTTTTCGGAAAATTGAATGGAAAGTTCTCAGTTATCAAATAAAGTTGTACAATTTATTGCTTGTGTATTTTTCTTGGAATAATACGAGTGATTGTGAGTGATAACAAAAATATTTAGTTCATTTCAAATGTTTTCTTCATTTTTCGGGTTAAAGAAAAAATGAGGAAAACCTATAAAAGTTTTAGGAAAACAAAGTGAAAGAAGAAAAGTCAATTAACTAATCGATAAAAAAAATAATTTATTGAATCTTCGGGAAGGTCATTAAATTAGTGGGAATAAGAAAATAATAAAGAACACTTGCAAGGTTATTTAATTGAATTTATGAGTTTCAAGTTAGTTACAGGGGCCATTTATTGAATAAAATATTTCTTTATAAATCATTTATAATTAATTTCCGAAGCAGATTAAAGAAAGTTTAGTACTGCTGTTGCACGATAAGATACGCGCGAGTGCCACTATAATAAATTTATTTTTCGTCTTCAAATAAATGACAAAGAAACATCAAGTCTAGACCTGAATAGTGAAATTAAAATACAGACAATACCAAATAATATCTAGTCCGAATTATCAAAATATTGAATATTTTATCAAACCTTACATTGACAAAACAGTTGTTTAGTTTAATAACATCGATAAGTGTTTTATTGACACCAATATTATTAGTTATAGATAAGAGCTATTCAAAAAGTTACCTATCGTTATTGATTACGTTTGTAATCTTAAAAATTGCTATTGAGGCAGTCATGCAGTCATGTGGCTAGTTGATTGACTGCTCGACAGTTCAACACGAGAATCATCGTCATAAAATTCAAAAGCTATTTAAGAGCTTTTAGTTGGAAATCCAAAGTTTCAAAACAATTATTTTTTTCCAATTTTGGTCTCACATTTAATGACAGCTTAGGAAATGTTCGTGAATTGTTTGTGTAAAAAAATGAGTTCAATTTGTAAGGAACGTTTCTCCTCTCTTAATTGTTAACATTATTTATAAACGTCCCCTTAATTGCTTGATTACCGACAAAAACATTTCCTTTTTAACATAACAATGGTTCACTTAAAATTCGAACACGAGAAAATTCATCGAAATTTATGAGCTTTTTCTAATAGCAAATTATTTACTTTGGAAAAGTTTTTCTCATTTGACAGCAAGTCTCTTATCTTTTAGTGTATGTGTGTTAATTATATATGATAAACTGTCCCAACAAGATAAGTATGACGATGTGAATCTGTCGTTGAAGTTTTTACAGTAAAATCAGTAGTACCTTTAAGGTTTAGAGAGTTCCTAGCGGTTTTCAACACGCGAAAATCAAAATCATTTAAAAAATTAATGTCAAAGCTAAAAACTGGGCTAAACTCAGATTATATTAGATTTAAAAGCAAATATTTTAAACTATTTATAGTCTGACTTAGTGATCTCAATTAATCAAGCATTTCAGGGGCTCCTGTTAGCCTTTACGTAAGAATTCATAAAGACATCAAGAGCGCAATCAGTGCTGTGTAGTGACTGAAAAAAAAGAATTAACCATAAATCATTCAACTCTTATCATCACGAGAGAACGAAACAAGAATTGTGAATTAAATTAAGACGTCAAGTGTCTTGTGCGTAAAGCGTTAAAGTGAATTTTCCTTGACGATCTTTAAAACTATTATAAGAAGAAACTTTGAAGTGATATGAAAGAACGTTGTTGTTAACTTTAAATCAATTTATTAAAAGAAAAGAAAGCCAAGCTTTAGCCGAATAAATCTGGATATTTTCGGTAATGTCAATGACGATATCATGTCGACAACACTTAAATCCAATGGTAAGTTTCACAAGATAACTGAAATGCAAATGAATTATTCTATAATTGCATTTGAGATGTTTGTTTACTTTACGCAATTCATTGCAAATTTACAAATGGAAAATTACTCATGTCACGAGTTACATTCAATAAGTTTTGAAACCAATACTTTGTTTAGTATGAAGGAAAAAAATCAACCGTGAGAGAAAAAGAAACTTGAAAGAACATCAACTTCACTTTTCTATTTAGATACAACCTTCAGGTTTATTATTTTGATAAGATACATGAAAACAAATGATTTCAATATCATGTGACAAAAATTTTGCAAACAATTTCTTATTTATTGCTCAATTAACAAAATCGATTTGTCGAAATTTTCTTGATAATTTCAGTAGGTAAATGAGCTATAGTTTTAAATCATCTGTAATTGAATTTGAATGAGTTGTGACGACATAAATTGTTGGAAAATAACTACCTATTAAGAAAATATTATGTTTGTTATGTAAAGAGTTATTGAAGGCGACAAGGTGTTAGATGGCGATCGTCTAGAATGTCAAATAACCATAAAGATTAGTTCATGACATAAAAAAATCAAAGTATATAAGAATGATAGTACAAAATGTTCCCAAAATAAATGTTGATTGCTAAAATATTTCCATGTATTTACATATTCGGCTATGCTCTTACATAGAAACAGTTATTTACATTGGAAAAACATGTACATAAGTTTATATAAAAAAATTATTATAAGTTCATATAAAAAAAAAGAAGAAGACGACATTGAAATTAATGAAGATGGTTTTCTAGCAGACATTTTCGATATTTATCGTCGTAATTTTTTTACATAACGTTTTAGTCTTTTCAAAGTTATTCAAACACTTAAGAACCTCGATTTATTTAACATCGTTTCTTGTTGGTTATCAAAGTTTGAATTAAAGTCAAATCCTTCTGAAAGTCAACTTATAACTTTGTAAATATTCATAATTTATTCTGTGCGAGTTTTCTCGTCATAGGGCGTTCAATGAAGGCCACTATGGTAAAGTGTTAACTAATAATAATTCTCATTTAAGACAGTTCAGCTGAATAAGTCAAGTTAATTTTCGCTTGTCATTGATTTCACATTCGAGACAGTTTTCTATTTCCTTAAAACCAGAAAGGAAAAATCTTTGCAGGTATTCAAATATTTTGATTCTAGTCAATTCTAAGTTCTTAATTGCTATTGTTGAATGTATTCTCAGAAAAAAATCAAAATTATTGTATGTTTCCTTAATGTTAGCATTTAATGCGTATGTTTAATAAATCAACAATTATATGCTAAGTGTCTAAGGGCTTATTAATGTCACCGTTATTCTAAACAATCATTCATTTTTAGTCAGAATAGTTTAATGAACACAAATTGAAAAAAAATCGAAACAACTTCCTTAACTAGTTTTGTAAACTTCTTCAAGAATTTCACGGAACTCAAAATAATAATAAAAAAGCCTGTTCTTAGATTTTGCATGAATTACGGAAAAGGTTAAGTGTACGAGTAAGAGGTAGAAATTTCTTTGCCTTTTTATTGCTCGTGAATGATGTCTTAAGTCAGAACACATAAATCAGCAATAAAATACAAGCATTGTAAGAATGTTAAGGCCTTGAATTGAACAAGGTAAAATTTCACTACATGTTATTTGCATAACAAGAACAATTTTTGTTATCGTATTGCATCAGAGGTTGCAACATTTCCCAAATCTACAAATGATTATTTTACAATCATTTTAGCATCAGAAAACTTTTAGCATCGCTATCTGCTCATCATATGCTGACAGTTGACATTCATTGTTCCAATGTAAATCGTGAGCTTAGTAGTTTTACTCGAGGTTTACCAATTACAGAAGAGAACAATGCTTTAGTCACTAACGCTTAGGAATGTTAATTTTAAACCTTATGTTTATTGATGCTCTACTGTTAGGGTTGTTATTGCCTTCATATTTTTTGTACAAACAATTTAAAAAGCACATCGAGCACATCATAAAAAAGATTTTTGCTGTTTGGAAGTTGTCGACGATGTCATGAAGTTGAGCGGTGAGACGCGACAGTAATGACAATACTTTTGCTATTCTTCCTAACATTTTTTTTTCTGATAATAGTGTAAAAATAAGTGAATTGTTTTGGTCGTGGTATAATTTTCCTGATGACATGTTTTTCAAAGTCATACTTAATGACATTCATACGATAATGACGGTCCCTGGTTTGCTCGATTTTACCACATATTTCCATAATATCTAATGAAAATAAACGCAAGTTCACCTCCTATTGCTCATTAGAAATGTTTATTAAAAAAAACCAAACAAACAAATTTTGGCAACAAAATTAGTTTTATCTTTAAATGATCGCGCACGGTAATTACTCGTGATTTACGATTAACATAAAAATTCCGCCAAAAAATTTCAATCGTTGGGGGGTTTCAGAAATAAAAATTTTTATCCCAAGGATGGGAAAGAAGCGAATGATAAAAGCAATCAACATAATTATGGACTCTCATGGTAATGTGTGAAACGTGTTTGGATTTTCGATTCCAATGTTCTTGAGTTGCGAACGTTAAAACGTCGAATATCAGAAGACTTTTTTTTTCTTGATTTGAAACCATCACTCAAAATGTTTTTGTTTCGTCGTCTGAGAATGTTTTCTTTTATGTCTCTCACACTTTACAACAATGAAAACATAATTGCGAAGATGCCG